TTAGACAGTGAGGCTTCTTGTAACAGGCCTTTCAGGCAGCATAGAGTAGACGGACTTACCCAGTTTTACAAACCTTCGTGTAGGGTTTGTCTTTTTGCGCCACAAGTTTCATACAGCTTTTCAAGCTGGATCAAGTTGATTTGTTTGCCGTGTTGCATCAGGTTTTGATTCCATATATTGAGATGACGTCACTTGTTATTATGGATTTGCCAGATTATTGTCAGGTAGTTTCAATTTGTTGTTGGAACAGCTGAATGTTAATGTGCCCCGGTCTGGTATGCTTTTTTCAATCCTCTACTGTTTCCTTTCCCGGATGCACTTTGTTTCTGTGCCTTTATAGGCCTCATTGTACATACAGTATACCCACAATAAAGGCTCATGGCCTCAGGGTCTCTAGCTAATAGCCGCTGAAGGTGGGGCAAGCCAGCGGCGGATGCCTCCAGGTCCAGGCAATGTTTTGCAGCAAGGCGGTGCCGTGTAATTATGAGTGCAATGTTTTGACAGTTTGTAGTATGTAGGGGTAAGGGTTGTTGGCAAAACCTTCAGGCATCAATAAGTATATAGTGACTAGTAGACTTGAACTTTTCTTTGCCTAAGCCTAAGCCGGCACCGCACCTGCGCCATAATATTTTATTTCTCATGCAAGCCCACGGTGTGAACTAATGTTCTGGCGTTCCAGCATGCTGACTCTCACAGGCATTGCTTCCTTCTGCGCCTCTTTCAGTAACGCTGCTCAGAGAAAAAGAGCCTTCTATGACTAGGCCTTGTTCACCATCTAGCGGCTTTGCTGATGGCGCGCATATTAGTTTGTCTTGCCCTGTTTCCGTTGGCATTCGCCACAGAAAGTCACGCAACCTGTCGTGCCTTCCAGAAGCAACCGAAACAGGTGTGCCAAGCTCAGGGGGAATCTGGGCGGTATTTGAAAACGCGTGATGCTGCTGGGGCAGTGCCTGTGGATGCAAGTCCTGTTTGGCGACGGGTTGCTTTCAGCCAAATGGAAACTTGGTTCGCCGGCAGGAGAAGTTCCACGCTGTGTCTTGATGGGGCAGGCGGCTAGTTGCCATGCAAAAAGGCAAGTCTTAAGACTTGGCCTCTCAGAATCATTGATGTCTTGCGCCTGCCAGTTCCTTTCAAGCTGTCTCAAGATGCCAAGGAAGTGGCTCTTGGCGTATGTATCCAGCCCTCAAGAATGGGCTGCTGCCGGCGTGCCCACGAACGAAACGTGCTGCCAGCAGCCCCGGGCCGCCGAATCGCAAACCACCAAAGGAGACATGCAGCCAGGAATGGCGCAAACCACCAAACGACAAATGCAGCCAGCAGTGACACCGAGCATGGAATGAGGAGTGGGAACTTCCCCCCAGCCATCTTCCAACAACGGGAAGGACCAATGAGAAGCTGCGTGCAAAGCAAGAGCCCAACCTTGGCAGGAAGCTTGTCATCAATAAACCGCAGCACCATATGGAGATATGGGGGGTCTTGGTGCGCTAAAGCTTGCTTCAGCCAGACAGCATGCAGCTCAAGGTAAGGAAGCGGCTGCGGGATGTACGTCGCAAATGCAAGCATCTCGGTCCCACGAGCATTGCTTCTAGCTGCGCTTCATTTCATGTACAGGCACTTGGCGTTTTTGTGCGGGGGCGCGAGGCTCGACCCATGACCTGTGTGCTTACAAAGCGCATGCTCTACCAACTGAGCTAGGGGGCTTCAACTTTTGCAGCAAACCAAGCGAATCATGGTTCATGGCTAGTTCCATGAGAGGCAACATATCATACCCACATAGGATCCAAGTGTATCTCGCTGGCTTTGGCTTAGACAGTGAGGCTTCTTGTAACAGGCCTTTCAGGCAGCATAGAGTAGACGGACTTACCCAGTTTTACAAACCTTCGTGTAGGGTTTGTCTTTTTGCGCCACAAGTTTCATACAGCTTTTCAAGCTGGATCAAGTTGATTTGTTTGCCGTGTTGCATCAGGTTTTGATTCCATATATTGAGATGACGTCACTTGTTATTATGGATTTGCCAGATTATTGTCAGGTAGTTTCAATTTGTTGTTGGAACAGCTGAATGTTAATGTGCCCCGGTCTGGTATGCTTTTTTCAATCCTCTACTGTTTCCTTTCCCGGATGCACTTTGTTTCTGTGCCTTTATAGGCCTCATTGTACATACAGTATACCCACAATAAAGGCTCATGTCCTCAGGGTCTCTAGCTAATAGCCGCTGAAGGTGGGGCAAGCCAGCGGCGGATGCCTCCAGGTCCAGGCAATGTTTTGCAGCAAGGCGGTGCCGTGTAATTATGAGTGCAATGTTTTGACAGTTTGTAGTATGTAGGGGTTGTTGGCAAAACCTTCAGGCATCAATAAGTATATATAGTGTGTAGGACTAGTAGACTTGAACTTTTCTTTGCCTAAGCCTAAGCCGGCACCGCACCTGCGCCATAATATTTTATTTCTCATGCAAGCCCACGGTGTGAACTAATGTTCTGGCGTTCCAGCATGCTGACTCTCACAGGCATTGCTTCCTTCTGCGCCTCTTTCAGTAGCGCTGTTCAGAGAAAAAGAGCCTTCTATGACTAGGCCTTGTTCACCATCTAGCGGCTTTTGGAGCTGATGGCGCGCATATTAATTTGTCTTGCCCTGTTTCCGTTGGCATTCGCCACAGAAAGTCACGCAACCTGTCGTGCCTTCCAGAAGCAACCGAAACAGGTGTGCCGAGCTCAGGGGGAATCTGGGCGGTATTTGAAAATGCGTGATGCTGCTGGGGCAGTGCCTGTAGATGCAAGTCCTGTTTGGCGACGGGTTGCTTTCAGCCAAATGGAAACTTGGTTCGCCGGCAGGAGAAGTTCCACGCTGTGTCTTGATGGGGCAGGCGGCTAGTTGCCATGCAAAAAGGCAAGTCTTAAGACTTGGCCTCTCAGAATCATTGATGTCTTGCGCCTGCCAGTTCCTTTCAAGCTGTCTCAAGATGCCAAGGAAGTGGCTCTTGGCGTATGTATCCAGCCCTCAAGAATGGGCTGCTGCCGGCGTGCCCACGAACGAAACGTGCTGCCAGCAGCCCCGGGCCGCCGAATCGCAAACCACCAAAGGAGACATGCAGCCAGGAATGGCGCAAACCACCAAAGGAGACATGCAGCCAGGAATGGCGCAAACCACCGAAGGACACCTGCAGCCAGCAATGGCACCAGGCATTGAAGGACACATGCAGCCAGCAATGACACCGAGCATGGACCCAGGAGTGGGAACTTCCCCCCAGCCATCTTCCAACAACGGGAAGGACCAATGAGAAGCTGCGTGCAAAGCAAGAGTCCAACCTTGGCAGGAAGCTTGTCATCAATAAACCGCAGCACCATATGGAGATATGGGGGGGTCTTGGTGTGCTAAAGCTTGCTTCAGCCAGGCAGCGCGCAGCTTTAAGGCAAGGAAGCGGCTGCGGGATGTACGTCGCAAATGCAAGCATCTCGGTCCCACGAGCATTGCTTCTAGCTGCGCTTCATTTCATGTACAGGCACTTGGCGTTTTTGTGCAGGGGCGCGAGGCTCGACCCATGACCTGTGTGCTTACAAAGCGCATGCTCTACCAACTGAGCTAGGGGGCTTCAACTTTTGCACCAAACCAAGCGAGTCATGGCGCATGGCTAGTTCCATGACAGGCAACATATCATACCCACATAGGTTCCAAGTGTATCTCGCTGGCTTTGGCTTAGGAAACGGCAAAACGTAGTCTTACGTGACCATTGCTTTTACGATGCACATGGCGCAACAAGGGTGGGGCAGTTTTTATTCTGAAGGAGAGCACGTCGTGTCACGTTCATGTAAGCGTCAGACTGTATCTTAAAGCTTTCAACCGCATCCCCCACCAACAAGAAATCAGTGACGATCACAGCAGGTGAACTTCAGAAAAGTAGGATTTCTGATGGCGGGCAGTGCTCATTTCATTTTATAGTTTGTTCAACCATCCTGTCGCAACTGTTGGCTGCCCAGCACGGCGTGCATTTTGAATGAGGAGGCCGCCATTTTTGCACAAAGTTGTTTTTCAAGCTGACTGGATGGGAAACCTTAGTTTATCCACGTTTATCCTTCTGGGTGTATTTTGTTCCCCCCACAGGCTTGTTGCACAGCCCGTTGAATATAGACCAAACCCTCCGCCCCACTTCAACTCCGGGGTGCAGTCCAGCGACGGACGCCGCCCCCCGGACTTGTGCAGCAAGGAGGTGCAGTGGGGTTTTTGAGACCCGGCGTGTTGACAACTTTTTATGGGTGACCGTCTTGTGGCTGTGCATTAAGTCTGCTTGGAACATAGTTTTGTTTCTCTGACATTGTTTGATTGCCGGATTGGTGCAATTTAAGTTTCAACGCGTGTAAATGCATTTTTTAACACAAAACGATATGCATTAAACAACAGTGAAACGTCCGTAGTTTGCTTTGCAAACTGCCGTTGGTTGGACCACTATTGGTTTTGGAATCCGGCAACCAATTTCCTGTTCCGGAACTAATGTAAATAAGAGGTTTTGTAATGTAGCGTGGATTCGTTTTTTGAGTTCATCATATTACGATTCACATGGCACATGTGTAGTACCTGCGTTTCAGTTGAGAGACATTAAACATGCGAACATGTTTCCACGTCACATTTGTCACAAAACTTCGGACGTTTTGATGGCAGTAAATAGTGGTAAAACAGGTCGGAGAATGCATGCCCCCAAAGACACAACACGCATGCCCTTCCATGCTTTTCAAAATTGTTGCCTCAAACTTCTTGGTCCCAATGTGCGTAGTTTGGGCCATGGATGGGGAAACCACCTGGTCTTTTGTTTGACAGTACGGTTCGTTTTTTTTTTTGCGTAATTACATGGCATACTATAGATATTCATGGGGCAAAAAATATCCAATATGCAAGGATGGACGCACATTCGCAAATGTAATTGCACGTCCAAGTGTGTGTTTGAACACGCGTTTTCCGTTTTTCTCCATGACATGCTTGTGATGTACGATAACAGCACGTGTTGTTTTTGCATGTTTTTGCACCATTCGCTGCCACGTCTCTTGCAGGTGGCGGAGGTGCGGGAACAGCACTCTCTTTGCAGACGGAGCCCAAAGTGCAGGCTGAGGACTGTGCTGGTTTGGTTGCAATGATGAACAATCATGTGGGTTTGACCAAAACATGGGGTATTATCGCAGTTTTTGTCCGGGGAGATGATGATAAACCATGAGGTTTTCCGGGTTTCCCCATTTTCGGACAAAACCTGCCGTACGTTACTGTACCGGTACTTTGCTATAAATGGATATAAATGGTTCGTTGCTGGCTTGCTAGCAATTGAATTGAACAACCCACTATGGTGCATCTTCACGTTTTGGGACGAACCGCGTCTTCCAGGAGCAACAACTGTCAGCCTTTCGGGAGTGGCTGAAACAAGGCACAGGGGCACAGAGGGGTTGCTCCGCAGAGGCAGTACACCTTTCGGGAACCGTTGGGCTTCACAATCAAACATTGGGATTCTTCTATCAAAAAAGGTTATTGAACCAGCAAAATGGGGGGTAGTAAGTGCCACATTGGTTTACTTTTAGGTTAGTGAGTTCTTAGAAACTTACCCATACATATACATATATATATATATCATAATATATCATAATATATCATATATCTATATGGTTGTGCTGGAGTTGATGCAGCACCACAATCTGCTGATGATTTTTTTTGCCTTAGTGAATGTCCAAGATTTCTTCGTTCACTTTGAGGACCAGTCGTTTCAGAATTTTGTGGAGCGGGAACTGCTCAGCTTGCGGAGTTAATACTGTAGACGTTCCGAAACATTATTTTAGCGATCTTTCAAATGTCAGGAGGTCAGGAGATCACGGCATTGGTTACATGTAATGTAGATGCTTGTTCTAAAACATCCAGCACAAAGATGGCAGACGATAGACTCCGGGTGCCACAATGAAAGTCTCAAGAAAAAGCTGAAGACACATCACCAAAACTGTTTCATCATCAATTTTCACCCTATCAAACCCCATCAATGACGGCTAAATATATCTCCAATAAACCCTACTGGTCTATAGTAGACCCTACATAAATCCTATATATATATATATATCATAGGTACATATTATCCCCCATTGTCACCATGAATTCCCCCCCAAAAAGTCAAACATTGGCCGTTTGGCCGTTTGGCGGCGCCGCAGGTTCCGTAGATCTCGGCGCTGTGCGATTGAGAAGATCCCCTATGGGAGGCGACAGCAAAAAGAACTGGATGCGAAGATGATGGAACAAGAATGGTTCTTACTCAGCAATTTTTTTACTGGTTATATACTGATTTTCCATACTTATGTTAGCTTACCAGAGGGTAATATATATATATATACATCTGGAGATTCCCTGCTTTTTTTTGGTTGGTGACCCCTCATGTTCCGTGGTGAAAACACAATTTCCAGGCCTTGGTCTCTTTGCCGCCCGCGACTTTGAGGAGGTAGAGCCCGGGCAAGCCGGGTGAGTTTCGAAAGGGGGGGAAGCCGATAAAGAAAAGGGAGAGCCTATAGAATTGGTGCCGGATCGCCTGGTTGTCACCGTGTCGTCTCTTGGCACTCTTTGTCCCTGATTTGTTCACATCACTCTCGTCACTTCCCTACTCTCCCTAATCTCGTCACTTTCTCTGGTCTTTTGCTTACTGTCTTCATTTCCCTACTCGGTTCACTTCCCTACTTTTTTCATTTTCGCACTCTCTTCACTCTTCACTTCCCTAGTCTTTTCACTAGCTATATAACACACACACACATATATATATATATATATACATATCACAAACCCCGAGTGAACTTAGTCAGAAACCATCTTTGCTATGGTGCCCACCCCATTTCTATGGGTGGCTCAACCATCGTTTTTCTCGTGCAGGGAGATGTGATCTTCGAAGTGCCGCGCAATCTGTGCATTGAGGTGCCATGATTGACCCCCTGACCCGCAGAAATGTGATCAATGTCCCACCTAAATGGCTCACGGTGTTTATCCAGATGTCACGGGGAACCATGAGAAAAACCTTCCCCCTAAGGCGCCCTGTTGACATGTACGGGAGGTCATTTTGGGTCCCTGATTGGAGGGGATTCCATCGATTCCATCAGCGGGAAAACCTTGTCCAATTCAGTGGGGACCATTTTGACTTTGATTTCGTTGCCTTGTGAGTAGAATCAAAAGAACATTTCAGTAGCCATTTATCACTATTTGGGGGCAACCATCACAATTAATCAACAAGGGTTAATTAATCCGGGGTTGACATTACAAGAATATATGAAGATCTAGTTATGTTCGTTTCAGTCTGGTGATGATTTTGGCCATCCTGCGATGGTGTTTTGGGAAGAAATGCCCGCAGGTGGGGACAAAAAACTTCGATGTCAGCGACGAACCGAACGTCTTGTGGCGGGTGCGCATGGCGGCTGGGGATATATCGATGGAAAGTTCCATGCAATTTCTGGTGTGATCCCTCCCTACGGTGTATGGATTTGTATGGTGTTTTCACCACCATGACCTCGTATATCCAATGTATACATGATGTGCAGATGGGAATGATGGGAACATCCGAATCTGGTGTGGTGGGGCCACATATTCATTGCAGCTGGGAACTTGGATCAGAAAGGATCATAGATACTATCGGCAGATACCGTGGCGTGGAATGATCCTCGTAGTGATTGACAGTAGGTTTTTTTTGGGCAAAGTTTTTGGACTTGATAACACTGACAACACTTCGCCCAATTGTTGGCGCAGCAAAAATCACATGAAGATTTCCTAAAATGGGGATACTCAAAACCATAGGTTTCAGTGCAAAAATTTATTGACTTGGATAACTTAGGGGTACCCCCATGTTAGAAAACGACCATAAATGAAAACGATTGGAAACAACCATATATGAAATCATCTTCAAACGTCAGGTTCTCAATCCACAACACTGGGTCAGCTCTGATTGCCACAGCGCGCCCTTGGAGAATGAAGTGAACATTCGCTGTCTGCGCAGTCTATCTTATCATCGGTCATTATACACTATTATCATTGTTATTATTGCTACACCTACATTCAGTATTGTTGCTATCATTATTGTAATACTAAAAGAATGATGATGATCATCATCATCACCACCAGCATCACCATCATCCATCATCAGCCATCATCAACCATCATCAATCATCATCATCATCAACCATCATCAGCCATCATCAACCATCATCAACCATCATCAACCATCATCAACCATCATCATCATCATCATCATCACCATCACCATCATCATCATCATCATCATCATCATCATCATCATCATCAACCATCACCAACCATCATCAACCATCATCAACCATCATCAAACATCATCAACCATCATCAACCATCATTAACCATCACCAACCATCATCACCCACCGTTAACCATCATTAATTATCATTAACTATCATTAACTATCATTAGCCACACTTGTTGTGTCATGCACGACGAAGAGCCAGGCAGCTCAGAGCTATGACGTGGATGCCTTCCTGGATCCGTCGGCGAAGAAAGCGGTTCTGTCCTTGCAGCTGGGAGATGATGGTAGGATTGCAGATGGGGAGGCCTTGATCATCTAGAGACTCGGTATATCTTTATATATATATATCTAAGTGTTAGAATAGTCAGAATATATCTTGAAATTAGTATATCTTAGTATCAATATTCCGAGGCCTCTATTGAGGTCTCTGTCCTGAATGGCCTTGTAGCATTCCTGGGAAGCATCCTGGAATCAAACCAGGGTACTGAGCGGGTTTTCACCCATGTGCCCAGATGGTCTTGTCTGAAAATCAGATACCTGAAAGCATCAAATCGTTTATGATCATGTTCATTCATTTTGTTTCATTTAAAAAGAACATTTTGGGATATCCCTTTTCCATAGCCAGATGTTTAGATCTGCCCAGATCTCAACGCTTGCTGCTGGAGCGTCAAAAAGGCGCCGCTTCTAGCTTTGCGGAGTATCTCGCCGTGCTGCCGGACGCTGGGACTAAGTCATACCAGGTGGTTTCCCCCCAGTTAACTAGTTCGATATATCACCTAGAAACCATAGTGACTGGACTTATTTGCACCAACTTAGCCAATGAACTGGGGCACCACCCTGTAGATATTTTTGGGATCAAAATTGTCCCTGAAGTAATCCTAAAGTAATCCTAAAGTAACCCCAAAGTAGTCCTAAAGTAATCCTAAATAATGAATATGCATACTGCATACCCATATTCATACATGACTTGTTTTAATACTGCTCATGATATGGGTTTGTCTGAAAATAGGGCAGCCTGCTAAAGTGGCCGTTTCAGACAAAAACATCGCCCATACCTCATATCCCCATGAAATCCAGACAATCCCTATTGCATCCCATTGAATCAGCATTTTGACGGTTGAACTTACAACTGGTTGGTGGTTTGGAACATGAATTTTATTTTCCATTTCATATATGGGATGTCATCCTTCCCATTGACGAGCATATTTTTCAAGATGGTTATTGCACCACCAACCAGACAATTTTTGGGGGGTTTTCTCATGATCACATCGCACCTGGAGCAACTGACTCAATGGGCTCAGGATCCTCCGTCCTTGCATCCCTTGCAGCTCCGATGGCCCAAAGAGCTGGTCGTTGGCAGCGCGCTGTTGTCGCGACACCTGGCGTAAGATGCTGGGGATGGCTGGGGGGTGCAGGTTCCGGTTATCAATGGATTGGCTTAACTGCAAATCTACAGGAAACCATAGATTTTGTTATGAAATATGGGTGTTTCCTGTAATTTTTCCCTTAAACCAATCCATTGAAGTTAGAAGTGGTGATATAGCCACAACTTTAGAGGTTATATCATGTTATATCCCAATGCAGTTGAGATTACTAATGGATATATATATATATATATAACACATGGTTCGTTCACCTAATATATAATATAAAACCCCTATCATTGTGGCTATAGAACCACTTATAACTAGGGGAAACCATGCCAATCATAACTTATTTCCGGTTCGGGATGTGTAATTGCTTCTCTGACGCGCTCCCACTGCTGTCGGCAGGGGTCGGCGGAAATTCTTCTTCAGTAAGGAGGTGAGACCGTAGTTTTTGGGTCCATTCTCAACCCCTGTGTGGCTGGGGTGATGTTCCCACCTCACGCTCTTTTTTCTTGCGATAATTCATATTATTAGCCAACAAGTAAAAGACAGCGAAGTAGCCTTTCCCACTGCAAGCATTAGAAAACGTAAAAAACTATAAGTTTCCACTTCCAGATTAGTTTCTCTCTGGGGCAACAATAGACAAAAAAACAATGAGAGGTATATTATGTGAGTAATGTCTAGTTGAAGCGGATTGGTTGCCCTCTTTCATTGGAGCTAGAGAAGGCAAACTGTTTTGAGTGAGTGGCAGAGAGTGGTGACAAAGAAGTGACAAACTCTGCAGAAGGAACCATCGGAGTGGTTGAATTGGTGTCGCCTGAAAGAATTTAGTACACAATAGCACCAACTTTTTCTTGTTCCACCTGTGATTTGTTTTCGTAGAACATGTTTTTGGTTAAATCATATAGGTCTATATATTAAATCATATCTATATATATATATATTAAATCATATCAATATATATATATATTGATATGGAGATACTTACCATTATTTTTTTTGGTTGACCCAAGGCTTGTTTCGACTCCGCACAATGGAACCGCGCCGAGGAATGCACAGCACCATCCTGGAACGTGGCTGGATAGCCACAAGGATTGATGGTTCATATCCTGACTGAGATCACTGGCCATTTCAGGTACGGATTTATTGGAGGTACCATCTGGTTATTTAACATAGCCATGGAAAATGGCCCATTTATAGATGGTTTACCTGGGTTTACCTATTAAAAATGGTGATTTTCCATGGCTATGTTAAATAACCAGATGGTACCTACCATTTCTATAAGGCCTATTTTTTAAGGCTAAATTTCAGGGGATATATCGCCCAAATATGGTTCGCAACCCCAAATATGGCTTTATATGGTACAGCACCTCCAGTTTAGGTACCTGAAATGGCCATTGACGACACTCAGAAATTTATGGGCATAAGCTGCAGAAATGGTGGTTATATGGTGTTTGATGAGGTTGAATGGGGTTTCATGGACTTGTCCGGGTGTGTCTGAACATGCAACACACTCCCCATTGCAATTCATATTGATTGGGAAGAAATGATTAACCAGTGGCGTTGGGGTAGAGAAATTTCAGATACACCCGCATGACTGGTAAGAATGTCAACCCCGGATAAGTCTAAACCCTGCTTGACTATGGAATAGAGGTGTCATTTGCTGCCAAAATGCGACCCTTCCAATCAAAACAGCTCAGGGTTTGTTAGTCGTTGACCTGATATTTCGACGCCGCTTTAGTTCATCCTTTTTGTAGGCAAAGCGCCTGGCAGTTGTACCCTTTCGCAGTCATCATTTTTTGCTCTCCTCGCAAACAATTTCAGAACTTGACTCATTTAACTCCCTTGGACCTTCAAACATCACACATGTAGGCTGTTCTTCCTGTCCGTAGCTTCAACGAATGTCTATGGCTTTATGATGTCCTAAATTTGTCCTCTTCCCCGAAGGAATGACATCGCATGGCCGACCACTGATAAACCACTTTCGGGATAATCCCGGATAAATATCCGGAGTAAATGGATCGGAATCAAGAATTGAACGAATTGAACCAGTTTTTTTCAAAGGGCACTTAGCGTTTTCCATCCAGGGACTTACTAAGCCCTTGAGCAGCCACCAGCCTTTCCTGGTGGAGCCAAGGTGATACCGCTTGTATGGAGGAGCTTCTGGCCTTTGAAAGAGCCACTTGGGCACAGCCATGTTACCTTCAGGGCTTAGCACGTGTGCCACAATTCAGATGGGGGTGTCTTAAATCGTCGTATATCCCCAATTAATTAAAGCAACTTTGATGGAGAAAAAGATCATTAACCAGCGGATTTAAAGGTTCTCCCAACATCTTCAGGCCCCACTGGGTCAGAATCTAAGACCAAGGACCCAAGAGATGTTGTTTACATTTTTTGTTTGGCGATACGTGCATTTTGCTGAGAACGGACATAGGAATGGACCCGAAAAACGATGGTTCGTCATGTAAATCTCAATACTGTTTTGCCGCCATGCCAATTTTCCCTCGCGAAAATCATGCCCGCTTTGTTCAAAATCCAAACATTTGTTGTTTGAAACTCATGCCCGCTCCTGCATTTGTTGTTCAAAATTCAATACTGTTATGCCCGCTTTGCTCATCCATCCGAATGTCATTGAGTTCTTCAAGCTCTCCCCTTTCCTCCAGAATCAAAATTCGCCTATCATTCCATCCAGTCAACACCCCGCGAGTCCCGTGCTTGGGTGTGCAGTTCGAAGTCATTATACGTGGATATTTGTCACCATAGTCCGCCTTAGTTATATCCGCATATATATAATATTATATATATAATATAATATAAAACAGATAATATATAATATATAAGATATTATATAATATATAAAATCTAATAGATAATATACAATATATCATATATAATAGATAATATATAATATGTAATAGATAATATATAATATATAAGATATAATATATTAAATATAATATATTATATATAATTTAAAATGTATAATACGTAATATATAATATTATATATATAATATACAATATATAATATATAGTGAAGAAGATATAACATATAAAATAAAACATATAATATATAACATGTAAGATTATATATAACATATAACATATAACATATAAGAAACATACAACATACATACATACCTACCTACCTACATACATACATACATACATATTTATTTACTTAAATTACATTACATTACATTACATTACATTACATTACATTAAATACATACATACATACATGCATGCATGCATGCATACATGCATTACATTACATTACATTACATTGCATTGCATTACATTACATTACATTGCATTGCATTACATTACATTACATTACCTTACATACATAATTTTATTTATACTCATATACAATTATATGCATATATACATATATAAACAGCTTGTATCCGAACTTGTGGGGCTTATTTCACCATGCTTCCCGTTGAATCCGTTGAATCCCTTCCCCGATAGCACCCCAGCCAGGTGGCCCACCCCGAGGTCTGGAAGGGTCGTCTCTGGGCGCTGTCGTCGGTCTGGACCCGTGCGGTGCATCTGGTGGGCGACGACTCCGAGAAGTTGGCCTTGGTGCAGTGGGGGGAGCGAGATTTCATCGGAGATAGGATGAGATGGGTCGAATTTTCAGGCGTTTGAGCAGATTTCTTTATATTTTTTTGGCATTTTTGGGGTGCCCAATTTTGACACCCATATAGACAGAATTGGATGGGAGAATTTACAGGAACCCCAGTGAAATAGCTGATAAATCCATGGGTTTCCGCTACTTTGTCCCTTAAAACCGCCCGAGTGATAAGTGACATGCGGTTGGAAACCAGCAAACATTGGGGGTTCAAGGTTTCAAACAGCAAGGAGTTGTGAATACGAGAGCAACCGGGACAATGGCAGGTATGACCGGTGAGCAAAGATGTCAAGTAGCCGTGTAGCCATGTTTCTTTCACATATCTGGCCCCATACCATGCCATATGCCATACCTTTCAGTCCTCAGTTTTTATCAGTTTTCATCATTAGTAATTCGAATATATCCCATTGCATCCCTTTTATTTGTATATATGTTTATAATGACCATATATTACATTGGGGGTGCAGTTCCACTTTTTTGAAGGTTTTCTCTGTTGCAGATCCATTTTCCTGGCATTTTTTCCATGAAATTTTACCAGCAGGTGCCGTTGATGGATTTCATGAACCATTGGACTCCCGAAAGTGGCACCACTGAGACCCTTGGCGAATTTGTTCCACGATGTGGCTTCGGTGATGTCAGCAATTTGTATCTTATATCTATTTGAATCATGTTTAAAACAGAATATATAATACGCATGTATAAGCTTCTACGGTATACCGGTTTACGCATTGAAATTTGGTTGATAGATCTTCATGGTTGACTGATCTCGAGTTATCATCATACAGTGAGCATCAGTGAGCATCAGTGAGCATCAGTGAGCATTTTCCATGTCATTTTCCACGGTTTTCTGGATTTCCCATGATTTTTCACTGAAGCTTCTCAGGACCTGGTCGTGTTTCTACGAGGTGCAACCGGACGCAAACGCAGTGGTAGTGCTGGCGGAAGCTTGGCAGCTTCTAAGTCCCAGCCCAGTGACTGGCAAAGGTGAGGCTAATATGTATATATGTTGTATCATAGTATAAATAGTGTATATATATTATATTATATTATATTATATTATACTATATTATATTATATTATATTATATTATGTATTATATTATATATTATATTATATATTATATTATATATTATATTATATATTATTATATTATATTATATTATATTATAAATATAATATATTTTATATCATATATTATATTATATTATATTTTATATTACATTATATATTATATTATATTATATTACATTATATTATATTAAATTATATTATATTATATTTTGTATTATATTATATTATATTATATATTATATTATATTATATATTATATTATATATTATATTATATTATATATTTTATTATATTATATATTATATTATATTATAATATATTATATATTATATTATATTATATTATATATTATATTATATTATATTATATATTATATTATATTATATATTATATTATATTATATATTATATTATATTATATAATATTATATAATATAATATTATATTATATTATATATTATATATTATATTATATTATATATTATATATTATATTATATTATATTATATTAAATATTATATATTATATTATAAAATTTATTATATATATTATATTATATTATATTATATTATATTATATTATGTATTATATTATGTATTATATTATGTATTATATTATATATTATATTATATTATATATTATATTATATTATATTTTATTTTATTATATTATATTATATTATATTATATATACATTATGTAGTGTGTGTATATATATATACAGTATGTAGTATATATATATGTGGTATACATGTATGCTATATATATATAGACATTGTGTAGTATATATAGGATTTTGGACGCACGCACAAGCAAGCTGGCATTAAATTGGGATGTTTATTCAAATTGGGCCGTCTTGGCTCATTCACCCATGTTTTTTTTGCCTAAATCGGGCAAAGTGGTTCAAATTCTGTTCTTGTTGATGTTTGAATCCACATTTCTGGTGGATTAAAATGATGAAATCGCTACGTTGGGTGGTCAACGAGAGGATTCCTAAGAGATGTTTGTCCACATTTGTTTTGGGGGACCCCCAGTGGCTATCTGTCCACAAGCTCCAAGATGCGCTGATGTTTGAAATGCGTGGAAAAAATTTGGGGTGGGTGGGTGGCACTTGAAATATTTCAGGTGGACGGGGTCCCCCCCGGGGGTGGGTATTGTATATATATATATGTATATAAACGTGGTATGGATGTATGTGCTATATATATATATGTTGATATACAGTGTATGTGTATATATATATATAGACCAACGGGTTTATCCCTTTCATAAGAATCAATATATAGACATTCTTTGGCCCACACATTTTGGGCAGACTGGACTCGACTTGTTTGTGTGGATAGTGTGGGTTCTAGCCAAGTTTTGCACCATTCTCCCTGACTGTTGGAATTTGGTTGAAGATGCATTTGATCGAATCACCATTGCGGAACATCAGCTTGAACTTTCGCCGATGGAAGTGTGTCATAGTGTGTCACTTGTTACCTCAGACTTGCTCAACCTTGAGAAACAACTGAAACAAACAAGAAATCAGTTGATCTGTGGTTTTCACCAAGGAACGGCGGATTTCGAAAGGCGAAGAACTCACCTTACTCTACGGAGAGTTCTCAGATGCTCAGCTGCTGTGCAACTACGGCATCTGCCCGGACATGCCTGGCAGGTGGGATCGGGGGGCATTCGAAACCATTGGGCATCTGCATTTTGGGACTGAACTGCACAAACAATTACAGTACAACATATCAAAAACATATTAAACAAGATCAAAAATCATCAAACAATCATCATACCCACTAGTAATCAAACGTGGTAATGGAAAATTCTTATTGATAAATGATTCAATGATTTTCCATTAAAACTCCCATTTTGTGAACGGGGAAAATCCCCAGCGCTAATCCCAGGAATGCTTGGGATGAGGCGCCAGTGAGCATTGGTCCATACGTGCCCTGGATCCAAGCTGGATCTTGGGGGTGCAGTTGGAATTTAGACTGGGTAACCATAGTTGTAGGGGTTACCCTCTGGTAATTTAACATAGCTATTGAAAATGGGCATTTATAGTGGTTTTTCCCATTAAAAATGGTGATTTTCCATAGTTACGTTAGTTTACCAGAGGGTAACCATAGTTGTATCCCAACTTTTTTCGAGGTGAACCAACCACGGCCATAGCAGTTTTATTTTTATTTTTATTTTTAAAACTGCACTTCGCAGTATGGCCATACCGGGGATTGCCTGAGCCTATTGGGACACTTCTTCCAGGATTCCAGTCTCAAGGGTTACCATCTTAACAGCGTCAAAAAGCCATAAGGGATCCCTGAAAAAGAACAGGGGTTGGTAACTGTCCCATTTAGGGTATATTGGACATCACCTTATAGTAGCCATTATAGACCATATACCTAATGGTTGGGTGATGTTCAATGGGGACATTTAATGACCCATGAAGAAGAGTTTTCTCTCCCAAAATTTTGCTGGGGTGCACCTCTAAATTCAACCAGTGAAACTCGCAACGACATCTATAAGTCTATAAGGTGATACCAATTGATACCACCCAAGTTATGTTTGCCGGTTTGTAACACCCATCCAACTATAGGTATATCCATTATATTGTATCCATCATAAACTATAGACGATAAATTATAGTAGCATGATGTAACATGTATGTTCATGTATATTCATTCTATTTCCCCCAATTTCCCCTTGCTACTTACGAAACCCACCAGTTAGTTCTAGTGTTTTTTTGTGGTTCCACCTAAGGTGCTAACATCTCCAGCGACAGCCTCCGCGCCCGAGGGATCCTTGGTGGCCGCCAGGGCTGTCTCCTGGCAGCAGTTGAGGCGTGTTAGGATGGTTTTGGGTGGTTGTGGTTGTTGTTGTTGTTGTTTTGATAGACGCTTCATCATATTTCCATATTTTCACCATGGTTTTGTATAGGCCCTAATTTTTCACCATATTTTCATATTTTCGCCATATTTTCACCATGATTTTCACCAGGGCAAATAGAGAAAATGATGAATTAGCATGAATTAGCCGTTGAAAGGTACCCACTGGTTCATCATCATTTTCAACATCATTTTTTCCTTATGAAAATTGCCGAGCAAATTGGAGGTGTAACCCGATTTCCAGACACACCCAGCTAGATCGCTTAGTCGTATAATCATATAGCCATTGTCGATATTGTTGATACTTGTATAGATATTTTTTGAGCATACCCAGCAAATCCGGGTAATATATGGATATCCGCGGTAGCCTCCATTGGTGACTTGGAAATGTACGAGAGGGGGGGGGTTTGGGCCCCCCGCTAACTTGTAGGGAGTTGTCAATGCCCATGATGATCACATGTTCGATGAAGATTTTCATGAAAAAGATCCATAGGATTTTGCAGAACTTTAGAGATTTACTGCTTTGCCATGTTAGGCAAATCCCACGCGCAGGCGTCTCACTTGAGACTGTCACGACTCACTTACGACTGTCACATCCACTCACTTGTGACTGTCATGTTTCTCTCGGGTGGGGTGGGGTGGGTCAATAACGTTCACTGTGACTTCACACAGGTTTGTAGCTTCCACGGACTTCATTCGTCTTGCCAGTGACTTCATATTCTTTGGACTTCCTACCTATCTTCCCTTCTTTACTCTTTACACTTACTTGTCTCATCTTGACTTCTCTACTCCCTTCACTTCCCTACTCTTCACTACTGGTCATGATGATGCTGAGGAGAGTGATGATCATGATAATGGTTAAAACATATGACATAGAAGTTGACAGTGGCGATGATGATGATGATGATGATGATGACGATGACGATGACGATGACGATGACGATGACGATGATGATGATGATGATGATGATGATGATGAATCGAGACAGTCACGGATCCGCGCGCGGGTATCCCCACCGTCACAGTAGCGTGGCAAGCCACCGCCACGTCCGGATCCGAAACTCTCCGACTGAGGCGTGCCTGTCGCGCCATGGCTGGACGCTGGAGGGCTCCTTGATTTTCACCGTGCCTCAAGATCTTCGACCCTCAGGAGGTGCGCCCCGTTTATCGATAAACGGTGCCCAAACATGTTCCGACAGGATTCCCGGTGCCAAGTTTGTTTAAGGTCTTATTATCTTTTTGTCTAAAGATTTGATTTGGGTAGAGAGAGTATAGTTAGTGTGGCTTCTAAGATATCTGAAAATGATTTCACATGATTTCAAAGGTATTTTTTGGGTGATTGAAGGCGCCAATTTCTGCTGTTCGATACCCTTTAATGACCATTGGATCAAATTCTTCGGCGGCTGGCAATTTCGCGAAATCTTCCCTGACCTGCAATGTGATTCCCAGGCATGTTTGTTGGTTGATGCCCCCTTTTCACTAGTTTGATATATACGTATATTGATATGGGTATGGATCAATACCTATTAATACCATGTTTAGGGGGGTGAACATCCATTTACCAGCTATTTTGATGTTCACCAGGGGTACAAGGTTTTGACACACTGCCATATATACGTATATATTGATATATACGTATATATATATATAAATATGTATAATATTTACCATAAACCCAGCAGTTGGCCCAAATAAATCAACTTCCCAGTCAAGCAATCATCAAGCCAGCCTTTTTGTAGATTTACCCACCATTCTTGGAGTTCCAACGATGGGGCACCAGCGAAGGCTTGTTGGCCTTGGCTCGTTTGCTGTCACTGGAGACGGTGGAGGAGGTAGAGGAGCAGCGCAGCCAGCAGTTGGGGATCAATTACGGAATCGGGGACTCATTCACCAGGGACTTGGATGTATATCAACCATTGGCAATCATCTATGCAAATCCTAATCGTATATAATAGTATACTAATAGTACAGTTGGGGTACCATTAGTACAGGGTATATATCAACTCTACTATGGTACTTGAATGGTCCACGGATCGTAAATGGTTTTCATAACCGGTGAAGACAAGTCCCCGATTCCTACGGGTCTTCCACTCATAAGTGGGTTCTCCCAACCAGATGAACTTGTGAATCAGATGAAACTTGCGAATGGGCTTAGAGTGTGGCCCCACGTGAGACACATGTGAAATGTCGAGCAACTGCAAAGGCAACTGCTCTAAACTGGCCCCAGTTTGAAGGGAATTTTCCACGTACAAGTATGATATAGTAACATCGGATGACTAGCGACAATCACCATGATATTTGTAATGGTGTAACCATTTACTCTCTGGGAATCGAATGTGGCTATCGAACATGGACGAACATGACCCATTTTTCCGATGATTTACCTATCAAAACTGGTTTTCCATTACCAGAGCGGCCAATGAGTTTTCCTCACTGCCACAAACCAGGCTTCAGTTTCGGGTATGCTTTACCTATTGAGATGATTTTTTTAGTGAGGCTTTACAACGTCTGTAAAATCGTCAGCAACTGGGATGTATCTCCAACATCCAGTCTTAATGTCGGATATAAACGCAACGTCACGAGTCCTGTCGGAACAAATCGACACGGGAAAATATTCACAGAAAACTGAGGATGGAAGATCGGATCTTCTGGATGGATACACCAGGCGGGACATCTTGACATCTTCCATCCCCAAATGGTTTCTCCACCAGTTTTTTTCGTTTTTTTTTTTTACATCTTGTTTTGGGCTGATGTGACTGAAAAAGAAGTGCTTGTACCACTTGAAAGATTAGACATGTTGGCTGGTTGATTGATTGGCTCAAAAAACAACATAGATGATTCTCCCATTGAAAGATCGGTGTCTTGTGAACTAATCGCGAACTCTCCATCGCAGAGCAGAATCTAGCTTGGGTAAAATTGCTAATATTTCAGAATGGTCATCAATACCCGTTATTTTTGGATTCGCATGACATGGTATGGATTACCATGATAACCCATGTACAATACTGTATTGTCGGTTATATATACACACATATTATAATATGTATATATATATACGTATATATATATATACGTATATATATAATACATGTATATCCCATGGTTTTTCATCGTTATTCAGTAGCATGATTGTTGCCAAAGAATCCCATGAACATTTACCCACTTTGCTCGTGAGGTGGTGAGGCCAAAGAGCCTTTGAACCTGGCACTGGAGGAACGAGCATGGCAGCGCATCATCGAGTGGCTCGAAGAGGCGGTGAAACACCGGACGTTAACGCGTATGTATTACTGGGTTAACCCAAGGGTATTTTGCCATTACGGAACATAGTTATGGAACCAGAGTTAGTTCAGTTATGAACTATAGTCTACTAATAGTGATAATTATATGGATAATCCTTTCAATCCCATGAAAGTAGGTTAAGAACCATAGTTAGTTCATTCATTTATAGATGGGATACCAGGGTTGCTGTCCCCACAATCCCTGGGGCCCTGGAGGCGTTGATTTGGATCATTCCACGGATCCTGTTGGGTGACTCTGGCGATCGTGTTGGTCCCCGATTCGTGTTGGTTACCCGACCTGGTAAACTAACAAAAAACGATGGAAATTCACCATGTATGGTGAGTTTTCCCATTAAAAGTGGTGATTTTCCATAGTTATGTTAGTTTACCAGAGGGTATCTATGGTTATCAACTGGTGAAACATGTTTGGATGATTGACGATCCTAAGGCTACATTTTTGGGATGGGTGGACACCAATTTTCCCGTGTTGGTTGAAGAAATGAACACTTTAAAGAATGTAGAAAAGAATCCTGGAAGACTTTGGTAGATCCCCATTTCTATTCATCGCGTTGTGCATGATATATATATATAATATTATATTAATTATATCAATATCTATATGTGTATATGATATATGTATATGTATGTATGATATATGCATATGTGCACATATGCATATATATATACATACAATACTTCTGGGTATACTGTATACCCACACATCATAATTTTAAGGGTAGTTCATCCACCACCCAATGGGCCCCCCTGGACTTTCCCAAACAAACCAATCCAAAATTCCATTGATGAATGAACCCCAAGTGATATATCATGAGATATCAATTGTAGATCATTATAACATATATTAACATGTTATAACTTATATCTATATCACTTGTTTATTATAAAATGAAATACCTTCCATTTATATACGAATATCATTAAGAATTGATGGTTGAAATCCGCCAGAAATTGATCTGCGATTTTCGAATGCCATCTGAAAGCTATAGTTACTGTATATGTTATATTATTGCCCGCTGGTTATGACTAACAGTTCGCCATGGTATAGATGGCCCATAGAAAGTTCGATGGTTTACCGAACTTAAAAATGGATAAAATGGTGGATCTTTCCATGGCGAAATGTTAAAAAACCAGATGGTAGTTATATTATTATATCCGTAAAAAAATAGCACAAATTACTGGTTGGTGGTTTGGAACCATGGAATTTTGAATGACTTTCCATATATTGGGAATGTCATGATCCCAACGGGCTTTCACTCCATCATTTTTCAGAGGGGTAGGTTTTTCCCACCAACCAGTAGTGATATTCCCATTAAAACTTCATTTACAGGGCATTTTCCCATTGAAACCACCAACCAGATGATATTATTATTCCATAGTGATAAGCCGATCAGATCTCCCAGTGTCCCAACCATAAACCTCCACACTTAGTTCGATGATTGTCCCAACCATAAACCTCCATTTCAAGATGATTAACCTCCATTTATAGATTTTTCCAATCATAAACATGTTTTTTCCATCATAAACCTCGATGATTTTCCCATTTTTCCCATCACCAGGCCTTCCAGACCTCCTCCCGTGCGGCCTCCGACGCCACGGACGCCTTTGCGCGCGCCGTTCCGCGGAGTACGGAGCGCCGGATGGCGGAGGCGCTCAGCGCAGTGCTGCTTGGGGAAGCGACGGTGCTGGCGCGCGCCAAAGAAGCGGCCAGGGGGACCTGGGGATGATTCGCTGGGAAGATGGCAACGAAGTGGTACCCTCTGGTTATTTGTTACATAGCCATGGTATAGATGGCCCTAATCGAAATAGATGGTTTACCTGGGTTTACCTATTAAAAATGGTGATTTTCCATGGCTATGTTAAATAACCAGAGGGTAATCCAAGGATATGTTCAAGGATTTTTCGGCAGTTGCTATTTGGGTTACTAAAAAATGTATATATATATAAATAATGTGTTTGATATGATGATTTCCTGGCCTGATCAAATGCACATTTTTGGTTGGTTAAATCAGAAGTCCCCAAAAATTGTCTTGTTTCAGGAAATTCAAAGGTTTGATTGCCAAATTTATTGTTTTCGATTGGTTAAACGAATTGAATCTGATTATTGTCGGTTTGAACAGCAAACTGAGCACATTTCGCCGAAGATGTGACAGCTTGAGATTTTCACGCACAACTTTGCATCCAGACTTTGCCGGACATTTCAGTGCTTAGCCCCTCTTCAAACGACGTGAAAAATCCTCTGCAGATCTCTGCAGCAAGTCTTCGTCGCAGCCATGGGGATGGGACCATCATCGGAAGTGAAGGGGAACATGGTGCAATTGGTGTGGACCTCTACGTGTTGTCCCGGCCTGAAGCCTTTGCAAGGGGGGCCCCCAGCCTGGTTGAAGGACAACTATGAGACCTGGTGACGACTGGTGATTTTTTAACACGACATGGTGATTTTTAGAGATTTTTAGATATGTTTAAAATCAAAACATAGATTTATCTATCATGATAGGGGAATCTACTTGGATGTGTACATATTCCACTCAGCAAATGGTTTATATATAACTTAATAACCCAGATATCAGATATCACCCACTGGGGATAAAAATAAATAAATGAATAAATAAATAAATAAATAAATGAACAATAAATAAATAAATAAATAAATACATAAATAAATAAATAAATATATATATATATGCACACACACACAACTCGATCGATAATTTATATGGATTCTTAGCGACATACAAGTCCTGGGATGCACCTCCAAGTACTGGCCATCTTTTTTTTAAAACTACTGTTTTTTTGCCCCCCAGAAAGGGGCCAACAACAATTTCCAAGGAGAAGATCGTGGAAATCGGAGCAGCCTATGGCAAGTGCATCTTGTGCCAAATGGACTGCTGTGGAACTCCCATCATTCCCAGTGAGTGGGCGGACGAGAGCAAGAATGCGCCCTTGCAGGAGATGAGATCCAAGTTCCTGGGAAGCGATGGCAGCCATGGCCATCGAATAGCCTTGCCCTTTTGAGTTGTGCAGTTGGTGCCCATGACTATGATATCTCTACTATAAATAATAGTTGTTATATGTTGTTATACTGTACTTATCAAGCAACAATTATTTTTTTGCCTTACAGCCACGAAGCTCACAAACTTGGGATCAACGTGAGGTTCCCACAGTACACCTTCACCTTTAGGCCGCAGTGGGTGGGCCGTGGGAAGCACGCGAGTTGGAACCATATCTTGCAGATCACCAACACCCCCACAGCAGTCGTCGGCCAAGTCGTAGGGGCACCAGGGCAGCAGAATATGTAGAGAGAATTGCACTGCCTAAGGCAGGAGCACTGCACTGAGGATGTGAAAAACTGCATAGTAGGCCTTCCCGAACGCATGTGATCACACAGATCATGTTTAGTAAAAGCGGAAACTAGCTGCTCTCATCAAAGAAAATTTGATGTGGTAACCTCAGGGAGCTATTTGGAGTTTTCGGCAGTTTCATTTGCGGTCGGGCTTAGAGCATATTGAAGGGTGACACATCTCGACTTGACGCAAGCGCCATCTAGATCTAGATGATCTGCGCAGACAAAAAAGAGCTGGAACTTAAACTCCCAACACCCATCAACAACGCCAAGAAAAGCACCCATAAAATCATTCTTACAACATCTTACAACCCAGTTTTTGCTGGGGAAGTCCCAAGTTCTTATTGCTCAAGTTCTCCTTTTTGCGACTGGAATGCATAAAAAAAATCCACAATTTCTTGTGGCTGACATCCCAAATTTCATTGGTCAAATCTTCAAAGTTTTGTTTATGAAATCTATTGAAATCTCCTTTTTGCTTGGTGAAAAACCTCCAAAACTCGTCGGACAGATCAGTTTTCCCAGGTGAAATCCCCCCACCCCAAGTTCCCATTGGCGAATCCACGAGGTTTTGCTGAGTTAAACATCGTTAAACTATACGTACTTAGTTTTGCAAGTTCTTGTTGCCAAAATTTGTTCCTGATGTCATACTGTGGATGGTTGCGACATCCTGCTTGGTCACTATTGGAAACTTAGTTTAACACTGTAAATAATGGGATTATTAATTGTTATAATGGGATTTTGCCTATCTACCAGCTGGTGCAGGATTTCTCAACCACAGTAGGTCATTGTAATAGGGAGTTCCAATTACTTGGGTCATTTTCTAGAGTTCAAACAAGTCGAATAACTCCCTGATCCCCGGTTGAATGTTTCATCTCCACATCTACTCTAGTACGAAGCTGGTCTAAAAGCCGAAAAAACTTCAAGAACTATAGTATACTATAGTTATATATATATGTATATATATATAATATATACATACATCATAAACCATGGTTATGCCGCTTCTAATGATGATCCTATAATATTTTAAAATACTATAGGTATGCAGCTACCCCCTGAGCTCGTAAGGCCATTGCTCGACTGCAGCGCTACCAGCGACGCCAAGGGAAGGCGAGCGGAGGGCGGGGGATCCTGTCCTTGGACCGTCCAAGGACTTGAGAGATGGCGACGAAAAACCCACCGAAAATGCGAACTCAAAGTCATGAAAAACTGGGATTTAACTGTTTAAAATATTCTAGAATGGTGATAAGCAACTCAGAAATTTTGTCTTTGTTTTTTGCATGAAAAATTGGGATTTAGCCATCTAAAATGGGGCTTTAACTCACAAACCTGAGGATGTTTTTGTGATTTAACTCATGGGACATTGGGATTTCATCGACAATTCCATGGGGGTATCATGGGAACCCCAATAAGACATCAACATGGGGGTATCATCCGAATCCCCATTAATATAGATATATCACCTATTATTATAAGCCATAGATATTTCATCAACAATTCGATGGGATAATCTGGAGAAGTTTGATCTAGACCAACTTCGTCGCCATGTCACAGGTTACATCATGGCAAATTGGATCAGTGAATCATTTTTTTACCCTCTGGTAATTTATCATAACTATGGAAAATCCCCATTTATAGTGAATTTTCGCATGACAAATGGTGATTTTCGTTATGTTATGTAAACGTTTACCAGGTCGGGTAGCTATCCAGATGGATAGTGACACTGGCCACATTTATAGTGAATCCCCTGTGGCCTGCCAGTGCCAGGTTTGAAGTGCTTTCGACAATGATTGACCAAACTTGTTGGAACCAGTTGTGAAGAAGGTGGTTTTGAAGTGGCTTTAAACAACAATGGTGCTTTTCGTTTTTTTTCATTCGCAATCTACCCCCTTTTCGAACAACACAAAAACAGGCGCGATTTTTGTTGATTGTTACCTCTTGACAGAGATATTCCAGCCATTTCGACAAAACGAGCGAATCTAAGCCAGCTACCCCGGAATCGGATGAAGAATCGGAAAAGCTCCAGAATTCCAGTGTTTCATCATGGTTTCCTGATACTCTCTGGTAATTTAACAGTTTGCTATTGAAAATGACAATTTATAGTGGATTTACCCATTAAAAATGGTGATTTTCCATAGTTATGTTAGTTTACCAGAGGGTAAATTTCCATGGAAGAAATCCATGTATCCCCATCATTTCATGGGGATGGCTGGGTGACCAAGGTGACATACGGTGACCGTGCTAGGTGCTGGGAGAAGAAGCCTGGCGCAAGAGGCAGATGAAGATGAAACAGGATCAACGCCTAGGGGGCCTAGGGGGCCTAGTAGGTCGGGCCTGGGTTGTTTTTGAAAACTGAATGGAACATCATTTGTTTGTGCTGATGAGGTTTTATTTTGAACATTTTAAGGTTGATTTGCTGTTGATGGTTCTCAGAGCCTATATCGAAATCAGTACCACAGTACCAGAATTTCATACACATCCATCAACATCAGCACCAAATCAAGACCAGTTTTATCACCATTTGTTGAATTCTTGGGTTGGTCTGACAATAGGTTCAATAGGGTCCCCCATTCCATCCCACCGGTTCATCGTATCATTTGCACTCAAAATTGATCAAATGCCCATGAAACAATGGGGGAATATGAAATTTAGACCATGGGATGAAATGATGAAATGGGCTCCAGATTCTGAGACAACCATGGGTTCAAGTAATCAGCCAAAGATCTGAGATATGTCAGCCAAAATTGGGGATTTAACCGCGTTGAACAAACAGAAATGGAGTAGAAGTTACCCAAGTTCCCCCAGTGGTATCCTCAAGCACCTCGGAATGTGCCTCCGCCAACGAATGGGATGAGAAATGCAATCCTACAGGGTCCCCAGTTCGGAATCGCTAAGTTGTTTTATATAAGTCGAATAACTATGGCTTATATATAGGTGATATATCTATATAGTTAATGGGGTTTATAAACCAACTTATAACTGGGGGGCACCACCTTGTAGGACCTCAAATCACCTCAATCCTCATCTTTCACACTCACATGCATAGACATGGTGTACCAAAATCAACCCGGACATATGTTTCCTAAATTCGGACATTGTTCAGATCACTACTACCAGTTCTGTTCGGTCCGTGACCGGTCGAGAAAAACCGGTCAGTGTTCAGCCTTTTAGTGGTGTATTGGCTTTGAACATCTTGGAATAATTTCGCACTTGGGCAACTCATTGCCAAACAAGTCAAAATCTGATTGGTGGTTTGGAACATGAATTTTATTTTCCATAACATCTATGGGAATAATATGGAATAATCATCCCACCTGACGAACTCCATCATTTTTCAGAGGGGTAGGTTTTTCCCACCAACCAGAAATGATTTTCCCATTAAAACCCCATTAAAACCGGGCATTTTCCCATTAAAATCCCATTAAAAGCCCATTAAAACCATCAACCCCCATCCACCTGGGTCAGTCACCATCGGCACGTTTTTTAAAGCTTGAATCCCAGTGGTTGATGGCATCATGTAACGTGTCACATGTCATTAATAATATGTTTGTATATATATATATATTATTATTGTTATTATGGGGTATAATATAACACTAATATATATATGTATAACACTAATTCATGTCATATAACAATAATTATTAGTGTTATTATTATTATAACACTAATAATATTATATATTATACACTAACCAATAATTATTAGTGTTATTATTATTATTGTTGTTATAATATATATATATAGACAAGACTTAGACTTAGACTAGAATTTGAGAGTTTCATCCTCGTTTTGGCTGGGGGTCGCGGTATCGCTTACAAACGAGACATTTGCATCGCTTACAACCGCGCAATTTGCATCGCTTACAACCGCGCAATTTGGATCGCTTACAACCGTCATGGAATCATCATCATCATCATCATCATCATCATCATCGTCATCGTCACCATCATCACCATCATCATCAGCATCACCGTCACCGTCACCGTCACGGTCACCATCACCATCATCATCATCATCAGCAGCAGCAGCAGCAACAGCACCATCATCACTTTCACGTCTTTCCTTCTTCATCATCAACATCATCATCAGCAGCATTTTCATCATCATCATCATCATCATCATCATCATCGTCATCACCAACATCATAATTATCATCACTTGCACGTCTTTTCCTTCTTCATCATCAACATCATTGACATCAATAACCGAAAAATGTCTGTTCGGAACCGAAGGATCATAAGGTTTTTTTTGTTAGGTTGACAAAGCAGCCCTTGCTGCTTGTAAAATTTATGCTGTGTCTTGCTCCTCCTTCTCTGTTTTGCTCTGCTGTCCTTCTGTTACTTCGTGTGGCCCTCCACTTCTTTGCCTGCCACTCTCGCGGCAGAAAAAAACCCTGAAGGGGTCGTACCTGTGTACTTCCTGTGTGAAGCAAAGAAACCCTAAGGGGTCGTACCTGTGTACTTCCTGTGTGAAGCAAACCCTAAAACAGGACTGGTGGTGTAAGTAATGCGAATTTGCTGGTTGTAAGTGATGCGGTGGGTGTAAGTGATGCGAATCTGGTGGTTGTAAGTGAGTCTCCTACCCTGGGGTATAGCCATTTTCCAGACATATACTACATATACATTTTGTGTGTAATAGCTCTTGCTTACAAGCCTTGGAAAGCTCCAGAACTCCCCCAGGACTGGCGGGTGGAAGTGAGAGCCGCTGAGCCATGGGAGGAAAACAGTGCGAGACAGCCTTGTTGATTGATGATTGCATAGAAAGGACATATCAATGGCCATTTCAGGAACCTAAATTGGAGGTACCTACAATATATAAGGCCTATATAAGGCGTATGTAAGCGAATATCCCCACAACATATGGCCTTATATAGTACAGTACCTACATTTTAGGATCCTGAAATTCCCATTGAACATATGGAAGTTTCCTGAAATGGCGGTACCCCCAAATCATCTATTTCTAGGGGGTTAATAATGGGGGTTTTCCATGATAAATTAATATAAATTATAAATCCATCCATTTGGTGGTACCCCCGTTTATGGAAACTCCCATATGGGGTTGTACTATCCTTTATCTCTTGGTATATAGTTGATATAGTCATGATATAGTTGAACACATGATGGTTCATGATTACATTATATATTTGATATGGGGTTATATTACCCTATATATAGGGTTATACACGGACTAATAATATATTGGAATGGATCATATTGCATGATTGTGGGGTTATTGGTTAAAATCCCAGTTGAATGGTTATGCAATCCTTTATCTGATTGGTGGTTTGGAACATTTTTTATTTTTCCATATATTGGGAATAATCATCCCGACTGACTAATACTTTTCAGAGGGGTTCAAACCACCAACCAGTTGTGCTATCCTTTATTTATTGCAGATTATCACATGAAATGGATCGAAATTTCACATCTGTTCTCAACCGTTTCCCAGGGACTTGAAGGGAATCATCTCACTCAGCTTTCATGGGGATGGGTCAAGTTACCTTCTGGTTTTACCATAGTTTGGGATGGATAAACATCCATTTACCACCTATTTTAGTGTTTTCAGGGTGGGTTTTGATTCCTAGCCATATGAAACGATTTCTTTCCACTGAAAAATTGAAAAGGTGATAGGAAACGATGATCCCAATTGACTCAACTGGCTCAGGTGACGTCACCCGTCGGTGGCTTCGAAGGTGGCTTCAGGTGCTGGGGATCTTTGGATTTGGCTGGGAATAATTAGTGAATGGTGTTGAGGGAAATCATCCCCTTTTATGGCCGAACTATTCAGGTTAGTGAAATATGTGAAATATGATAATTTACCCTGCATATTGAAACTCCAGTTGCACTGGTGCACTGGTGCACTGGCTGGTGCACTGGTGCAACGGTTGAGCTACAGTTCCTGTTCTCGTCTGGTTGCATTGAAGTCAGCAGTGGCACAGGATTTACCAACAGCCAATGTGCCAATGTGCAGAATCAGGACATGAATCTCATGGCCATTGCATATCACATGCTGCTAACATGCTGCCTTTCAGCTCGTCACGCCCGAGCAGGACATCTAAAAACACTATGTCGCACATTTGTGTTTTGGTATATATGATTCTTGTTCACACCACTTGTTTTGAAGACAAAGAGACCGCATGTTTCTTCGGTCGCGCGGCACTGTTTGTGCAGCCAATACTAAATGGATCTAAACACACGGCGTGCAGAGGTTGGGGCTGGAAGATATCCTTGAAACCAGAAGATCTAAGGAATGGTTGGCTGGCTGCAAACATATTGTTTTCCTGAAAATGGGATGATAACGAATGGTGATCCGAATTCGGATTCTCAACAGCCTGGTGAATTCAATTGCCATTTCTCCAGATGGGGGTTTCATGGGGTTTCCACAAATGGGGGTACCCCCAGTCATCATCCATTTTATTTGAGGATTTTCCGAATTTCCCCATCAGAAAACCATCCAGCTATGGGGCTACCACCATGTATGGAAACCTCGATATGTATGGTATATAAATAATATTATTTATAGATATTTGTAAATGCTACTATATATATATATATACACACATACAACATATATTTATGGAAACCTCCAGATTCCAGATCAATCCATTTTCACTTAAAAGAATGCTGCTTTCCCCGAGGATTTCCCCCGAGGTTTTTCGCAGGGCCAGGTATTCCACCGATTCCTGGTCCAATGAGGAGATCATGGTGATATCATCTGGATGTTTCTTTGATCACGACCTTGAGGAATTTGATATTAATCTGCATCTGTATATATCAATATACATGTATATATATACATATGATTGATGATATGATATAATCTGGATGAATTTGATGACCTCACATCGTGATGTCACTGCGGTGATAAGAAATTTAGGGGAATCACGGCCGAAGTTTGCAGCTATTGGTTTATTGGTTAGTGAATTCTTCTAATTCAGCCAGATATACTCCGGTGATAGTGGATGGCGCTAAGTCAATTGATGATACTATCCGGAGATATCTGGAGAATTCAGATTTACCTCGGTGTAATGGTGACACAACCTGGAGAATTTACCCCTCTACCCATTTTACCTTGTGCCTGGCAACCCCCTTTTAGCCTTAAAAATTCAATGAGAAAAGGATGACTTTTGGAGGGGTACTGCAGTGGTACATTTTGTTTCGAACAAGCCCTAGTGAAGAAATGTCCCCGGATACAACTGGGGAATCTCACATATCCAGCTATGGAGAACTATGGTTTCTAACCCAACGGGGATGCAAGGTCCAAGCCTTTTTTCCATGAAAACTCACCTGCAGAATTTGTGACTTACCCAACTTTGGTGCCTTGGATGGTTAGTTCAGTACTTGAATCGTTTCCCATTTTGGGGAGATTTCTTTGTACCAGTTTCAGAACAACACCTGTTGCAAGCTATCTAAGATTGGCCATGATTCCTCCCAATAGACAACATATCTACTATTATTTCTATATGATATAGATACCATAAATGGACAATATAAAATATGTAGATAATTAGAAAAGCAATATACCATATATTGGCCATTATTTCTACCATGATATATATATATATATATTATATTATATATATAATAGACATTAATTTTCTACCATATATGATTTCTACATTGTCTAAGATTGGTATATATATATATATGATAAACATATGTAACATATATATATATATATAACCATGACCTCCGCTTGTGGCAGAACGGCTTGGAAATGATTGGCGGCGGTCTCTCTCAAAGCCAGGCAGTTCGTGCGTTTCCCGCGCCCTGAGGTGTTTTCTAATGGGATTTCAATCGGAATTTTCAGATTTTTTCCATGATTTTCATGGGATATTTTCAGCACTATTTTCAGCGGATTTCAGATCTGGAAAACTCATGTAGATCTGGAAAACATTTTTTTTATTGAAAAGGATTTACCCTCTAGTAATTTAAAATAGCCATGGAACATGGCCCATTTATAGATGGTTTACCTATTAAAAATGGTGATTTTCCATGGCTATGTTAAATAACCAGATGGTACACACTGGATTTTTCCACATCTAAACGTTTGACCAGGTGGGTACCAGCTGGCTGGTCACTTGATGCATCCCTCTCAGGAAATGGTGTGAAAATTCCAATGGTTTCTTTTTCCTTTAAAACCTAGATCTGTCTAAAAACATATTGAATACATATTATATATATATCATATAACTATATGTTTATATAAGTTCATCTATTTTTTTAAAAACACATCAATTTTTGACCTATTTTGAGAACGGGGACTGGGATTCATCCTTTAATTCATCCCAGCACCATATCCCACCATGGGCCATAGGAGCGGTGGAGCGGTGGAGCGGTGGAGCGGTGGAGCGGTGTGGCTTGTTATTTTCCAAGGAGATCCACCATTTCGACATTTATGTGGGCATTTTGTTATATAACAAAAGTTGTTTTCCCCACCTGCCAGGTGAGGGTTGTTAGATTTTATCACTCGAAGTAAAGTAATTTTTCCAAATGAACATTAATGATATTTACCATGAAATTTGAAAAGTATTGTGGATTGGATTAAAAGAACATTTACAGGAAACGATGAATTTCATGGAAAAACCATGTAAAAACCCTGGTTTTCGTCCAAGTCAAAGCCCAAGTTTGGTTTGGTTGTCACAGAGGTGCATGGAAAGTCACCTGAATACGATTTCTCATTCCTCACCACTGGTATATATGTATATCTGGTTGGTGGTTCTTTTTTTTTTAATCCATAATATATATGGGATGTCATCCTTCCCAACTGACGAAGTCCATCATTTTTCAGAGGGGTAGGTATACCACCAACCAGGTATATATGTACATGTGAATTGGATCCCACAGTTCCATCCGAAGGTTCTATAGTTTGAGACAAGAACCGACTTCGGTTACCCTCTGGTAAACGTTTACAAAAAACTATGGAAAATCACCAATTTTAATGGGTAAATCCACCATAAATGGCAATTTTCAATAGCTATGTTTGTTTACCGGAGGGTACACATGACAAAGAACATCTCGCATGCCGAGTGATCAAACACTCATCGACAATTCTTGAAAAAACACATCACCAACTCCATCAATGTTCAGAAGAATTCATCAAACATTGAACAGCACTAGGATTTGTTCCACTGCAACCCATCAAATTCAGCAAATGGATGTAATATTGTTTTATCATCATGGTGAATTGCAACCTATCAACAAATCCATCAGCCCGTTAGTATAATCGGCATTGAATATTAATTTGGAATCAATTATTACAATTATATGTTGATACCGAATATATCATCAATCAATCAATCATTCAATCAATCAATAAATATGATCATATCTATCATGAAATATACATTTCTAGCTGTGACCCAACAATGATAAAACACCATCAATGATATAATCTTGGCCCAACGATTCGTAGGCCGCTCGCTCGTTGGATCCTGTCGATTCCACAGCCGTGGGCGAGCGATAGGTGCTGCAGCTGCCATGTTGGGAGCCTCAGTGGAGAAGACTTGCCTGCGGATGCCTGTGTTACAGTATGCGAACTGGAAAATGGCCCATTTAGTTCGTTGAGTTAGCTATTGAAAATTTCAGGGTGATTTTCCAGTTTGCTATCTTACTTTGCCAGAGGGTAGATATAGAGACACTGAAACGAGGGGTGGTAGGAGTAACTATCCCAAACTGGCCTTATTTCAGAAGGTTTATAGCACCCCCCCAAAAGATAGGACAGCAAAAGAATGTTGTGAAATGGAAGCAATACGTACGAAATTTCCATCTTTTTGGTAGTTACATAGAGATAACCAACATTGTATCCCGGGATACACTCCGGGATACATGGGTAAACATGGCTGGGTAAATCCCGGTACATGATACGACCTAGAAAAGACGGGATTTAAGGAATATGAAATGCGTGTATTAAAATACATATATATATATATAATGTGTTACCCTCTGGTAAATTAACATAGACCCTGAAAATCACAAATTTTTAGTGGAAACGAGCATCTTCCAACCCCGATGACTGGCAGGGTCGAAGTGTTAATTTACTGGAGGGTATGTATATTATATCCATATGGGTGGGGTACACCAGCTAGGTGAATCTTGATGAAAACTTCTGGTAAAAAGTAGCGACTTCTTTCAACACCTTTTTGGTAGAGGACTGTGCAGCGCGGCTAGAAACAAGTATGATTGCAGGGAATCTAAGATTATCCAGCTACGTAGTCAACCATCAAGTGTGATGACTGTATCCTGTATGTAGTATCCACGTATGTACTGGTACTAACCATTGGTTAAGTGTGGCCATGGCTGTGGGGGAAAAATGCAAATATGTCCTTGGCTCCATAGATACTCAGTTATCGCAACCTTCCCGGTGCGATGAGGACAGCTGTCATGTTGCACCTGTCCAATAATGGAAAGTTCATATGTGTCTGAACATGGGGGATACCCTCTGGTTATTTAACATAGCCATGGTATAGATGGCCCATTTATAGATGGTTTACCTATTAAAAATGGTGGATCTTTCCATGGCTATGTTAAATTACCAGATGGTACCTACAATTCATTAAAAAAGTATGGCCAAATATAATGATTAACTAATGGATTAACTAATGGATGTGTGGCTACCCTCTTTTCAGACATAAATGGTACATTGAACCATTTACATTTTTGTGGAAAATATACTCGCCAGGAGAAGAAAAAACATGAAAAAACTCAGGTAAAGTACACCCCGTATCCACAATGTATCTCTGATAGTGTCGGACATGGTACATGTCACAGTACACAAAAGGTGGATTCCAGCAAAAAATCCTAAAGGCTATGTGCCAGTTGTGGAGCTTATGGATTCTTTCTTCATGTCACTGATGTGTGGTGGGCTGACTTTACCATTTTCGTCCAGGCACCTACAAAGCAATTCAGCAGGTTCCAGCTGCAGCTGTACAATTTGTGTTCAAGCTGTAGGCATCAAGCACAGCCCCACAACACGTCAGCAAGAGGCCCAACTGTTCTGCCATGTTCTTCCAACTGTTGCCCATCTACATTTTTTTTTCCCGAGTCAGAAATTCACCAGAGGTTTTCCTGCCATATCAATCAGGTCAGCCTGGCTGATGAAATTCCCATTTTTCAAAACGTCAGACCTAGCTGATTCGATAAATCCTGCAGCGAGCACTAGCTGGCAGGCTCGGCTGAACAGGGCTCCAAAAAGATCCCCAATTGTTTGTTGGGTTCAAACATCAAGCTGAGTATGAGATAGTAATGAAAAACTTTTTTTTAAACCTTCAAGATGTTTCCGGTAGGAAATTTTTGGACCCCTATCAAGTGCAATCTTGTGGACCGTAGCATTTGTTCCTAAGCGTGGCTAAGTCGAGGTACCTTTCAAGTCTAAACACCATTGGAAACCAAACCAGCCACATTTTGGTCAGTTGCAGACCTGGTGGATCGTTTCATGCCCAAAAAGATCAAACATATTATTGAGAAAAAATGGTGGTATCATGTGGTATCGACCATGGTAGGCATTGTGGATTTTTGACTGCTCAGGGATGATATCGGGCTCGGTTTACCACATTGCTTTGATTAACAGTTCACTGGTTAAATATCGATACAATACTATATGTATATCACGATTGTAACTTACCTACCAGCAGCTTTTTCATAAGATTCGCATTCATAAGATTTAGAATCCATTCCTCCTAATTTAAACCACCAGAAAAGCCTGGAGGTATACCATACCACAACTCCGTTACCCACATTAGATACCAAGTAACGTTACCAAGCAACAAACAGTTACCACATATACTTATATACATTAGCAATTCCCAGCAGCAACATATTTTGGGTTTGATAAGCATGAAGATCATAAAGTTTTGTTTCCATATATCCTGGTAAGTATATGTATAAGTATGTTGATAAATATGTTGGCTGATACCGACATATACCAACTAATTATACTTGCCAACATATTAGTCAACATAGTTACCAGCACCCATTCCCATGTCCAAAGACGTTCTGCAAGGCCATGGTCGTCCTGTCGCTGGGTGAGGATGCTGTCCCGCATGCACGGGCGGCTTCACCAGCGCTGAATGCTGGAAGCGGAGGCCCAAAAGAAGGGTTGAACCGCAAGAAGTGGGGCTATGATGGGCTATGAACATGCATAAATGCTGCACAAACATCAGGCCTGTTGTAACTCAAAGTTGAGGACATTGCGGGGCAAAGATTTTGAGGGATTTTTCTTTAATGTATTTGAAGCAGCGAGAGCCAAGATTGGTTCGGCCAACAGCATTGGTAGATATTGGTAGTTTAACTATGTACCCAGAGGAAACCAACGTAGCGAGGGAGAAACCATGGCTTGACATGGGAAATCGGTCTAATAGTGGTGGGTTTCCACCTCTGGGCGAACTTTCCGTATCAGAAAATGGTGTTTCTAAAACAAAGAGACATTTATTTCGAAATACCATCTGGCTATTTAACATAGCCATGGAAAGATCCACCCATTTTTAAGTTCGGTAAACCATCTATTTCTATGGGCCATCTATACCATGGCTATGTTAGTCATAACCAGAGGGTATATTCCCAACTATATCCCATTAGATCCCATTAATTCCCATTAAGTCACCATAAAACACCATTAGTTTACCAGGGATAGTCATAACCAGAGGGTATATAAAAAAATTTAACTGTGGGACATTTTCTCTCTTTTTTTTGTGGCCAGCAACTGCCTCAACTGCCAGGTCTCCAGAAACTCCAGAAACTTCGGCCAGGTCAGGAGGCGCCGAAGAGAACATTTTCACCAGGGGATTGTAACTTGGTGGTTGGTAATTACTGCAAGGTGGTGCCCCAGTTCGGAATCGCTAAGTTGGTGCAAATAAGTCCTATGGTCCTAGGCTTTATGGAGGTTATATCTATAGTTAATGGGGATTATAAACCAACAAACATAACTGAGGGGTACCACCTTGTAGGTAAGCTTACTGGGATAAACTTACCAATGGGATAAACTTACCATTATTTCATATTTGCTGGAGAACTTTGAGAGGGATCACTGGTTCTGAAATTTTGTGTATCACCACAACTCTAGAAGTTAAACACTTCATTTTTCCATCTTTCGGATAGCCGAAAAATGATTGGAACATAGACTCTATGGCCCAACATCAGGTAATAATCTGGGTGAACTTCAACGCGATCTCAGCCCCAAAATGATGGTGGTTATGTGGCACTGCCTCTCCACTCATTGCCTTTTCCAGGTGGTGAATAGTATCATCGCCAGTATCCTCGATTGTAATCCAAAAAACATCATATCATACGCACGCATACATACAACATACATTTACTACGCATGAATATAAATGTAATACAATATGATATACTATGATATACTATGATATGTCATGTAATATTTCATGTAATGTAATGTAATGTAACAGTTACAATGTAACATAAACATTAATATGTATATACAGTATACACATACATTGTATTGTATACCATTGTCCAGACCGTGTTTTTTGGTACTCAACCTCAATCCTTCCGTTGACCTCAAACTGGGCAGTGAAACATCGCGGGTTGAACCCTGGGAGGACAACCAGCAAACAGTGCGAAAAAAACATGGATTTAAAACATTACATGATATATGGAATATATATATATAATGATTATAAATATATATATATACATACCGGTATATGTTTTTTTTTTTAATTAGACCACCAGTTAGATTAATGGACTATCCCTATTGGATTGTATGGGATGAAATATGGGCTATATATATATATATATTATATATGGATTGTAAATCAGGGATCCTAAGTGGGATGCACATGCAAGACATGAGATGATGGAGACCGAATCACATTGGGGGCCCCATCCTGTAAGTTGTCATTAACTATAGTGATCTATTAAAAATTCTATAAATATATATATATATATCTACCATGAGATAGACTCAAACATGGTGAGTCATCTATGTTTATATTAATATATTAATATATATATATATATATGTCATTTATTTATACCATAAACCATGAGTCATGCGAGCTGGGAGCTTGGTGTGTGTTCAAGGGATGACCAACCATTCCTGGCCGTCAAAGTGAAAAAATCATCCGGCAGGATGGGGAAAACGTAGTCGAAATCGCGTTCCGTTCAGTTGCCTAAAAACATGGCTGAATGAACTATGGTTTTCATGGTAGATATAGCTATAGATCATTATAGATCACTATAGTTAAAAATATGGGGTTTATAAGCCAACAAACGTAACAGGGGGGCACCACCCTGTAGATCTGTTTGATTTTTGGATATTGAATGACACATGGAAACAAGATACATCGAGACCCGCCCTCAAACCAAGCCGTGGTTTCCATTATTCCTATCATTTTGATCCTTACCCTCTGGTTATGTCAAAATAGCTATGCAAAATGGCCCAGTCGAAATCCTTGATTTACCCAGCAACAAAAAATGCTGGATCTTTCCATCGTTTTTTGTAAACGTTTACCAGGTCGGGTAAACCTCCATTTTCCTATGGTTTTTCCTACATTTTCCCATTTTCCTAGCAATCGGCAATGTCCCATGAGTTCCGATGAATTCCGATGAGTTCCCGGTCCAGCTCGGCAAGGAATCTTCCCGAAGCCCAAGGACGCCCAAGCCTCGCCGTCGGATGGTGAATGTTTTTTGGGGAGGATCATCCCCATAGGCCCTAGGCCGGTTCTGTTCAGCGATTTTCGACATCATTAGTGACATATGATGATGATCAATTCGGCCGGAATGATGTAAAAGTATGCATAGTATGCTAGAGATGATCCATTTTTTTGGGATATCCATGGAATTTTTATATCATCGATAATCCGCCCTGGCAAGGACCGAGCCTCCACCGGCCGCCATGGCTGCGACGGCCGCGCCAACGGCTGCTCCGGTGCCGGCCACGCCGCCCGCGGAGAAGGTGTTTGCGGCGAAGGTGGAAAAGAGGGTGGAAAAGAAGGCGCAGACGTGGACAGCTGCCGGGTTTCGGTCCTCTGATTTGAAGTGGGGGTTTCCATAAATGGAGGTATCCCAATAGCTGGATGGTTTATTTCAGGGAAAATCCATGAAAATCAATGGATGATGACTGGGGGTAGCCCTATTTCAGGAAACCACCAAGTAGTGAACAATGCATCATCCTACATAGCATAGCACCTTTGGGATTCATAGTGTATGGTTTCGATGGTGGGACACCGCAGGCGAAATCTCGACATGCCTCAGTCGGCGCGCGACAGCGCACCCTTGAGGCTGCCAGGGTATTGTAGCCTCATTAGCCTCGAACTGGAGGATTCATGTCCCAAAATATGGGTTTGTTAATTGGATAAATGGCGATCTATATAATAAAATATAATATAATATGATATAATATAATATAATATTTCATAACATAATATAATATAATATAATACAATATAATACAATATAATACAATATAATATAATACTTGTATAATACGTGCATAATATACTATAATATGATATAATATAATATAATATGATATGAAATATTATAAACAATAATATAGTATGATATGATATTCTACGATATAATATGATATAATAAACTATGATATGATATGATATGATATCAAATATTATAAACAACAATATAGTATGATATGATATGATATAATATAACATAATATAATATAATATAGAATAAAATCAAACAATATAATATAATATAATATAATATAATATATAATATAATATAATATAATATAATATAATATATAATATATAATATATAATATATAATATATAATATATAATATATAATATATAATATATATATAATATAATATAATACAATGTAATATAATATAATGTAATATAATGTAATATGATATAATATAATAGAATATGATATGATATGATATAATATAATATAATATACACCAGAAGACGTTGCATATCTTGATATATATATATTATATTGGCTGTACTGAGGTTGATGGGTGTTTAATGGGGGTTTATATCAGATGGGGTATGAACTTGTATCGGGATTCACTATCGAAAACAGGTATTTTTCATGTATTTTCACCATCAACAACAGGATTTGTGGAAATGAGATAAGGCACTATGTGTTTGTCCGAGAATGAGGTATGCTCCAAATCCATTTATCATCATATTCCCCATTGGCATGTGCTTATCGATTTTGGGGCATGCCCCATTCCCAAACACACCAACAAATTGCAATACAGCCGGCATGGACATACACTTTGGTAAATCCAAAATGGCTGGCTGCAAAATCCCGATTGTCAGTAGGAATATGATGTACAAATGGGGCATTTTGCGTTGCAAACTTAGACTTACCAGACACTTCTGTGCCCTTTTCGCTTTGATTATGGATTCCACGACAACTTGAGACAGGCAAACGCGGCATGTTCTGGCTGATGGTTTCAAAGGTTTTGTTTTTTGATAATTCAACCAGAAGAACCATTGACTATTCTCGCATATGACCGCAATCTAAATATTCCTAACAAACTTATCGGAATAGTTACTGTACCCTCTGGTTATTTAACATAGCCATGGAAAATGGCCCATTGATGGATGATTTTCCCACTAAAACCTCCATATGTTATAGTTCTCAATCCCAAAGTTATTTTGTCCATCGGTCCATGCCACAGCCAGCCCATCTCCAGGAAAAGGAAAACATGGGAAGTTCCCAGGAAAGTAGCAGCGTTTTGTGTGGAGCTAAGAATGGGCTTGGAGGATTATCCACAGATCGTAAGTGGTTAGTAACCATAGTTACATGAGGGTTTCCATAAATAGGGGCACCCCCAGGCATCATCCATGGATAGATGGGATTTCCCCCCTTTTTTTACCATCCAGCTATTGGGTACCCCATTTATGGAACCCCCCATATTCCACGATTCGTGGATGATGAGTCCATCTCGCCAAGTCCGAAAACCAGTCGACTGAGTGCCGTTTGGTTGAGCGTTTTGGTGACTTGTGGATTCCCCATGTTACAAAAGAACCCCCCGGAATGGGGAAGAATGGGAAATCCACAGGAACATCATGGATTCCAAATGTTTTGTTCTTTTTTCTCTGATGATGTTACAATGTGTTGGATTCAATCGCATCAACTGTGGGACATATATGAACATATCAATAATAATATTTACCCTCTGGTTATTTAACATGGCCATGGAAAATGGTCCATTTATAGATGGTTTACCTATTAAAAATGATGGATCTTTCCATGGCCATGTTAGTCACAGCCAGAGGGTAATAATAGTACGAAATGAACATATGAATCACCTGCACGGGATTTCTGAGGTCGCAGAATGGGACTCCAATGGAGAATCCTGAAGGCCACAACACTGACGGGGCGGGACGCCGGGACGGTCCTTGTTCACTGGAAAAGACATGAAACGACATGAAAGTTGACGGAATGATATGACGGTAGAATGATATCATATATAATTTTGTACTGCTGTACACCTAAGTCTATATAGAAATGTATAGGTTTCAATACAGACGCATCGTAATCATATAGGTGTATATATATAATATTATATATATAATATTATATATATAATATTATATATATACACATTATCGTTGTTGTATCATATTATTGACTAAACATAATCACACACCCATTGTAACTATATTACAATTCTCAATTGTTTTTAAAAACTTCGTATGATTATTATATTATAACAGTTTATAAACTATCATAGTTATAAACCTCATATGGGTATGGATCAATACCTATTAATACCATTTTTAGGGGAATGAACATCCATAAATCCCAGCTATTTTGATGTGAACAGAAGGGGCACAAGGTTTTGACACACTGCCATATAATTACGGTTGTTTGTAACCATTCTAGTTATACTCAACATAAGCTTCATCTCCAGGCGCCAAGATCGCACGTGCAGCGCTTCTGGAGCTGACACAGGCGCACTTCGACTGGGCGCCAGTTGCCAGCAATTTAGAGGCCTGATATATTTTGTGTGTATTAAAAATATACCATAAATTATATACACACAAACTATGTATAGACTTTATACATATCACATACGTATATATATACACACCATTTATACCTACACATATTATACATACCAACACACATACATGCATACATACATACATACATACATATATATACACACAAATACATGTATATATATATATATGTTGATGACTCAAATGTTGCTTGGTTCGGCTTTTTCGGGTATGCGATTAGATAGCTGCTATCTCTTCAAGTGGTTTCCATATTCAAATGGGCTGGGGATCATCCCAGTGATCGGAACTGGTGGCCTACTTGCGGGACTGCCTATATAATCATCATTACTATCTCTACATACTTCGATCAATGATCCTGGTAAATGGGATGATCATCAAACACTGATGAAGTAACGCTAATCAAGTAACACTAATCAAGTAACACTATATAATCATGTCAATGATAATGGTGACGGATAGTGATACAATCATAAAACCAGCCAATGCTGCTGCTGATGGTGCTGCTGCTGCTGCTGATGATGATGATGATGATGGTTACGATGACGATGACGACGATGATGATGATGATGAAGAAGAAGAAAATGATGATGATGACGACGATGCAGATGCTGATGCTGATACTTGTACTGGTGATGATGATTCATCCATTATCATTATTATATATTATTATTAATTATTATCATCATTATTAACCATTACTATCTACTTCAAAATTGGAATGACCCTCCAAGTGTTAGAAGAAAAAAACATCTTGACCCCGGCCAGGCTTTCCAGACGGGCAACGAGACAGCAGCCTTGCAGGCCCAGGGAGCATCCACAGTATCTCCGTTGCCCTCTGGCTATTTAACGTAGCCATGGAGAATGGCCCATAGAAATAGATGTTTTTTCATGATTTACCTACTAGTCAAACATAGTGACTTTCCATAGCTATGTTAGTTTACCAGAGGGTACATAAATCCCTTTGTGTTTACTATTAACATCGCGAATGATATCACCATGGATATCGCATAAATCGTTTAACCATCCCTATAGGTTTGGCAAGACATCCCTCGGAAAAGGCCTTGGGTCAGCTGATGCGAAGTCGACAAGGCTGGGTCCGAAGTGGTGGTGATACAATGTGAGGCCCCCCGTTGTGATGTTAGCTGGTTAACAGATTCGCCCCAGCAAATAGTTCGTTATTTGCGTACCATAAACCATAGTGAAATTGGAGTTATGTGAACCCCAACTTAGCGTTCTCCAACGGGGGCCTCACGACTTGTATGGACACATATCGAATTTTTCGTGCGGCCAGTCATGGATGGTCAGGTCTGGAGAATCTGTCGGGGTTTGATGAGAAAACCAGCCGCTATTTGCAGCAAACACTGAGCAACCTGGCAGCGACGAGTGACAGTCTCGGTTGGTTCTTTCCCATCCCATATGATTTACCAAGCAGTAACTCTCATTGAACAGTATTGAGTAAGAAATTTGTGATTTGAAGGTTGAAAGAATTGAAAGAGTTGAAACACACCAAGAAGCCCCGCAGGAGTTCTGAATTCATTTCTCAATGTTTACAACCCCATCCAACTCTAAAAAGAAGAGATGTACCATCTGGCAATTTAACATAGCCATGGCAATATCCACCATTTTTAATAGGTAAACCATCTATAAATGGGCCATTTCCCATGGCTATGTTAAATAACCAGAGGGTAGTTGCAGCAACTTACCTAGCGAATATGAGTCCGTTTTTTATCTTTCATGGTTCACCCATAGTATATATGCCATAGTATATTCCCATAGTATATATCCCCTATTAAATTCCATTACCCGGCCTGGCAAACATACATATATAGCTATTGAAAATGACCCAGTCGAAATAGTTGATTTTCCCAGCTATAAAATGCTGGATCGGTCGGATAACTCCCAGTAAATCCATTTAGATCCTATGAAAATTCCTATTAAGCCACCATAAACTCCCATGGAAAATCCCATTAAGTCACCATAAATCCCATAAAATCTCATTAAATCACCATAAAATCCCATTAAATCCCATTAAGAAAATCCCATTGCACTAGGTGTGATGGCTGCGGAACCTCAACTGGAATCGCTGTGACCTGGTAGAATTCACCAGGAAGTCTTCAATTTTTCAGTAGGATAATTACAGTTATGGCCGTTTACCAATTATAAATAGTTATAACTGGTTATAACTGGTTATTATACATGGGATTATACATTCCATAAATGGTGTTAGTTCTAAGTACTTACTTATCTCTGGTATTTTGGGCCATAACTCTAGAGGTAAATCTACTAAAATGCGGTGGTCAACTACACTATAAACCTGTTCTGGATGTTTGTCTCGGTTTTATTATATAATATTATATATATACACTGTATATACATATATATACATACACTGTATATATATACGGTATATATATATATACCGTATATATATATACTGTATACATATATATATACACTGTATATATATACTGTATATATATACCGTATGTACATATATATATATATATATACTGTATATGTATGTCATGGTCAAAACATGGCTTAGTTTTCAATGAAAGGGAATAGTCATCCCATGCCATGAATTAGTAATTCTACTTGGCCAATCGTTTGGGATTCCCATGATTTTTGATGCATAGAGGCCGCCAGTGATTTATCAGCCCCAATCATGGACATCAAGGAATCTAAATCTGGAGATGTCATGGACTGTCATGGGTTACTTTCTCTTAGTCCTGATATCATCTAATTATCACAAGTAAGAAAGGATGCAATTAGGATATAACAACTTCTGAGATATATCTTGCAATGTGAGGCCCTCCAGTTATAAGTTGGTTAACAAAAGCCCCAGTAACTAGTTCGTTATAAGTACCATAAACCATAGTTATTGGAGTTATGTTCACCAACTTAGCTATCCAACGGGGGCCTCACATTGTATGAGTTGTGGAAAATCTCGAACTTCGCTGATTTTCTCAACTTCGAAAGCCCAGGTTCAACTCGCTGCACAGCGCCATCCCACTGAACACGATCAGCCCTGGCGTTGTGCCCGGCGCTGCCGACAGGGTGCATTTTCCGCGGGAGGAGCAGCGGCAGCTGGTGGCCGGTGATTGGAGGCTCGGTGGATGAAGGGATTCCATGGGAATTCTGCAGATTCTCCGAGTCATTAAAGATAGCCTCTGGTAAACTAACATAACTGTGGGAAATCATGATTTTTAATGGGAAATTCTACTATAAATGGCCATTTTCCATAGTTACGTTAAATTACCAGAGGGTAGCCTGGTTGATTGGTGAATTTCTTGGGACTTAGACCTAAGTTCCTATTTCTCAGATTGATATTGATTGGGCTGATTGGGGATTATGACAACCCACAGCACCTGGATAACAAATTGGGGCAGGGAAAACCTGCTGGCTACTACCTACTAGTGTTATTGATCAACATAGCAATTAAATCTCTTTCCCTTTGGTTTGGTATGGGATCTCTTCATTTTGGGTGTGATTTAGGGGGATAGGAACATATCTATTCATATCTGTTAAACGGATGTAATCGGTATAATAATATATATATATATAATATATATATATAATATGTCCATATATACATATTCAAATTTGTAGGTTCAACACCTATTTTGGTTGGTTGACCTCCACATCTGATCTCTGATCCAGGCGCATTCAGCAACGGTCGAAGTCCTTGAAGAAGCTTGGCTGGCTCCACATTTCTGGGAAGACTGGAAGCTGGAAATAAATGTCGAACATCATTTCCCATTCCCATTGACTTCCTGGCATTTTTGGATATTTTTGGGTTTGGAACTTCAAAATGAGTTGGGAGCCTGATTTCACCGTGCTGAGGAAGCCTGCAGGTCCTGAGCCCGTTGTGGATGACAAGAAGGACAGGAAGGACAGGAAGTGGCAAGAAAATTGGGAAGGCAACAGGTCGGAAGACTGCAATGAGCAATGACCAAAATGATCAGAAAAGATCCAAAAGCCTTGTTACTGGAAAGATTTTATACTACTGCACTTGCTTGATTGGGATTATCTTTATGATCTGATTAATTCTGATTGATTAATTCTTTGGAGTAGAGTTAATATACATATATGCATATATAATCATATATATATATATGTGCTTCGCTACTCTGTCTTGTTTGATTGATGACTGCCCCAGAGTCCCTTCCTGGGATCTTGCAGTTAAGCTTTCCAGAAGATTGAGTCCAGGTGCCCGGACACAACATCAGTTAGGATCATACTCCTCTACCCTCTCACCAGCATCATCTATGATGGTGATCTAATTTGCTTGCTAATCTAAGCTGGCAGGGCAGAATCCAACTAAACTTAGCCATTTACAGATGATCTTCCTATGTTTTTCCCTCTTAGAGACTCAGGATTTCCCGGATTCCGCCAGCCTCAGAGCCAATCATGGCCCGCAGAGACCGCCGGTCTGCCGTTAGGAGGCAGCGCCTAAGGCGCAGCTTCCAAAGGCGCCTCGTTTTTGGAAACTACGAGGCGCAGGGCCCAGATTGGAGGATCGGCCGCTGAATTTTCGGTCGAAGTTTGGAGATCTTTCCTTGGCCGTTTTTTGGTTGAACGATGTTGAAAGTTCATCATTGAAATCGCTGAACGCAGTATGGGAAGCATTGTTTTGCACGTTGTGTGGCGGCAGTTCCCACATTGTCGGTGGGTGCATTGCCCGCGCAGGTAGAAATGCTTCAACTTCTGAGACCAACGAACCAACAGAAGATGAGGAGAGCTGCAGGGAGGTAGTGGCGGGCTGGTGGTAACTGGTTGGGGGATTGAAGTTTATGCCAACATCAATAAAAGGTTATATAATATAAAATAATTATATACATAAACATTATGATACAAGTAAGTAGCAACACATCGATAAAACATGCGGATCGAACCACACTAGCCTGGGCGGTTGTGCCAGTTTCATGATGTTGCAATGTGGGAAGATGATCCGCCAGAGGTTACAGTAATCTACTGGTGAAACCTTGGAGCCATGTCGGTTTCGGTGGCTTTCCAAGAATGGGGGATATTGAAACAAGGTCCTTAAATATCGAATGGAACAGAACATCTGCTTAAAATCCCATTGGTTTCCTGTCTCAATTTAAAAAAATCAGGATCGAATGATATCGAATGGAGAGTTATATATTGGTCGTATCGAATGTCTCAATTTATGGTTCATATGATACATATGGTTCTAAATACCCTCTGGTAAACTAACATAACTATGGAAAATCACCATTTTCAATGGGAAAATCGACTATAACTGGCCATTTTCAATAGCTATGTTAGTCATTACCAGAGGGTAATGGGAACAACACGGCTTCCCAACCCCATGGGACCCATGGGATTTTGGGGGTACCCTACACCAAAAGCAGCCAGAAGCTGCCCTCCCCACAAAAGCAAGTTGCTTCGAAAAACCCCATCAGGATATACTTCAATCCACCTTAAATCCAAATCGTTTGTCTAGTTATTTGCAGTAACTTACCATAAACTAATTGTAAACCAGCCTTTTTCTTGGTTAATTACGCTTAATTCTACCACTTTTTCGTGGTTAAAATCACAATTCTGGGTTGTGAAATCCACATGTTTTGGTGGGTTCTCCTGGTGCGCCAGGAGTCGAAGGACTGTACGCGTACGTCGTACGCGAAAGCAGCGAAAAATGCCAGTACCATGGAGCCCCGGAGATGGGTCTGGGAAGCCCCAAAAACTGGCCAAAAACGATCAAAAACTTGTGAATTATAGTGGATCATGGTGGATGTGCAGGTGGATTTTGGATTTCTAATGATTATAATTTGGTAATCCATGATACTTTAGTCTTTTTTGTTGGGGTTATAGTGGATTCTAGTGGATTTTTTGCAACAAAGATGGGGGAAGATAATGGATTTAAATAGGACGAGTACTCTCCGGTGTCATCAAACATGGCTTGCAAACCCATAATTTTCCCGATTTTTTTTGAAACACCTCCATTTATAGGTTTCAATTGCCCATGTTTGATTACCAGATGCTTTCTGGGCCGTTTGTGGGCCTTCAGTTTTTGGCTACACTGCGGTTTGGGGTCATATGCTTACGGTGCACAAAAACTACATTGGCCAACAGCTATTTGATGGAAAACCTGGCCTGATGGAACGCCACATTTTTCGAATGTGTTGAGCTCTCACAAACTAAAGGTCGTGGTCAGATGTCAGATATCTGTTTGTTATTGTTTGTTGTTTTAAATCATACTTAACCAATCTTAACCAACTCATATTACCTGCATGGATAGCCACATACTCAGATTTTCAGGTTCGGAATTCGATGCGTAAGCACCCCATCCCTCTACCGCTCTTTAGGACATCAATTCTTGGGCTTTTAAGTACTCCCCCGAAAAGCTGGTATCCTTGAGATTTTGGTGAAATCTGACCAGAAAAATGATGGCCCAATGGCCCAATGATATCATGAACCATTCGGAAGACATCAAGTTTTCTCAGGATTTCTCCGAGCTGGTGGTGATGAATGCTGGCATCATCGGCGCGAACATGTGTCCCAATGGCAGGGGGTGCCGGTGCTGCTTAGGCATGCGGATGAAATTCGGCCAGTTTTGGTTGTTTTTGTTGTGTCCATTCTTGTTGCTTAGAGGCGAATGTACCTTATCTATCCCGATCTTATGTTCATATTCATATATACTGGTCTTCATTCATAGTGTGATATTCATCTCCGCATAGTTCTCTTGGTTCAATCCCCTGTGTTGCAGAACTGGCTTAAGGAAAAACAAATGCAAGGCTTACCCCAGCATCTGGGAATATAATGGAATATATAAAACCTGAAACAAGAATCCTGAAACAGAATTCCATTGACAGATTCAATTTGATGATTTTCGTTTGATCATCATTTTCCGAAAAAAACACTGCCATTTAACGGGTCTTTATCGGTAGATCGTTGAGTTTCCGCAGTACTTTTCGCAATCCCAGTGATTCTCAGGCTGTAAAACTTCCACATTTCCCGACATTTCTTTATTTTTTCTCAATTCGTTGACTGAGCGACCCTCGGTGTTACACAAAGAAACACTGGTGATTGTACGTCACCATTCAGTAGATTATCCAATTTCTGGTTGGTTTCAGATTTCAAAGATTTTTTATTTTTCCATATATTGGGAATGATCCTTTCCATTGACTTTCATATTTTTCAGAGGGGTAGGTCAACCACCGACCAGTTATCCTTAATTTCTTCCCAACTGACGAACTCATATTTTCAAGATGGTTATTGCACCACCAACCAGAGTAGATGATCCTTAATTTATACGTGAGATAGCCTGGTGATAAGTCCCCACTGGAGAAAAAGCGTTGGGCTATGGTTTAGAGGAAATCATCCCCTTTGATGGCCGAACTATTCAGTTTAGTGAAATATTCTAATATTTACCATATGTATGTATTACCAATATGTACATAATTATATATATATATATATATCCAAGAGTTCTCCATTCATTTTCACGATGCATTGATGATTATATCTTTTTGGTTATACCCGAGTTATATCTTTTGCCATCATCCTTTTTGGATCCCAGGTCCTACACAAAGATCCTCTTGAGCTTTTTTGAAGAGCTACTAGCACCGGTAGTCAATGGCCAAGTTGGAGAGGCTGAGGTGGCTGCAGACATCGTGGCGTTCCCTGGAGAAGTTGAGTCATTTTTCGCATGGAAAGGGGCTAGTTGAGCATCCAAATTTGGCATGGCATTTATATGACTTTATAAATGGCAGTTTTTTCTATGTTTGGATGGTTTCTCAGCTAACTCTCAGGTGTACAACGCGCCAGGATTTTTCGCGGTGATGTCACCAGGCCGGTCAAAAAAAGGCCCCTGTCATCCAAGATATCATCAGTGCATTCTGCGCTTCCACCGAAGATCTCAATCTGATTCTTGTATAACTAACTAAGTTTATAGCAAGCACTGGTCCAAAAAAAAGTCATCCCACAAACAGCCCAAACCGGCTGATTGGATATGTTGCACATGGCAGTCAGGCCAACGCAATGGCAAATGACACATTACATACATCATGATAGATCATGATACACCATGATAGATGATGATGGATGATGATAGATCCACTTTTTCGAGATTTTCCGTTAATTATTGTAATTAGATGTCACCAGATGTTTTCCACGATCTTTGCTGGTGAACTGCTTGTGCTGCAGTTCACTACGACTGAGGCTTCGCTTCTTTCGCGAAGCACAGGGTGAAGTGCAGTTCAAGGAGAACCCAAGCGGCGACAGCTGATGACAGCTGGGTGTTGATAGCACTTTGTCAGAGAGGCATAAACAATTTAAATAGATGGGAAAAGGAGGATATGATGGTTGAATTCGTTATTGAATTCAATTTTCAATGCAAGTGAGAAGGAACAGGTATAATTGGTATAATGAAATTGAAGAACTCACTGCATCATCCCGGACCCAGGATTTTGGGATGATTTTGTGATGGCGAAATGCCGACATGCAAAAAAAAAACAGGGCACGAGTCATGACGTGTGATGAACCACCAGCCTCTTAGGAGTTTTGCAGACTCTTGTGACTGAGTAGAAACTGGTGAATATGTTCAGATGGATCGGATCCATAATGGTGTTTGTCTGAAAATGGGTGGGGAATATCCATGACTATACCAGCTAAAAGAGCTATTTCCATAGGGAAGATGATGAAAAATCAAAATTTGAGGGGTTTTTCTCGTATTTTCAGTCCATGGTGAGGATGACCAGTGTCCATCAAAATGGACCACCGATCGTCGCGCGAGGATTTTAAAACCTCCATGTTGGCTTCTGCTAGGCCGAGCACGGAGAATTCTCTGCCTCGAGATGAGAACATGATCTGAACTTCGGGATCAGCCCATGCAAAGGACTAATGTTGTTGTTGTTCTTGTTGTTCTTCTTGTTCTTCTTCTTGTTGTTCTTGTTGTTCTTGTTGTTCTTGTTGTTGTTCTTGTTGTTCTTGTTGTTGTTCTTGTTGTTGTTCTTGTTGTTCTTGTTGTTGTTCTTGTTGTTGTTCTTGTTGTTGTTCTTGTTGTTCTTGTTCTTGTTGTTCTTGTTGTTCTGGTTGTTCTTGTTGTTCTTGTTGTTGTTCTTGTTGTTGTTCTTGTTGTTGTTCTTGTTGTTCTTGTTGTTCTCGTTGTTCTTGTTGTTGTTGTTGTTCTTGTTCTTGTTCTTGTTGTTGTTGTTGTGGTCGACGTCGTCGTGGTGATAATGATGATGATGATGATGAAGATGAAGATGAAGGTGATGATGAACAACATACAATTCAGTTGATGGAATGCGCTTCCTCAAACAGACCCAGTTCATTGAAGTTTGGTGCACGGGCACAACTCATCCCAGAGTGATAGGGACCCTGCCATTGAATGTTGCGCTTTTGAGTCTCGGAAACCCATTCAGCAGAATCCAAATTGATCCATGCAGCAGGTTCTTCTGACATTTTGACATGAAAAAAAGGTCATATTTGGACCACTTCGAAGTATTTGTGTATATACTGTATTTGTTCTTCTTTTATGTCCTGTGAAAAACAGGGCATTGTTGCCGGATACTTGGGACACTACCCATGAGACCGCTTGGAACCTTGGTTGCAACCAGACATTTTTCGGACGTGTTCACCACGTTGGCTGGTAAATAGGCTACGCCAAAATCAAAACCCTACACTTTATCATATGTCTTCCACTTGAAATCGCCATGAATTGAATTGATAAATAAATCCCAACATCATTTGCCATAATTTCCCATTTTGAATTGAATTGATAAATACATCCCAAAATCATGTGCCATAGTTTTCCATTTTCTTTGCCATTTATCAGTTGTTCCATGATCAACTGATCGACCCCAATTTCCAACATCGCCGACCAAGGATTGCCGCGTGGGACTGCATCGCCGAGCAATTGGAGAGGGCCATCCCCCTGCCTTGCAGATACGTCAAGGCTGTGCAGCACTTCGTGGCAGGCGCCCGGCCACCGCTGGGTCAACGATGACTTTTTTTCGGGGAGTTTACCCTCTGGTAAACATACAAAAAACTATGGAAAGATCCACCATTTTTAATAGGTAAATCAACTATCAATGGGCCATTTTCAATAGCTTTTTGTATGTTTACCAGAGGGTAAGCATCAAAATATGGGGATACATGGACCCGCTAAGCCAATACGCTGAAATAGCATCTTTTAGTGCAGGGTATCTGAGATAGCCATGCTAAGGGATTTTGAGCAGCAGACATGGGAAGTCATCATCAGAATATGGGTTTAACCATGAAACTATCGGAAGGTGAAGCATCAACATTGTGATTTATCACCAGAATGCGGAAACCAACTGGACTTTCGGACTGTTTAATACAACTCGTTTTTTTCCCTGAGTGAGGGGATGGAAAAACCTAACCAGCCACAAGATTCGTCTTTTGGTGAATATTGCAAAACAAATGGGTCCAGAAATGAGGGATGGTCCCTCAGTGGCCTCACATCATGAGGAAATGATTCACCAACAAACCCACGGCACAGAGACAATTTGAATCCTTTGTAAATCTTGAGTTTTATTATAATTGTGAGCAAAAAGATAGAAAACACAATCCTTAGTAAAATGGTGATGATTTTCTTTGTAGCATCTTTTTGGGGGCTACAACATGTTACAAAAGAAACATGCTGAAGTCCAATTTTCTTCACATGATTTTTGGTCACAATTTTGATCACCAGTCGAAATTCTATTCAATTCTGATTCACACTGGAGACTTGCGCATTATCGTAGACACCATCTGGCTGCTGATTTTAAATATTTCAATTTTTCCATCGAAAATGGACCGATGATGATCCTTAGTTTTCACATACTTCCAGGGCCCAAGGGCGCAGGGCCCTCTATGTGATGGAACCATGATCTTGCCTGCAAAACAAGTGCATTGACAGAATGGATGTTTACCATCATTGCCCCCCCCAAAAAAACCTATGGTTATACCATCTTTGGGGGAATCAATATCCATTAAGCAGCTATAATCGCTATAACTTAGGCTACCGTGATCAAGGTCCCAGGCTTTTGAGTCGTCATCCCCAGGCTTGTCCAAGGAGCAACGACATCAGCTGGGTGTCAAGACCTTTGATCGCCTCTTTCGTGAGTCGGAGGCGGCAACAGCGGCGACAGTGGACGCGACGGTTGGCTTGGTGCAGGATTGGAGATCCTGGGGTTTGTCAAAACCTATGACGTTACTCTATGGCTATGAATCAATACCTATGAAAATACCATTTGTAGTGGATGATGAACATCCATAAATCCCAGCTATTTTGGGGTTCACTAGGTACCAGCGTTTTGAGCCATCCCCATATTTGCGGGAATAAATTGGATAAACATCCAAAAGGAGCCATTAAAAAGGGCTATAACTTCGGGTACCATCCAGGTGCCAGCGTTTTGACTCAAAGCCACATAGATACAAATTATGACATATTATTAGGACCTCACTGTTCTCCCTCACTGCAATGGTGCTTAGGATTCGGGGTAACCATCCCAGAATAGCATTATTTATATCCTATTTATCCTTATTTATAATGCATTATTTCAGATTAGATATGAATATTCTCTAATAGGATATTATTTAAATGCATTTATATAATCCTAATGCCTAATACGTATGTTTATCCTGTATTTCCTATAGCATTATTTCAGATTAGAGAATTACTACAGTTTACCCAGCATAGATGAGGAACACCCATGGTTTTCCGTCCGAAAAATGATCTACAGGATTGGATCAATGACAATTTTGATGCATAGCCCCGAAACATTTGGATGCGGTAACCAACCAGACTTGGGGACATGTTACATCCCATTTCCAGGGGTCCCAATAAGAAACCAAGTTCAAAAGGGGATTCTATCAGGTACCAAGGACACCTGAATCAATTTATCCACCCAATTTCACGAGTCACCAGAAAGAAATCATCTAAGTTATATATCAATTGACTAGTGACTAGTGATTGTGATAACTAAGATTCCTACTTGATCCTAGCATTACATCTACTTTAATATAGCTTACGAGCACATATATATATATATGTATAATGCATGTATATGTATATATGTAGATGTATAGGCATATAGCTATAATCCATAGACACTTGCCTTCAAGATTTGTAAACTGAGCGTTTTCCCCATATTCCGCCTTCAGATTTCCCAGGTGTCCAGCTATTTTAAGTCGTCCAATATGCGCCTGGCTTTCATCGTGAAGCAAGCTCTAGAGCCCCAGCAGCAGCTCATATTTAACGCCAACTCAAGTGGGGATTGAACCTGACAGAAGGAAATTGCAAGAAGCAACAAATACTTTGGATATTTCCTTCCCACCAAAGGTTTCAATAGGATGATTTAGGGGGTATTTTTTTCATGTTATGAACTTGGCCATCTTCGCCAACATGGCCAACATCCAAAAAGTCTTGGGTATTTTTCGCCATGAGGAGTGGGATTTCACTACTTAAGCAATGAAAGTCTGAGGGTACTCCCAAAAAAGAGTGGTTGATGGTGGTGAACGACCATTTTTTCTGTTTGGGCCTCCTTACATCAATTTATCCTCGGCCACACGGTGGAAACTGATGCTTTGGCGAGGAGCAAACCCATCAATTGACCCATATAGTTGGCAGTTGCATCCCATATCTCATACCCTCTGGTTATTTAACATAGCCGTGGAAAATGGCCCATAGAAATAGATGATTTTCCCAGCTAGAAACCTCCATATTTTTATCAGGGATTTTCCATGGCTATGTTAGTCATAACCAGATGGTATATATATATATATCCCATTAATCACCATTAACTATCATTATTAACCACTATTAAATCCCATTAATCACCATTAATTCCCATTAATCACCATTATATCCCATAGTATATTCCCAGTATATATCCCCTATTAAGTTCCATTACATGAAATATATCCCCAACTAGATCCCCATGACATGGTGGCTTTTCCCAGGCGCCAAAGTATTGGCGATCTGTTCCAAGTCCATTTCCAAATGGACAGATCATGGACCAGGTTTTTTCCATCTATTTAACCATCAAAATATATGACATATGATCAGAAAAACCAAGAAATGCCATGATGTTTTCCCTGTTTCCACCATCATAGTAACATACTGTGGATGGCTGCGAAACCACCAAGAGGATGGTTGAAGGCCTGTAAATAATGGGATGTTTACCACATCGCTCAACTGGTGCAGGATTTTTTCCATCCACTGTCATATTCAGGACTATTCTGCGAGGCTCTTCGATGAGCCTGCGCAGATGGTAGAGGAGATGCAAGCACTGGGGCTGAAACACATCATGTTTCAGGCGAGGATCCTGTTTTTAAAATTGGGCATATATATATATATTATTTATTTGTTTATTTATTTATTTATTTGTAGGGTCTAAAGTCTAAAGGGGTTTGATAGGGTTTAATGGGGTTTAATACGGTTTTATGGGGTTTAATAGGGCGTAATTAGGGGTTAATGGCTGTTTAGTTGGGTTTAATCATGAACCTGCTTCGTGTATCTGAAAATGCGGTATACCCAAGCTTACGGCTGATTGAATAGGGGACACGATGAAGAACCAGCGGATTTAGGGGTACAGTACCCAATTTTGCAGATGAAGCCAGATGAGTTGGATTTTCAAATCAAGGATTGATCAACGGATTAGGGGGATTTTTCATCAGACGGGGATACAACGGGATACACGAATTTTTTTACGATATCCAATGGGGAAAAAAAGGGGCTACGATCACGATATCCATATGAATCATGGGCTCCGTCTGCCAAAGGTACAATGTGAGGCCCCCGTTCGATAGCTAAGTTGGTTTATAACTCCAATAACTATGGTTTATGGTACTTATAACTATAGTTACTGGGGCTTATGAACCAACTCAGAACTGGGGGGCATCACCTTGTAGGTGAGTCAGTGGTCAGGTGTAGCAGTTTTTTACGGCAAATCCTTTAGTCATGAAATCATATGAAATCTACGGGTTTTGCCGTTTAGCCCAAGCGGAATGTTTCAGAAGATATCACGTGATGTATTGTGTATATCAAAAATTATGTGACATATCAATTTATATGGTTCCATAATTTTTGGATCCATGGATTTAAATATTACATATTTATAATGGATACCCGTATGTATTGGATCTTTCTATGGGTAAACAAAGTAAATTTCCATCGTTCGGTGATTTCCCGGCCATGTTTGATGGTACCGGAGGGTATATGATATGTATATGATATGTATATGATATGTATATGAATATGTATGAAACATATGATATGTATATGAAACGTATATGGATATTGATATCATATGTATATATCATATCAATCATATCTGTATGCAACACCCTTGTCCCTTGTTGGGATGATTCCATCGAGCATCAACGCCGGCGCCAGCGCACGTTTCAGGCGCAAGCGAAGTTCTTTCATCCATGGGCTTCGGCCCTGGTCGCCGAAGTCCAGCAAATCTGCCAAGACGAAGAGGTGTGAGAAAAGCGTGGCCAAAAAAGGGCCTTTGTGGGACACTTTAATCGTTTCCCATTTGGGCCCTGGAAAGATCCAAGTTTGTACCCTCTGGTAATTTAACATAGCTATGGAAAATCACCATTTTTAATGGGAAAATCCACTATAAATGGCCATTTTCAATAGCTACGTTAAATTACCAGAGGGTAGATGATCTATCTTGCCCGGAAATGAGACTTCTTATAGGGAGATGGCAGGACGAATGCTTTTTTCTGGGAGATGCCAAGAACTTCCATCCCAGAAATATGTAGAACAGGTCGTTTCGGGTGAGCATGTCCAATCATCCAATCATCCAAAAACCATGGTTTTTCCATCCAAAATCCATCAAAAACCATGTTTTTTCCATCAAAAACCATGGTTTTTCCATCAACATGTTCCATCTTTGTGGCAAAAAACATCTTACTTTGGGGATCACCCATTCGACGCCAATTGGAGACGAATCTGATCCCAGTGGCAGAGACAAAACTCCGTTTTGTGGGATGGTTTGGGCTGGAAATATGATATCTTACAAATAATCAAATATAAATACATGTATATGATGTATATGTATGTCTCTCATTCTCTCTCTATCTCTCTCCCTATATATATATATATATCCCCATGTTTGACAATGTTTGATATGTTTGGTTGTATGATGTTGTATATAGTCAACCACCCCATCTTGTAGGATGTTCCTGCAGGTGGTTGAAGGGATGAACTATGCCATGTGCATCATTGCGAGCATCATGGGCCAAGCCGTTGAGACTGGAAGCACTCCTGTCTTGCAGGCGTGACGAGCCGAGCATGTTAAGCCATGGTCATCAAGTTACCATGGCGCCATGGGTTTTCCCGACCGAAAAAAGGGATGTGTCATTAATCCATTGGGATTTATAATGATCCACCAACCAGATATATTGTTATTAACCATAGATTAACCATAGATTAACCAGTTATAACCATTTATACCCTCTGGTAAATTAACAGTTCGACCCTGGAAGTTGTTGGGGGGTTGGAAGATTATATCGTTTCCATTAAGAATGGTTGATTTTCAGGGTCCAACTGTTAATTTACCAGAGGGTATATATTAATCCATCGGGATATATATAATATAATATAATATTATATTTATTTTGTGGAATGCATTTTATGTTTGGATTCCCATGGCATGGATGACCATAAACCAAAAAAACATGTTTCTTTTGACCCTAGCACATCTGGGGTTCTTAAAAATCATGGGAGAATGGGTCTTTCAAGGATTTGACCTCAAAAAAGGCCATCAATGGAAGATTTAAGTATTTACACTCTGGTAAACTGTTACATAACTATTGAACACCACTTCTACTAGGTAGTCATCAACGATTTCACTGGGCCTAACTGGCTTCCAGTTCGCAAAGTGTTAGTTCATGGGGAAACCATCCCTAGCCGCTGCCATCTTTGGAAAATTTTCCAAAAATCCAACCAGTTGAGTTCGCACGTGCACCAAGCGATACCCAAGTCACCAAACACCAACCACCCTGAATCGTAAGAAGTACAGCAAAGAAATATCACATATCTATAGGATGTCTCTGCAGTTTAGGTATAAACTATTAAACTGATACTTTAATTGTAATTGATCAATCACTGCTCTGCATTTTTTTTCCGTTTCACAAACCTCCGGGGCGCCATTTTGGTGGAGCAGCATGACTTCGTGGCCAAGTGGCCAAGTTTGATCCAATTGAGCATCATGTCAAACTCATATTCAATCTATTTCAATCCAATCAGCTTTCATTATTGTGATGTTCACAAGTCAAAGAAGTTGATTTATTCAATCCATATTCAATCCAATCAGCAGTCACTCTGTTCAAATACTGGTTGGTGGTGACTGGAACCATGGAATTTTGAATGACTTTCCATTTAGTTGGGAATAGTAACCCCAACTGACTCATATTTTTCAGAGGGGTGGCGAAAAACCACCAACCAAATTTGATTCAGCCAGGTGCATTACCAGGTCCCTGTTTTGCCATGGCACCGTGTTTTTTGTTTGAGAATTGACCACCCTTTGAGGCCGTGGCGAACGATGACGTGAAGGCAATCCAGCTGCTACAAATGGTGACAAATGGGGAAATGTAACTAGCTGCTAGCAAAAAAAAAAAAATATATATATATATGTATATATATATGTATATAGATATAATATGATATATGATTATAATTATATATGTATAAAAAGCGTCTTTGCACGCCCAAGTTGGCCATCATGAACCAGCCAGATATGAAGTGTTTTTTGAGTTCTGACACCATTCAGTTTGAAACAAAAAGGAAGGATCGGATCAAGCAAGAGTAACCATCCACATCTGAATGTGGCGAGTAAAAATGGCGGACGAGCCAGCCAAATCAAGGCCAGCTTGGGAAATGATGTTAAACCCATCAAAGTATAAAACTGTGCTGGCAGAACATCATTTCCCAAGAACTATCAACAAACTATTTCCCATCAAAGCTCATGGGATTTTTGGTACCCCATTTCAGCCAAATCAACAAACGATTTCCATCCAGACGACGTAGGATTTCCGTGCTAAGATGGGGGACTGTGCAGACACAAAACGTCGTTCAAAAGCCCGGCAGATCAGACAGTGTTCGTTCTAGCCGCGTTGGTTGATGGGTTGGTTCGGGGATAACAAACTGAAACTTAAAACCAATATGGAGATTTCCTAAAATGGGGATCCCCATGACCTAAGAACCCCCCACATATTGGGGGTGATCACAATCCATGAACGAGGAATCCCTTTAACATATATATATACATATCACTATCCCACTTAATAATTATAGACTTAGTCACCATACCTATAACCATTATAGTTATCCCTAGAATCATATACAGTTGTCCCTAGAACCATATACTGTATACCCATATAGACATTGGTTATCCCTGGGAAATAACCTATAACCCATTGGGATAAGCAATCTAAACCATCAACCAGCCAGGCTCTGAAGAGGGCTCTTCAGGCAGCGCCCCGCGCTGCGCGTTTTGAAGCAGCGCTCGGCAGCGCCCAGGGACTCCGATAATCCACCGCTACGCGGTGGCGCCACTCGCCGAGAAAGGTGAGAGTTTATGGGGTCAAATGGCGGAAGATGTTGGGAAATCCTGGAAAATATGCAAAAATCATGGTTTATATATATATATATAATTTTGGCTATCTCACTTTATGTGTTCTATCAAAATGACCATAAATTCTTTATATGTTCTATCAAAATGACCATACATTGGGGTATACAAATATCATATTTTTGGAACAGACCCAAATGGATCCCAAATGTCAAGATGTGGAGAGGAGCAAAACTATAAGATTACACCTTGTCAACAGTTTGCATCAAACCCAAATCATGGCTGCCGAATTGGTGTTGGAACCTTGAGCTTCCCTCTTTAGGTTGCGATTTGGGCATCGGTCAAATTATTCACAGCCGAATCAAACGGATGGTTTCAAAAACAGCCGAATTCCAGTTGTGCCGGTCCATCGGTACCAACACATGATTTGACCCATCCCCAAAACGTTTTCCGTCGGATGGAAGGGGTGAATTTTTTTCAGACCTGGAGAACCTGGTTTTTCGGTCAAGTATATAACTTGATTTTCTATCGGTGCAAATGATTTTTCTGCATTTCTTTAACGCGAAAAATGAATATGGGTTGGCTCAGAAATGGGTGCCCCAAAAAAGGGATTCAGTTTTTCCATGGGGAACATGATGTTGAATCAGCGTGCTGATCTTTGAGGATTTGTTTTTGAAGGGCACCCCAAGTTTCTTGATCTGTGAGAAAATCATATTTCCCATCCGCAAAAATGCCAGAAATGGTGGCTCAAAAATCGCCCATCCCCTGATTTTCAGGTCATCCATGTGATGGAAGACATCTGCTGATTTCGGACCCGGGGGCCCAGTTCGCATGTTCGCGCGAATTTTCGCTGGGCCCCGGGCGGCTGGAAGTTGTAAAACTTGGGGATTCTGCTAACGAAAAAGGTGATACAATGAGAATAATGAGAGATGGGGATTTTCTGGGTAAATTCCCAAAAAATGATAAAACATGGATATCATCCCCCCAAAAAATGGATATCATCCCCAATGGGGATTATGGACCAGTTGTTCTGCTAACCAAATTGGGATGTGAGCAGCAAAACTAGTGGTATAATTGGGAGATACGGGAGAATCTGGGTATAGAATGACCAAAGCGACGTCACCGTAAAATGGTGATTCGTCTACGGAACTGTCCCGAAACGAGTTCAATTATGTTCAATTCAGGTTGGTGAATTGTTCTGATTTAGCCCGATATCAGAAATATAAGTTACTCTGAACTAACAGAGGTGGAAATCCCTGGTTCCAAGAAAGATGATCTACAAATGATAGGTTTTGCAGATGTCGGTTTCCTGGGAAGGTATCAGGAATATATGGGGATGGATGCGAAATCAACCAACATGATATCTGATATACTGTAGATGTATCATGTAGTATCTGGATCCATATGTGAACTTCGCTGCAGAAATCAACAGGCGATATCACCAACAAATTGCTGCGATTTGAGCGAGCAGACCGGGGCCAGTCTCACCATAGATTTCATCAGAAAACCCAAAAATGGATAAACATGGCGATGGTTGCAGAGCTGGTTTGATGGTTGGCCCATTTATAGATGGTGTACCTATTAAAAATGGTGATTTTCCATGGCTATGTTAAATAACCAGAGGGTATCTATTCTTCATCAGTCATCGACTGATCTTAAATTCGGATGATCCACCAGAGTATTCGGTGAATTGATTAGCGTATTGAAAAACCCCTGCTTCGGAGGATTCTCCCCAGTGGATTTCAGCTTCCAACCATCAAATTACGAAGCCATGCGACCCTCGATTGTTTGTGCAAACTGCGGCAGCGCCGCTCGCATCGCTCGCCACTCGGGGCAAGGGTGTGACCAGTCAGACGGGTTCATGATCCCCGGATGACGTCTTTGCGTCTTGGATTCAGATCCGAAATAAAGAAACCCAGTAATCAAACGTGGCTTGGAACATCACCCATTTATAGATGTTCTTGAAAGATTTTCCCATTAAAACCTAATTTATAGGGGATTTCTCATTGCCGGAGGACAATTTTTTAGATACATGATGGATTTTTCCATAATTTTCCTTGATTTGGTGACAATACATTGTTCTGAAAGGTCTTGGATGTAATTTCTGCAATTTTGCCGCATTCATCAGCATAAGCCAATATCTTGAAGACAACTTGAAGATTGATATTTATTTCAAGATCCTCAAAGACCTTAAATCCAAATTTTGCTAGATTTCTCTTTCATGGGTTTGCTTGAAAACAGTGTGTCCCCCGAATTTCTTGATTTATCATGTTTATTTCCTATCAATCTTGCCATTTGAATCATTTCCAGACAAACCCGCAAATCGAGATTGTTTCCACTGAAGTAGCCTCGATTGCCGACCGCTGGCCGTTGCCCCGTCGCATGGCTTCTGCTTCGACAACGGTTCTGCCGGTGAAAAAAGGGCCCTGTGACGTGGAGTGGGGATATGGCTTTGTCTGAAAAATGAGTACCCCATTCCATCCACGGTTTATCATCATTAAACCATCCATTGAAATGCCAGTTGGAAGTACATCCCATTTTCGGACACAGCCTATATTTCTGGGATGATACTGTTTTGGTTTCCAATGGACCTCTTGACATGTGTTCAACCTCCTGCTTCCGACATGAAACCAGATCATCCGGTTGGCCTCCGCATGCCCGATCAACTTTCCCGAGGCTTCTGCCTTTTTTTGGTCCAGGTTAGCATGGCAAATGGTGGATGGATAAAGACATGGCTATGGATGATGACAGGTACCTCAGGTACCTGATGTTTGATCCTTCGGTCAAAGAGACCAACTCAGAAAAGCATCTCCAATCAGCGTTTCGGAGGAAACTCGTTGGCAACAGCCCCGCGTAGTTCCGGTCATGTGACGCCAAAAATGTTGCGCTGGGTCTGCGTGCTTTGCATCCTGCATGGTGCCGTGCAGGTGCGGAAAGCCACCGAAGTGGCTGTCATTTGCCAATATTTTAATGACATGCTACAGGCAATCGACAAAGTCGTTCCTTTTTTAAAGAAATGTCTATATTTAGTTGCGTCGAAGCTTTCCCTGGAAGTCGTGCCTTTTTGCAAAACGCAAGCAAACTCTGGTGATCACAGCGCAACCATGTTTTTAAGTGTTTTTGTGTTTTTTCTTGCGTTCAGCTTGGGTTTAGGTATCTAGTTATGCTTAGGGTATATGTAGTTTTTGTATGTTTTTGTTGCGTTCAGTTGGGGGGAAACTTTTTTTTGTTGCAGCTGCTTTCTTATCAGTGACTTCTGTACGTTCAACTGTATTCAGCAACTACTGTTAAACTGCTGCTCAATTGCTGGCTGTTGCTCAGTTGCTGCCGCTGGCTACTGCCAAACTGCTGCTGGATTGCTTCTGAACTACTACCTACCGCTAGGCTTACGTCGTACCAAGTGACCTGAAGTCGTATCACACCTGCGTGCGCGCAGTGTTTCGTTTAGATTTTGATAGTTCTTTTCTTTATTTGACTGGCTGTTGATTTGAATTACTGTTTCATCGCCGTGGGCAGTGTATTGTTGACATGATTCTACTTATATAACCCTGTATGCTATTGATTGCAATCTTTATGGTGATGTCATTGTCAATAGTTCCGTGAGAGGCGTGCCCATTGAAACTTATCATATTTAGGTTCTGTATGGTTCTGTCCCCTCCTGTTGGAATCTGTGCCTGCTGGAATCTGCCTGCTTGTGCTCGGTTCTGCCGCTTGCGCTGGGTTCTGCGTGCTGCTGCTGGGTTCTGCCTGCTGGGTTCTGCCTGCTGGGTTCTGCCTGCTGGGTTCTGCCTGCTGGGTTCTGCCTGCTGGGTTCTGCCTGCTGGGTTCTGCCTGCTGGGTTCTGCCTGCTGGGTTTTGCCTGCTGGGTTCTGCCTGCTGTTGCTGCGTTCTGCCTGCTGTTGCTGCGTTCTGCCTGCTGTTGCTGCGTTCTGCCTGCTGTTGCTGCGTTCTGCCTGCTGTTGCTGCGTTCTGCCTGCTGCTGCCTGCTGCTGCTTGCTGCTGCCTGCTGCTGCCTGCTGTTGCTGCTGTTGCTGCGTTCTGCCTGCTGCTGCTGCTGCTGCTCTGCTGCTGCTGCTGCCTGCTGCTGCTGCTGCTGCGCCTGCTGCCTGCTGCCTGCTGCCTGCTGCCTGCTGCTGCTGCTGCTGCCTGCTGCTGCCTGCTGCACAGGGAAGAGAAAAAAGGGTGAAAGTGAAAGGTTCTGATTTGGAAAGGGTTATTTTGACGCTTGCGTTCACAATGGGGGAAGACCGAAAGGCATGACTTAGGCATGACTTCTTGATGTTGCGTTCACAAGCGGGGAAAGCGAAAGGAGTGACTTAGGCATGACTTTGTCAAATCCCTGTGCCCCAATGAAACAACCCAGGGGGTTATTAGTAATGTGGCTAACACAATAATAAACCATCCCCCAGTCATCACCATTTTTATAGGTGGTATGTTTACCATTCCCCAGTCATGGGTAGTAAAAATGGCATTGTTTTAACCACATCAATCCATATTCACCTATTTATTCCCAATAATCACCATTCAATCACCATTCAATCACCATGAAATCACCATGAAATCACCATGAAATGGGTTGACAGCCCCAGGTGCCCAGCTTCCTCCACTTCCACCGCGGTGTCCGCACCGCACCGCGGCGTTCAGCGCGGCGGTTTTTCGCGCTGCGGGCGCTGCCGCTGCAGCAGGCCGTGGAGCAGCTGCCGCCGGACGCCACGCTGCGGCTGCCGCCGGGGCGGCACGCGAACGCCGAGCCCATCGTGCTGCGGAGGATGGAGACATGGAGGGGTTGAAACCAGAAAACCCATGAAAATGGATGGTTTAGGGGTTTTCGATATCTGGTAAAATGGATGGTTTAGGGGTTGAAGCCAGAAAACCCGAAAAGTGCCGCCGAAGAAATCTGTTTAGAGGTACCTTGAAGAAGTATACGGACCCTTGGATTAATACTTTTATTGTAGGTCGGGGACCACTCTACCCTTCAGGTAGGGGTTATAGAAAACCCATGAAAATGGATGGTTGAGGGGGTTTCGATATCTGGTAAACTAAGAGTTTGCGAACTGGAGAAATGAGCAGTGTTCAAAAGCCTGGTTGGTTGATGATTATAGGGGATTATACTACCCGATATGTTGGGAATTATAATATTCTACCCCATTAACCAACCAGTTTAATGGAAAGACGGAGGGATTTTGATCACTGCTCAAATGAAGGAGTTGAAACCAGAAATTATGGGTAGATATCGCTATGGCACCCCCCTTGGAATTTCCTCTACAGAATAGCTCGTGAACCCCCCAAAACATCTAATTTGACATAAAGAGTCGATAGAGTAAAGAATGTAATACTGGTGTGAAAGCAGCGCCTCTCTTCCAGGTCCCATTTCACCTTGTGGCATGTATCGAAGCCAACTTGCTCAACTCAGGCGAGAAACTAATGCAAGCGGGCGTGGTGTTTGAATCTAGGAAGATTCCAGTTGTTCCCCAGGCGGGGTTTCTAACTGGCAGCGGAGTCTGAATAGTGACACCCGCAGACCTAGGTAGGTCAGGGTAGGAAAGCAGCGCCATGGATGTGAAATCAGCGGATGGCCAGTCGGGCCAATACAAGCGCTTCTCTGGGGCATCGTTGGATGGCAAGGAGCTCCGGAAGTGGCGTTTGTGGTGTGAAGCCAAGATGGCATCACAGAAGGACATGGAACTCAAGCAACGAGGGCCGTGGGTATTCACCCTACTGGATGGGCTAGCACTGGAAGCCGTAGAGCATCTCACCATAGAACAACTGACGAAGGAGGATGGGGACAAAGAGATCTGGAAGATCTTGGAAGAGCGTTTCCCTGACAAGTTGCAGCATGACCTCTTAGCAGAATGCCTGAAAGAAGTGTTCTCGCTGGCCGCACGAGATGGCGAGAGCATGGCTGAGTGGGCCAGCCGGGTCCAGGAGAGTTTCTCCAAATGCCGACGAAAGGTCTCAGTGGACTTCCCCTCTGAAGCCAGAGGCTGGGTGGTTCTCAACTGCAGCGGCCTCTCGGCCGATCAAAGGGCCATTGTGACCGCGAAGTCAGGGGGCATCCTGAAGTTCGAGACCGTAGTAGCGAGCCTGAGGTCGTGTTTTCCAGACTATGTCGTCAACTCCAAGACCAAGAAGGTCTCTCCAGTGATGGTCGTCGCCCACCAAGATGAGGTGAATGATGAGCCCCCTCCTGAGATGGATGCGGGGGATGCTGTTGTCTTTGAAGAGGTCGAGGCCTTTCTGTCTGATCACGGCATCCAACACACGGATGTCGAGCCTGGTGACTTTGACGAGACAGAGACGGCCGAGATCCTTGCTGCTACTTGGAAAGAGCGACGCACTGAGATCGCAAAGCTGCAGCGCAGTCGCAATTTCCGCCAGGCAGTCAAAGTGCAGCAGCAGTTCAAAGAGGATGTCAGTGAAGTAAAGAAAAGGACTAGGTGCCGTCGCTGCAACAAGTTGGGGCATTGGGCCCGTGAGTGCCCCCTCCCCAAAGGCGGCGGGAAGGGTTCAGGGTCCTCAGACAAGCCTTCTTCAGTGTCTACGGTAGCAATGGTAGTCGAGAGAGAAGGAGAGTCAGAACACGCAGAACCCGAAGAAGTCCTCCTAGTCTCTTCACCTGGATTCGGAATCATAGACTCTGGCTGTGGCAAGACGTTGATAGGTCAAGAGACCCTCAACCAGATGATGCGTATGTACCAAGCCCAGGGTCTGACGCAGCCTGTGATGCGTCGCCAGGAGAACCTTTTTGCTTTTGGCAACAACAAGGAGGAGCTTACTGAATTTGTGGTAGAGCTCCCCATCGGGATCAATGGCAAGGCGGGTCGGGTTGAAGCAGCGATCATTCGAGGCCCTGCTCCTCTGTTGCTCAGCAGGGGAACCATGAAAAGTTTGGGAGCCTCTCTGAACTTCAGCGACAGCTCTCTTTCTCTAGAGGGTGGACCGTCACAGCCTCTCAAGATCAACAGTGCGGGCCAGTATATGATCGATGTCATGGATTTTCCTTCCCTTCCTGCTCATGAAACTATGGTGATTTCCGATGACAAGCTTACTGAGAATGCCATTGTTCCGAAATCCACGAATGTGACTGAGTATGTAGACATGAACACACATCTAGTTCCCCATGGTGATGATTGCTCATGTTGTTCTGGGTTTGAGGTATTGTCAGGTGATTCTAGAACTCTTACACGCCGAGAACAACGCTGTGTGATGTCACGACATGCAGCATGGACAAAGGGGCAATCAAAGTGTGTTGTCGCAGAGCTCTTCTCTCCGCCCCGTTTTGCTCTGGCCGCTCAGGAACGTGGAGCCGAAGGTCTCTCCTTCGACATCAAGCAGGGATGGGACCTCCTTGACAAGAAGGTCCAACAGCAGGTCTCTGGTGTCTTGGAAAAGAAGCGTCCTGAGCTCCTGGTGTTATGTCCAGAATGCAAACATTGGGGGGGCTGGTATAGACTCAACCAGACAAAGTTGCCTTTGTGGGAACAGATTCACAACAAAAGAGTTGCGGAAAAACAAGCTCAGTTTTGCATGGATGAAGCCAAAAGACAAATCAAACGTGGAGGAAGGGTTCTCATCGAACACCCGTGGAGTTCCGGACTTTGGGAGTTTGCACCGATGAAGAAGCTCCTGAAGCAAATGCACCGGTGCAAGGCGTCCATGTGTGCCTATGGCTTGAAGTGCCCCGACACAGGGATCCCGGTGTTGAAACCCACGGGTTTGGCTGTGTCCCATGATGATATGGTAGAGCTCGCCAAGTGTTGCCCAGGACACGCACAGCATAGGGTCATTGCTGGTAGGTGTAAGGATGGTCAGAACATTAGCGCCAAAGCTGCTGTTTACACTTCAGAGTTTGTTCACACTTGGCTAAGTAGTGTTTGTCCATCACCTTCCCTGTGTGCCTTTGCATCCGTGCAGGATCCTGCGACACCCAGTGAGTTGATTCAAGTAGTGCATGAATGTTGCGCCCAGGAAGAAGGGTCTCCTGAGAACCTCAAACAAATCATCAAAAAGTTACACAACAATCTGGGTCATCCCCAAAGTGCTGACTTGATCAGGGTTCTCCGAAATGCTGGAGCCACTTCTCAGGCTTTGGAAGCAGCTCGCCTGTTCACGTGCGAGATCTGTACCCAGCGACAGAGGCCAACACCTTGCCTCCCTGCGTCGGCACACTCTGTGGTCGATTTCAATCACAGAGTAGGCATTGATGTGAAGATTCTTCCGGGTTGGGCTGTCAACCAAAAGGTCAAGTGTCTCAATATAGTTGACTGGGCAACAAGCATGCAGATCATGGTTCCTTTTCACCAACAAGAAACCGGAGAGGTCTTGCGTCAGCTCTTCATGAATCACTGGATGAAGTGGGCTGGACCACCAGTTGAACTTTTGATGGACCCAGCACGAACCAATCAATCAGAACTTTTGGTGTCAAGCTTGGAGAATGCCGGTATCCGAGTTCTTACTATAGCAGCCGAAGCACATAACCAATTGGGGAAAGTTGAGAAACACGGACATCTGTTTGAGGTGGTGTTTGAAAAGGTGCTGGATCAATGCCAACCGGGTGACAAAGAATCCTGGGAACAATGTGTAGTGCAAACTATGAATGCCAAGAATGAAATGTTGAACCAGCAGGGTCTCTCCCCCTATCAACATGTTTTTGGTCGTAACCCACGTGTTCCTTTTGATGTTCTCCAAGAAAACCCGGATGCAGTTTCTGGTACAGTGGCCCTCCATGATTCCAGTTTTGCAAAGTCTCAAGCTGTAAGAACAGCTGCACGAGTGTCCCTGGTACAAGCCCAGGACGAGCAGACCCTGCGTACAGCACTCAATGCTCGACCGCGAGCCGAGCGAGAATTTTTGCCTGGAGATTTTGTCTGCTACTGGCGCACTCAGAAGTACCAGAGAGGAGTCCGTATTGTAGGTGGCAGGTGGTATGGTACGGCAATTGTCATGGGCAAAGTAGGTCGCAACTTACTAATCTACCATCGCAGAAACATGTTCAAAGTTTCTCCTGAACACTTACGTCATGCAACTTTGGATGAGAGAGCAGTGGCACAAGCCGATGGTAGGGAGTTGTTAGGAATAGCTGCCATGGTAGGAGAAGATGGTAATCTTAGGACCAGTCAGTATGTGGATTTGTCCAAGCAAGAACTTCCAGAGATGCCAGAACAGCTCCAACAGGGTCCTGAAGCGTCCTCCAATGCGGTAGACATTTCCGCTGCGACCGTGCCGTCCCAGGCAGAAGCCCTGGAACCTGCAGCGCTCTCTGCTGGCGCTCCTGGTGCACCAGAGATCATGGAGTCCAACTCTCCCGAGAGTTCAAGTGTTCCTATTCCTGATGTAGTCCCCCAGATGTCCACCCGAGCTGAACCGTTCCACAGCAGTAGCAGTAGCTCATCTCAGGTGAAGCCTCATTATGGTCCCATAAGATTTAGGCATAGCACTAAGAAACCTGAGGTTCTCTATAGACCCCCTGAAATGGTGCAATCTGACTTTCAAGAAGCCTCCTTGGAACTGTCCCGAGAGAAACGAGCTGCCAGTCGAGAGCCAAGCTCCGAGCCAGCACCCAAGCACGGCAAGTTCTCCGGTGACTGCATGTTGGCTCTGGCAAAGACTGTAGAGTGTGTTGAGGTTTTTCTAGCAGGGTTCCTCAAAAAGAAGCTGCAGACTGAGCTTCATCACTCAAACAATCCCAGTGATGTTCAAGAACTAATCGATGAATCTAAGGTTGTTGAGTGGTCCACCTTGTTGCATGAAAAAGGGGTAATTGAGGTGATAAATCCCAAACAAGCTGATGAAATCAGAACAAGGCAACCCAACCGGATCATGTCCAGCAGGTTTGTCATCACCAAGAAGGTGGAAGATGGCCAGACTCGCATGAAGTCACGATGGTGTCTGCGTGGGCACCATGACCCAGACCTAGTGAAGAAGGTGCTGTCTGGCAAGTGTCACTCGCCGACCCTGTCTCAGCTGGGACGCAACGTCCTCCTACAGTTGATTGTCAGCCACAAGTGGACTATGAATCTTGGGGATATAAAAGGGGCTTTTCTGGAAGCTGATGTTAGCGAACAGCTGGAGCAGAATCCTGTTTTTGCTGAGCTACCCCCAGGGGGAGTACCAGGTGTGGCTCCGGGAAGTCTGGTGAGAATTCGAGGAAATGTGTACGGTGCCAACGATGCCCCTCACAACTGGTTCGTTGAGTTCAATCAAGTGGCACAGAAATGTGGTTTTTCCCAATCTCGTTTTGACAGCTGCGTTTACTACTGTTACAATGCGGAAGGCACTCTGGAAGGGGTTTTGGGAGCACACGTGGATGACACTCTGACGGGTGGCAGTGGCAGCACTTACGATCGTGCGATTGCTGAGCTGAAGGCCAGGTTTCCCTTCCGAAAATGGAGATCAGGCCATGGAGAGTTTCTGGGGGTAGAATACACTCAGGACCCCACCACCATGGAGATTGAATATCAACAGAAAGACTATGCTCTCAATATTCAACCCATCAAACTCTCTAAGGAACGCGCTCGAGAACACTGGAAGCCAGCCAACGATCGTGAGATTTCCGCCCTCCGGGCAGTGAATGGGGCCTTGGGGTGGCTGTCAGGCCAATCACGACCCGACCTTTGTGTTCAAACCTCCATGTCTCAACAGTGTTTTCCCAATCCCACAGTTGAGAATCTCCTCCAAGCAAATCAAGCAGTACGAAGGGCTAGACAACATAGTGATATGACTATCAAGGTACCTTACATACCTCCTAGTGAACTCACCGTGTGTTTCTGGTCGGATGCAGCCTTTGCCAACGCCGTGGATCACCGAACTCAGGGAGGCTGGATTGTAGGTCTTACCAGCCAAAAATTCAGCCAAGGTCATGACTGTCCTCTGAGCTTTGTTGGTTGGAAATCCTACCGTCTTCCCAGAGTGGTGTCCTCCACACTCGGGGGGGAAGCCCAATGTTTTGCCAGCGCGTCAGGCATAGCAGAATGGTGCATGTTGATTTTAGCTGAAGCCTTGGATGATCCCTTCTTATTATCTGAAGTAGACGAGGTCCTTAGCCGTAGACAGCCAATAGGAATGAGCGATTGCCGATCTCTCTACGACCATTTGGTTACCTTAGGATCTGGAGGCACTTTAGACGACAAGAGGGTAGCCATCGATATAGCTGTGATTCGACAATGCATACAGCGAACTCGTTTGCAACCCAGATGGGTACCGACAGATCGCATGGTCGCTGACGGCCTGACCAAGGACAAAGGAGAGCCGCATGACTTGCTGCGCTCAGTGCTGAGAAATGGTAAGTATCAACTAGCTGATGAACAGTTGGTCTTAGATCGAAAGAAAGAGGAGCGTCACCGTAGGCAGCAGTTGGGAAAGAGCCGTAAACAACAGCATGATGAACAGCAACGTCAGTCCGTTTGCACGTCTGAGAAGAGTGAAGAGGCTGAGCCATGTTTTCTAATTTGGCCGATACTGAGCGAGTAGGAAACTGTTCTTCTCAATGGGTTGCCTATTATCTCAAATGGGATCAGTAGGAAAGAGATCAGTCGTGCTTGCCTTTTTGCATCGTGCCTCTGCATCCGAATAGTCATAAGTACCAACATGTCTGCTTGAGTCAAGTGATTGTACAGTTTTTCGCATGCCAGTGTGAAGTCAAGGTGATAAGAGCTCTAGTTTTCCGTCCCTGCCAAGTGATCTCTCGTGGAATCAATTAGGTCCAGCCATGTCCACATACTCTTTGCCCGTGTCCCAGGATGAAATTGAAGTGGTCAAAAAGATCCTTGCCCGCATGGAAGCTCACGGTCAGAGCCTATCCTCGTTTGTTCAGCCTCCGGCCATCTCCGGTGGTTCTATGACAGATGGCAGCAAGCGTGTGCATGCCGCCGTGGAGCCCAGTGAGAATTTGTCGGAGGAGGAAGATTCTGCCTTTGATTTGATCAGCGAGGTGGGTGGTTGTGCCAAGAAAGGGGACAAGTCAGCCCAGAAGCCTATGGCTCCTCAGATCTCCTTGCCTCCGATGGTGAACAGTCTGGAAAAGTGGGGGAAGACTGTGTGCACCCTTCCCAAGGTGAAGGCTGACGATGTGACCTATTATCAGATTGGCACTTTGCCGAAGTACCGTGACTATTGCGACTGGGTCTTCAAGCAGGGTGAGAGCAAGGGTGCCAAGTGTGTGGACCTTCGCAACTATTTGATTGCCGCTGGTCTGGTGTCAGAGCCCGAAGGGGTTGTCTTTCCTGGCACTACCGAGCTGCGTCGCTTTCGAGATTGATTATATCCTTGGCATGTGCTTTTGAGCTTCTTTATGGGATACCTGAGTCAGTGAGAGAGCTCCAATGCTGCAATTTTTACTTTCAGAATATAACTCAGACGAAGTTCTGAGCAAAACCTTTTTCTAGGAGAGAAAGAGGAGTGTGAAAGCAGCGCCTCTCTTCCAGGTCCCATTTCACCTTGTGGCATGTATCGAAGCCAACTTGCTCAACTCAGGCGAGAAACTAATGCAAGCGGGCGTGGTGTTTGAATCTAGGAAGATTCCAGTTGTTCCCCAGGCGGGGTTTGTGTATGTGTATGTGTATGTGTATGTGTATGTGTATGTGTGGTATGTATGTATGTATGTGTGTGTATGTATGTATGTATGTATGTATGTATGTATGTATGTATGTATGTATGTATGTATGTATGTATGTATGTATGTATGTATGTATGTATGTATGTATGTATGTATGTATGTGTGTATGTATGTATGCATGCATGTATGTATGTGTATGTGTATGTGTACGTGTATGTGTATGTGTATGTGTATGTATGAATGTATGGATGGATGGATGGATGGATGCGTGCATGCATGCATACATGCATGCATGTATGTATGTATGTATGTAATCCATGTAATCCATGTAATCCATGTAATCCATGTAATCCATGTAATCCATGTAGTCCATGTAGTGTCATGTAGTGTCATGTAGTGTCATGTAGTGTCATGTAGTGTCATGTAGTGTCACGTGATGTCATGTAGCCTAGTATAAATCATATACTGTCATGTAATGTCATGTAACGTCATGTAATGTCATGCAATGTCATGTACAAGTAGCATCATGTAATGTAATGTAAGGTAATACCATGTAATGCAATGCAATGTTTGTTCTCGCAGATCTTCTGAAACTTTTCCGACAATTTGTCTGACATGTGTTCTCACAGTTTTGCGGACATGTATAATGGCATTACATTTTCTGGCATATCTTCTGACATTTATAGTCAATATGTCCATGGAATTGCCAGAGCCACTGACTCCAAAGTGGCTATCTGACCTGTTCCGGGATGACACAGAAAGTCGAGGTCCGGATGACACAGAGAGTCTGCGAACTTGCCATGAGACGAGGCGGATAGGAGGAGGAGGAGGAGGAGGTACAAGTAGGAAGTCTCATCTAACAAGTGGGGAATTAACTGGAAAGATTTGCTTGAGACATCTTGAGACCAACTGAAGCAATTCCGTATATAGGCTTATTGAAGCAGCCGTTCTTCAACCCAACTCAGCTTCAACGCGCCAGGTGCACCATTGACATACTTCATCTCGGCCACCCCCTGGATGCTCGCAGCTGACTTTGTTGCTAATCAGCTCAGCTTTGACGTTGCAGGCGCACCAAGTTGAAGAGCCTGTGCAGTTGTGCAGCCACTTCAATGAGGAATGGAACTGACATGGCAATGGACCCGGGCACGGAACCGAATATTGAATTTTCAATGGGGTGGCACCTCCAAATCACCAAAAATTGGATGGTCCCTGCATCAAATGGGGAGATCGAATCACATGTGCCACATGGTATTGAGAACTTTGGGGTGTCCCCATCATGAAACAACCCGGTGTGAACTGGGCCTCAATAGCCCACCGAACATGTTAGCATGGCTTAGGGTGTCCAAACATCCACTTTTCACGCTGGGCTTGGGTGACCTCCTTTGTCCCCTTTGGAAGGGATGCAAAAAATGGTGGCAGTCGTAAATCCCAACTTGAGTTGTCCCAGTTGACGTTTGGATTGTTGTAATCTACTTGGGGGCGTGACTGACATGGCTCCACAAGGTCCAAGCGTGACATGGGTATGAATTCAGATTTGGAACCTTTATCCCAAGGTCGTGATTCTGAAACAAACATTTGGGAAAACTGTTCAAACCAACGACAAGCCAAACGTCAAAGAGCGAACCAGAATGCCATGTTCACCCTCTGAAGAATCTTGCAAATAATTGTAGTTTTTTCAAAGAGATCTCAGAGGATCAGACTTCAAGATTTCGCACAGGTCTCTAGCAAGATCTCAATGTTCATCCCCGGGAACTCTATTTTCTTTGCACAGATATTTGTGATGTCTGCAGATGTGTTTTTTCCCTCTGTGTGTGTGTGTGAAACAAACGGAATGCCGTGCGGGTTCCGAACGGCTTGCGTGTCGAACACAAACCAACAACTGCACAGGTTGAGCAGCAAAAAGTAATAGTTGTGTTCCGCGCGCGTCTTGCGCATCGACGGCAGGCAATGAAACCCAGAAAGGGATGTTTTCATAAGCCTGTGTTGGCACCACCTTTCCCCCTTAGCAAGAAAGATGAAAAGAGAAGGATCGAGAAGCAGTGAGAATGAGAAGGATTGTGTCAAAGAATGTCTGAAATAAGTCGTAAGTGTGAAGAATGATGCCTTGTTGAGATCTGGAAACTCTCAAGTTGAAGTTTCTTTTTAAAAAAATATGGCAAAATATTTAGACATGTAGAACTTAACTGTAGTTGGATAGAGGCCCAAACCTTGCCTTTCTTGTCACCTTTGCGACTCGTGCAGTCCTGAGAGCTGGTGCTGGTAGAATGATGATGGTATTGATGGTGTTGATGGGTTTGATAGCTTTGATTAGTAAGTTCCGAAATTTCAAAAACCATCAGGCCATGATATGCCATGATTGTATATTTGTCAGATCATCAGACAGTGAACACAGTAAGTTACGGGATGCTTGTCACTGTTGTGACCATTTTTTAACCTCTCGCCATGGACCCGGCAGCGGGCTGAATCTAAGGCCCCTCACGGGGCCACGATTCTCCTGGGCGGAGGAGAGCTTCCCCTCAGGTCCTTCTACCGTAGAAGGGGTTGCCAGCACCATTTCAATTTCTTGTTCCCCCAAGTTTGAGGCTTCCCGTTCCTAAAAAACAAAAAAACATGTCACATCACGTTTGAGATATCAGTATATAGCGCCAGACATCTAATTAGAACATTTTTCCAAAATCACACGAAGATGTTTGTTTTAACCCTTACTTAGCACAAAAAAAATGACCATTTTTGTTCTAATAGTTTTGTTCTAAGTAGGGGGTTCCGAGGGTCTACTTACAACAAAGTTTTCGTTGTGGAGGGATTATGTCCATTAAAATTGTTCTAAGTGTGGGTTTCACCAACTGGTGAGGGTTTGCAATGGGTCTCGGGGCAATGTTGTTTCATGGATGTCGGAAGAAAACCCAGTTCCTTTAATCTCTTTATATAAAATGTGGAGTGTGCTGTTTTCGGTTGAAACCCAAAAAACAATCAAGGGTTATTGGTATCCTTTAAGTTTGTTCTAAGTGTGGGTTTCACCAACTGGTGAGGGTTTGCAATGGGTCTTGGGGGAATGTTGTACTATATCACATCAGTAGGTTCATCAGCAGCGGGTCCGTATCTTGGGCCCAAAACAACGTAAGACGCGGCGCGAAATTAGACATGGTGCCCGGGGAATAACATACATAAAAGATCATGAAACCTGTTGTTTTGAATGGCAATGTTTGCCAAAATTGCTCTATATTTTTTTATATTTTGTTCTAAGTGTGGTACGGGCCGTTTTTGTTCTAACTGTGGGTTTTTCTGTTCTAAGTGTGTAAATGGCAAATTTGTTCTAAGTGTGGGTTTCCTCGTGTGTTTTGATTTCCGATTTGTTTCCAAAATTTGTTCTGAGTAGTGGTCCGTCGCTATAGATACTTCGTAATTAAATCTAATTGATAAGAAGTACATTAGTGCTCCCAAATGCCTCGACCTTCGAGATGCGTTTTATTCTTCTGCAAACCTGATCTTAAATCTGATCTTTTCCGGCGTATCCTATATTTGAAGTATCCCTCCCTACATTTAGCAAAAAAGGAAACGTCTTTCAGCTAGCTTTCCACACCAATTGTTCTTCTGCATGAAGGCGAAGCTCTCATGACTGACATCATGAATCTGCCAATTCCGCACATATTCGAAAAAGAGCTCACCTACCTCAAGTGCAAAACCAACAGCTATCGGAAGGCGGCCAGTGTCCTTCATGTTTAGGCTGTCCACATCTGTTGGGAGCTCACTCTTTGAACCTGACTCCTGATGCAGGCTGATTGGGCTCAGGACGCCTTTGCTGGGTCAATGTCAACACACACGAGAGGGGATCAAAGCAGCATCATCATTTCCAGAAGCAGAGTGCTTTGACTTAAGGCCATATCGGGATTGTGCCAAGATTCGCAGATTGACCCTGTGGTTGGAAACACACAAGGAGGATCCGTTGTCACTTGTCTACCATGGTAGGAGAACCAGTTGACACCGACACCTCTCCATTGACCAGCGCTCCTCGGTTTCCTTAAGTGTTGTGCTTAGTTCCTCCTGTTGCTGGACACACTGTCTGAGTGCCTGCTCTACCTGCCCGCCTACACTGTGTAACTGACCATGCGGTAGGTCACTCCAACAAATGCAGATCCTGTGTTTACTGTACATACTGGCGTTTTGACTGCCCAAAGATACAAATGATGTATCATCACGACATTGGTTTGCAACATGGCGTTGTGTTTTACTGCAAACCCTCGTTTGACCACCGTTGATCAGAGCATTAAGGGGCTCATCATGGCTGGCAAATGCGGCGTTTGCACTGCATTGAGTCATATGAATCATGCTGGCAGGAAAAAGAAAATCTGGATGTAAGTATGAGTAAGTAACGTTTTTGCATGGTGGGACTGTTTGAGGCCTGACAAGTAACATCTGTGTTGGTTCCCTTTTTCAAAGTCTTTTGTGAACACACTTTCTAGGAATTTTGATGCGTGCGTCTAGGTTCCCTCCTGGTGTTTCCCTGTCCTCCAGCGGGGCCAAATCCTCTGGTAACCCACTATTTTGCTCCTGAAGGTGAAGAACAACAGTAGATGGACACAATATTCAAACCCTGCAAGACGCACTATGTTCACTATGTTGAACCCCGCACCCCGAAATCTCAATGTTCCAACGCGCGGGTTACCAAAAGTGGTGTTAGGGGTTTGATTTCTTTCGTCCATGCACTTCAGATTACATTGACATTGAACTTTGGGGGCGAGGGGGTTGTACCAGATAGAAAAGGTTGAATATGTCGCCCATCTACGGTACCCACTGCGGTGTGCGGCATGCCGCACACCCTAGTTGGTACCGTCTCGCTCTCTGATGTTTTCACATCTTGTTGTCTCCAAACTCTGTTGAGGAAAGATCACACTCTGCATGCCGCTGATCTTATCCCAAACTGCGCAAAACATGGCCTTTTCACAAGTAAATGCCTCCTGTCTGTTTCCCGTCCCATTTATTTCTATTCCCTAATTCGCAACTTATTCCAAGCTGCACAAAACATTGTGTTTTCACAGGTAAGTGCAACCTTTGTGCTCCCCGTCCGATTTTTTCTATTCCCTAATCCAAACTGCAAAAAACATTGTGTTTTCACAGGCAAATGCTGCATGTGTCTCTCGTCCCATTTTTTCTTATTCCCTAATTCACGACTAATTCGTTTGACGTGGCCCTGCCAATGGATTATTTGAAATATCCCTCCCTACATTTAGCAAAGAAGGAAACGTCTTTCAGCTAGCTTTCCACACCAACTGTTCTTCTGCATGAAGGCGAAGCTCTCATGACTGACATCATGAATCTGCCAATTCCGCACATATTCGAAAAAGAGCTCACCTACCTCAAGTGCAAAACCAACAGCTATCGGAAGGCGGCCAGTGTCCTTCATTTTTAGGCTGTCCACATCTGTTGGGAGTTCACTCTTTGAACCTGACTCCTGATGCAGGCTGATTGGGCTCAGGACGCCTTCACTGGGTCAATGTCAACACACACGAGAGGGGATCAAAGCAGCATAATCGTTTCCAGGAGCAGAGTGCTTTGACTTAAGGCCATATCGGGATTGTGCCAAGATTCGCAGATTGACCCTGTGGTTGGAAACACGCAAGGAGGATCCGTTGTCACTTGTCTACCATGGTAGGAGAACCAGGTGACACCGACACCTCTCCATTGACCAGCGCTCCTCGGTTTCCTTAAGTGTTGTGCTTAGTTCCTCCTGTTGCTGGACACACTGTCTGAGTGCCTGCTCTACCTGCCCGCCTACACTGTGTAACTGACCATGCGGTAGGTCACTCCAACAAATGCAGATCCTGTGTTTACTGTACATACTGGCGTTTTGACTGCCCAAAGATACAAATGATGTATCATCACGACATTGGTTTGCAACATGGCGCTGTGTTTTACTGCAAACCCTCGTTTGACCACCGTTGATCAGAGCATTAAGGGGCTCATCATGGCTGGCAAATGCGGCGTTTGCACTGCATTGAGTCGTACCAGTAGTACCGCACAAGGCGGTGGCGGAAGTTTCAAAAATAGGAAACCTATAGGAGAGCTTGGTTGTTGTGAAGCAGGGATGGCAGAGCGAAACCACTCATGGACTGAAAGGTGCTTGATCTCTTTCACTCTTTCTCTCTCTTTCTCTTTTTTTCTCTATCTTTCTCTGATTATCTACCGACCTACCTACTGATCTATCTGTCTAGCTATCTATCTGTCTGTCTGTCTATCTATCTCCCGATCTATCTATCTATCTATCTATCTACCTATCTATCTCCCTATCTATCTATCTATCCATCTATCTATCTATCTTTTTGTTTAGCTGTCTCTCTATCTATTTGTCTGTCTATCTATCAATCTATCTATCTATCTATCCATCCATCTATCTATCTATCTGTCTAGCCATCTATCTATCTATCTATCTATCTATCTATCTATCTATCTCATCTACCATGCTGGCCTCTCTCTCTCTCTTTCATCTAATTACCTATCTATCTATCTATCTATCTCTCTCTCTCTATCTATCAATCGATCAATCTATCAATCTATCAATCTATCAATCAATCAATCTATCTATCTATCTATCTATCTATCTACTATCTATCTATCTATCTATCTAACTATCTAACTAACTATCTATCTATCTGTCTAGCCATCTATCTGTCTATCTATCTATCTATCTATCTCATCTACCATGCTGGCCTCTCTCCCTCTCTCTCTTTCATCTAATTACCTATCTATCTATCTATCTATCTACCTATCTTTCTGTCTATCTATCTATCTATCTATTTATCTATCTATCTATCTCTCCCTTTCATCTGCCTATCTGTCTAGCTGTCTACCTGTCTATCTGTCTATCTATCTATCTGTCTACCTGTCTATCTGTGGTGCAGTGTCATTCAGTGTGATGTAGTGTAGTGTAGTGTAGTGTGGTGTAGTGGAGTGTGGCGGAATGTAGTGTAGAGTATTGTAGTGTAATGTAGTGTAGTGTAGTGTAATTTAGTGTAGTGGAGTGTAGTGGAGTGTAGTGTAGTTGTGTAGTTGTAGTTGTATTGTAATGGAGTGTAATGTAGTGTAAGGTAGTGAAGTGTAGTGGAAGATAGTGTAGTATAGTGTAATGTAGTGTAGTGGAGTGTAGTGTAGTGTAATGTGATGTAGTGTAGTGTAGTGTAGTGGAGCGTAGTGTAGTGTAATGTAGTGTGGTGTAGTGTAATTTAGTGTAGTGGAGCGTACTGGAGTGTAGTGTAGTGTAATGTAGTGTACTGGAGTGTAGTGTAGTGTAATGTCCTGTAGTGTAGTGTAGTGTAGTGGAGTGTAGTTTAGTGTAGTGAAGCGAAGCGACATCTGAACCTCCAAAAGTGGTCCGAACCCCTAGTGTTTTGAACATTTTGACTTCGAAATGTGCTTCGCGCCACAACGGCGTGCACTTTTTCGACATCTGAACCTCCAAAAGTGGTCCGAACCCCTGGTGTTTTTAACATTTTGACTTCGAAATGTGCTTCGCGCCACAACGGCATGCACTTTTTCGACATCTGAACCTCCAAAAATGGTCCGTACATGGTGTGCTTTGTGCATTTTGACTTCGAAATGTGCTTCGCGCCACAACGGCGTGCACTTTTTCGACATCTCAACTTCCAAAAGTGGTCCGAGCATGGTGTGTTTTGTACATTTTGACTTGGAAATGTGCTTCGCGCCACAACGGCGTGCGCTTTTTCGACATCTCAACTTCCAAAAGTGGTCCGAGCATGGTGTGTTTTCATTTCGACTTCGAAATCTGCTTCGCGCCACAACGGCATGCACTTTTTCAACATCACAACTTCCAAAAGTGGTCCGAACCCCTGGTGTTTTTAACATTTTGACTTCGAAATGTGCTTCGCGCCACAACGGCGTGCACTTTTTCGACATCGCAACTTCCAAAAGTGGTCCGACAATGGTGTGTTTTGTACATTTTGACTTGGAAATGTGCTTCGCGCCTACTTTTCGACCCTCCGGAGCCACAAATCATTGGAAAAACACAGTGAATCGCGACTTTCCTACCTTTTCGCGCATCTTACTCTTTCTCTTCTACTCTTATCTCTTCTAATCTTTCTCTTCTCTCTGCCTCTTCCCTACTCTGCTTTTCATCTGTCCATATTGTCGGAAGTTTGACTTCTAAACTTCCTTCGATGAGTAAGTAACGTTTTTGCATAGTGGGACTGTTTGAGGCCTGACAAATAACATCTGTGTTGGTTCCCTTTTTCAAATTCCTTTCTAGGAATCTTGATGCGTGCGTCTAGGTTCCCTCCTGGTGTTTCCCTGTCCTCCAGCGGGGCCAAATCCTCTGGTAACCCACTATTTTGGTCCTGAAGGTGAAGAACAAGGTACAGGTTGGTAGGTGTGCTCAAATATTCAACCCACGGAGCCTGTTTGTTGGCCGTTCAGCGGTATCATTTTTTCCACGACTTGTGGTCATTGACCCAGCTGATACCCAGCTGCTGGTGTCTTTCTTGGGGGCAACTGAAAGCCGACCTGTCGGGGAATACCCTAGTGGAAGTTATTTCAACTTAGGTTCAGATATAGTTTAACTTCAAGTGAGTATACAGTATACACAATCTATCCCTTTGGTATCACAACATCGTGTTTGTCCTCCAGTGGTGCTAAATCCTCTGGTGGTCCATCACTCTTCTTTTCGCCCTGACCATGATGCATGGAGAGGATCAACCCAAGCCGTCTGATTTGAAATCCCATGGTGAAACCCCTCTTATGTTTCACACTTCAGATATTTTCTACCGGAAAGAATACTTCCAAGTTTTTCATGTACAGAGACCAGAGTAAAAGATACTAACAACTATATAGTTGTTGATAGTTGCAGTCTTAGCATGTTTTGGCAGTGGTTTTTCCATGGTTTTTACTATAGAACCACCATGTCTTCCTAGTAAAAAACATTAAACAACCATAGAACCACCATATTTTCGGTGCCTCCTCTTCACTGGGCTCCAAGGCCGGCACATCCTCACTGCTGGGAGTGTCCTGCAACGAAAAAAACACTTTCCGGGGATAGTTTGGGCGACACGACCAGGGTATCACCAAGACCTTTGGAGGAAGAAAATGTGGTTTGATAATGCTTGATAATGTTGGGTAATGTTTGATAAAGTCGGATAATGATTGATAATGTTCGATCATGTTCGATGATGGTCGATAATGTTTGATAATGTTTTGATAAATAAACAACATATAATGGGATAATGTGATTTCTTATAAGCCTCAGTCTAACATGAGATCAATGTCCGGACCCCTTTTGCACAGTTAAAGCTCGGCAAACAATACAGAATCGAGCATTGCGAGTGGTCCAAGTATAGATCTTGATTCAACTCAAGCTATGCAGTCTACTCCTACTGCCACCTGATGGGGCTGAACTCTGAGCCACCAGAAAACATGGTTCTTCAGGAATCGACGCATCGCCAAAATCAGATCTAAAATTCGGGAAATATATAGCAGATTGGTGCATCCGTTGCCCCCCTCATGCGTTTCCGCCCAAAATATTCAATTTTGAATATATATATATATAGTAATTATGTAATGGATTCAATTGGATATGATTCATTTTAATTCTTATATATTCTTATCATGGATAGCATGAATCACTTCAGGCCACTTGCTGCCAGCCTTGGTCACGACAGTACTCTCCTTGGCGCTGGTCAACATCAATTTCATCCAGAAGAACTACCCGCATCGGATATTGAACGTGCAAAAAATATGGATGTTTGATTGGGGATCATGCTAATCATGTGCCTTGCAATGTTTTTGCAGTGTTTTTTCGTTCTGTGGGTCAAAATACGTGTTTTACAGGGCGTTTTGCAATTTGATGTGGGAATTACTGCGTATTCTGAGTAAAATGCATCCCAAAAAATGACTCTTTTCGTGAGCCCTCGTGCCCGAAACCACAGCGCCAGTGCGTTTTGCCGGTGACGCTCAGATCTTGGCAAAGTAGACTCCGTTTTGGTAGATCCAACAACATTGCTTCCCAGCACCATTGCCATGTGCGAACATATCTCCAAATCAAGTCATTCAATCTGGATTGTTCCTTTTTGTGCAAGTGTGCAAGTGCAAAAGAAACTGCAGTAGCGTAGCGTGACGTATGTGCGCAGGTGCAAATGAATATGAACGTTATTAGCCCACCCCACCCCACCCAAACAAAAACGCACAAAAACGCACGTTCGGTTTTCACCCCGTAGGCAAAAACTGCAAAGATTAGACTTGCATCATTCCCAATGTTTGCCAATTTTGAGCCTCACAAGAAAGGATAAGGACGCCAGTGTCTTCCTTTTGGAACCTCCACCCAGACACAGCAGACCGCCCCCAAGAAAATGCTTTGTTGCCATTGGGCGCCATGAACCCGATTGAACAGGGCAGAAGGAAAAAAAACGTTTCGCTCAGTGTAGGCAAAATTGATGAGTTATTCTCTCTCTCTCTCTCGCGCTCTATGTAACCAACTGAGCACGTGACTGATCAGTGCTCTACACTCAAAACGGCTGAACGACAGCCTCTGCAACTGTTGCAACTGTTCATATTGACATATCTTGACCATTGGCCAGCCAACCTGTGCATCTTTCCCACCTTGGCTAAATGGGCTGTGTACATTTGCTGAGCATCGGAAGTCTTGAGCGTTTGCTGAAAGTCGATATCATTCACTTCTGTCGTCGCACCAACCTCGGGTCAGGTCGGACGCTGCGTCCAGGCTCCGCCACACAGGCGGTTGCCGGTTACCCAAAACTTAAGTGGCCAGAGGAAAAAAAACAGTTTGGCAGCAATCACCTAACAACCTCCAGGAACATCCTGACAAATCCCTCTATACTCTATACAGATTCTAACTATATTATAATACTATATAATACTATATAGATCATTAATTGTACCAAATGTTCCCCAAGGTCACAGCCCGCCTCTGCCACATCACAGCTGTACTTGGAGAGTCTCTTGGCGATGCGGTCCAGGACCCCATAGTTGGAGACCTCGCTGCAAACTTATTTCGCTCATTAAAAGTGTCCACAAAAAAAGGATATGCACTCCATTTCTACAATATGATATATAATATATATATAATATGAATGATGACATATGATGACTGAATATGCTCAGTCCCAGTGCTGTGAGTATGGTTCGAAGCACCTGTGCCCATCCCTTTAGGCTCTTGTTTTTCGTCAGCGCGATCGCCCAAGGGCATGTCGAATTTCTGGAGGTTGCTGCAGCGGTCTGCTTCGACGATGGGAATTCTTGTTCATCAGCTTCAGCTTGGGCTTCGTCTTGCTCATCTTCCTCATTAGACTGCGGATCATTTTTTTGAGTTTCGCTATTTTGGCAAGGGGCAAACTTCTGTGTGGGACACCGATGACATCGATATCCCAAACGGAAGTTGGCCACACTCCAAGCACCGCAAGATTCTTTGTCGCATCATCTGGTTCTGCAGAGATTCTTGCTGCTTGGATGGCTTGGATCATGGGCGGAGTGGACGCTTTTGGATGTGAATCAGCTTCTGAGCTGCTTCCTCCAACATTTTGAGAGCCGCATCCTTCTTGGTCTCCGATTTTGCATCACCCAGTTGAAAGGTTGTCTCCTTCAGTTTCAAAGTATTGAGGAACTCCAACCAAGCACCACAGACAATTGGTCTGTAACTACGGCTTGCAGCTGAGCTCCAGTGACCGCATGATACAAACGTGCTCTGGTGAAACTGTGAGTGTCACCAGGTGACTGTCACCAGTGATTTGCGCACCAAACCCAACGCAAATCACAAGTAGCTGCTCCAAACCTTTGGCTTTGCTGTCCCAGTTACGGATGAGTTCATCCTTTCTTAAGTCCTCATGTACAGCCTCAAGTAAGAAGCGCAAAGAATCCTCAAATGAAACCAGCTGAATGTTGTACGTTGGCACACAATCTGCTTCCAAACGCTCCTCAAGATGTAATCTGAAACTGCTGCGGAACTTTTTGGTTTGGTACGAGCACTGCCACGTGCCGACCAAGCTGAATACAGGGGTCTGCGTGTGTGTGTGTGTGCGCGTAATTAATGTACCACAGGGCTTTCACTGTTGTCTCTCTCTCTCTCTCCCTCCGTTTTGCTTTCTCCTGATTATCGGTGCATGTGCCTTTTGCCTCTTAGAGCTAGCCATCATCGATCTGTAATTGCGCTCACCATCGATCTGTGCACAAAGACGCTGCTGCGGCTTGTCGTCTGGAAAATCATGTTGGCCAACCCATCGGAGCCAAAATGGCTATGGCGGCTATGGTTGTGCTATCCCCTACCACCCTTGGGTGTAGGACTTCTCGAAGCATGAGACCTCTCCAGCGCTAATTTCCAGCAGAAAATATTTTGGAAACCCAAGTCAACAAATATACTGGCATCTGTCCATACATCATGTTTCAAACATGTTGGCATCGCAAATCTTATCACGTTTGGTTCCCAACATTTACAATCTAGGTTTGCAATTTTGCATCACTCGGCATCTCTATTTCAAGACTTCCACGGGAGGCATCTGTATCTTTCACTCTGCCGACTCCTGTTCCTCTCGCCGAGTCACATTGAAGAAGAGCTGTTTGGAGGAGGCCAGGTCCATCAAATCCTCAACGTGTTCATGGAGCGGCTACACAAATGCCATGTGAAGATCTTGGAAGCAGCTGATGATCCATCAGAGAAGCAGGGCTTATGATATGTTATGATGATGGACACTACTATCACTACTATAAGACTATAATAATAAGTATCAGTAACTAATAGTTATAACTTATAACTATCAGTAACTAATAGTTTATGATATGTTATATATGTTATGATAGTCTATCATAATCATAACAGAATAACATACCATAACAGGGAATAGGCTTCCCAGTTGCAGGATCAGTGCCACTGGGATCCAGTTCTAAAAGCATCACTCCATCGTCGGTGGCAACAGTGTCTTGGTGTCAATGAGATTGTAAGGTTGTGGTCATTGCTCCAGTAACATCCAATTGAGGTCTATTGACAATGATATTATATATATATACACATATGGACTCTATACATATATATATATATAAATATATATTATTTATTTATTTATTTATTTATTTATTTATTTATTTGTGTTATATCTATTAACAAGTCATTGATGCTTTACACTGCTCCCAGTTCTTCTTGACACGAGCTCAATATTCTGGTGTTTTGTGGCAGCCTTGGCCTGGCGAGCCCAGCCAACCCGGTCATTTTTCGCCGTGGAACAGAGGTTGCTTCATTTCCCACTGCAACACCTTCGGGGAGATCGGTGGTGTTTTCGGAAATGGCAACTGAGTGGAAACTAAGCACCTAGATCTGCTTAAATACCCAGTTCTACCACCCACTGCTCTGGATAAGAATGAAACACAGGAACAGGAAGCATCCGGAATCATCATGGTACTCACAACGTGCATGGTGAGCTTTCCCACCGCGGAGTAGGTCAATGACTATGGTAGCAACATGTACCCTCTGGTAAACTAACATAACTATAGAAAATCACCATAAAATCAACTATAACTGGGCCATGTTCAATAGCAAACCGTCAAATTACCAGGCCGGGTAGCGATGATCGACTACAACCTGTCGGACCTGTCGCTTCGATCATGTTTGATCCACTGGAGCTGGTGGACTTCCCATCCCATGGCGTCCCATGGCGTCCCATGGCGTCGAGTCACTGAAGACCACAACTTTCTCCTCGCTTTCCATGGTTTTCTTCAAATCAATGGCGCCCGGATCCACATCGCCATCAGAGATCAGGATCAAGATGCGTCGAGCCTTGCACATCGCCCAAATGGAACACTACGAGTGTTTCAATGCCATTCTATTTCAATCCATTTCAACCAATCTGCCACCAATATTATTATTATATATATATATACATATAACTATATATAGATATGGCATTGTGGCAGAGGGCTCAGAGACTCATCATTTTCGTGGTCGACAAAATTCACCAAAGGAAGTTCCTACGTGCCTTATGTATCCAGAAATGTGCCTTTGGCCTTCCTACCTCAGTGTGACAAAAAAGTCAAGACAACTTGCCGCAGCTTCGCACCCAGATCCGGCCTCTCGTTGATGCTTCTCAAAGAGACGCCGCACCTCTTCCAAGCCTGCCTGGAACACTGGCGCGTGGATGCAAGGTCTACCAGGTCTATCAACCACTGAGGCCAATATGGGCTTGTCGAAGAGATGTACCCTCTGGTAATTTGACGGTTTGCTATTGAAAATGGACCATTTATAGTGGATTTGTTCATTAAAAATGGTGATTTTCCATAGTTATGTTAGTTTACCAGAGGGTAAATCAATTTGTGTAAAGATCCATTGCAAAAATCTACAACACACCGGTAACACACCCAAAAACTTTTGTGAATTGATTGATTTTCCTAAAACATGGCATTGGCATTGGTGAACCATGACGATGGTGATTCTGCGATCCCTTAAGGTATTGTTGGCAGACAAAGTTGGCTCTTTTTGGACCCAACTCAAAGTTGGCCAACCCACGAACCACGCCATTGACTTCCACGAACCATGCCATGTTCGCAGGCCTTTACGGAGGTGAAGCCACCAAGTTGTTTCAACTTGCCGATGCCAGCGGTGACTTTGTCGCGATCACTCTCCCAATCCATCTCCTGCTGATGACTGGACACTGCCGTGCAAATGTTCACAGGAAACCACGGGAAAACCGCGTTCCCCTAAATGTTCCCTAATCAATTGTGCAGAAATAATGCACAAATAATCATAAGGTTTGCATGGTTCAAAGAGGATCCGAGATAACTTTAGCGCACATCAGTGTGCATTTTGTGAGTGCCTCAACATCAACACTTTCACAAACTGACTGAGACTAAGATTCATCAGTTGAGGTTTCTCATCCCGAATCTGCACATCACCATGGGAAAGTGAGAAGTGATATGGAAAATAGTAGAAAGTACACTAAGTACACAATAAATTATGAAAACTATGATCCCTCTTGAGATCTGCCAAGCAGCCAATTGGACTTCGTCGGTGTATTGGACAATGCCAACTTGAAGTTTGTCGGGTCCAATGCCGAAACGACTCACCTTGGAACCAAAAAATCACTCAACGGAGCGCTGGGAACTTCTCGGAACTTCTGCTAAAAAGGGACCGTCTTATTCACGAACTTCTTCAGGGCCTCAAAGTCCGGATCTCGCACCTCGGGTTATCAAACCATATCAAGCCTCAACGTCCTGCACATCTGCAGGGTTTGATGTTGAACTTTGAACCGCTTTGGAAAAGGGAACGAACAAACGAATCTGGCAGCTACTTTGTAATTACCACGTATATGTTGGACATGTTGCTAGTGGATGTTAGGCGAGTTTTCGTTTGGTGAGTTTTCCACTTCAATTTTGGTGATTCCAATGATACATTTCATAGCGGATTTTCTCAAGTGGCCCCTTTTTTGGCACCGTCAGCTCAGCTGAGCGACACTGTAGCTTCCATCCAACAGAAAAGCCACATCAACGGCACTCTCACACTCCTCCTGAGGGGTTGCAAGGAGGATGTCGGGGTGCCATGGATCAGGGCAAGAAAGATGTCACCTGACTTTGTTTTTTTTCCATGTAAATCGTTTATTACACAACCATCATAACAAGGATCTGTCATGATCCATCCATCATTGATCCACTGGCGTGGACCAAAGTGGTGCAATTCTTTGTGCCCTGACCACATTGGCGGAATATCAAACGGGGTTGGAACACAGGTCCCAGAACATCCACACTGGGATCTTCCAAATCCTTGCAAGTCGCCGCAGCATATTTGTCTATCTATATATATATAAGTATATAAATATATTTGAATATATTTAAGTATTTAAGTCATCTTTTTTAAGAACAATAAATTTTGTTGCTTAAAAACAACACACACCAACATGACCGCTGTGCAGCTATCCACTCAGTGCCAACATATGGCTCAACATTTTAGACCTTGGACCAAGCTCCAGCAACAATGCCGTGAATCTTTTCATGATAGCGGAGCAGTGATCCTGGAAGCATCCAAGAGAGTTCCAACACTACAAACAACAACAAGGAGCACTTGGGTAGCAGGCAGCCCAAACAGACCGCAACTGCAACAACCAGAAAGAGGAAACAGGTTCAACAACAAACAGCGCATGAGAGGAAAGAGGGTTTGATCCCAGAACACTGGAGGACTTTCAAGCGCAGGAAAGGAGAGGGTTTGATCCCAAAACAAAAGTGGGGGACCCTCAACAAGGAAAGATGGCAACAGGTCACAACATAGGAACGCCAGTGGCAGCAAATGAAGAAGCAACAAAGCACTTGCCTTAACACACAGGCTGAAGCTGAAGCTACCAACATATATGTATATGGAAACTGTTCAGCGTTTGGAGAGTGGAAATACAGGTTCACAGCATTCATGGGCATACAGGACAACATCTACCCAGATATGCTGGCAAGAGCAGAAAGGGCAACAGCAGTAGTCACAGATGCAGAACAAATAGCCACAGCAGGAACACCTGAGGAAGCAGAACGTTGGATACAACTAGCGAACGACCTCAAGTACATCCCAATCAGCGCAATAACAACTGCAGCAGCAACGGTGTACCGACAACACCAAAAAGCAATGGGCCTTGAAGTTTAGCTGCTAAAGCCAACTTTGAATCACAACAACTTTGAGGAGTTGTTCTCAACATGCAAATTCGAGGTCGGGCGCTTTGAGCGAGACAAAAAGACACAACTTCCAGAACAGGTCAAGAAAGTAGTTCTCATGAACGAGACAACAGGCCCTTTGCAACAGCATCTACACCTGAATGCAGGACAAGCACCAAACCGACAACCTGGACACCAACGACGCCTGAAGAGGCAGCAGAAAAGGGCAAGAGAGTGCAACATGGAAACCAACACCTGAGAGTTCAGATGAACAGGCGTGCAGTGAGTCTCAACAGAAGACGCCTTTTATTAACGCTTTTGGATTGGAAAGATGTACTGACTGATTTCAAACAAACACCAACATAATGTCCTTCAGTTCAACATGTTCGTGGTGTGAAACAGACTGGCACCAATCTGGGCTGTTAAGAACAACACACCCGAACATGACCGTTGTGCAGTTGTCCACTCTGTGCCAACATATGGCTCAACATTAGGCCTTGAGCCAAGTGAGAACAGTGCAAAAGGCGCGCACAGCAACAGCTCCAGCAACAGTGCCGTGAATCGTTTCATAGTTTTTGTATTTGACATATAGTATGTGTAATATTGTATAATATTGTATAATTAGATATAACCAAATAAATATAATATATATATATACATATTACATATTATACATATGCCTGCAGCTGGTGGTTTCAACATGTTTCAACCAATTCCAAAACAGCTCCTCAACTGAGATCATCTCAGGGATCAGAAAACATGCAGGGGCGAGTTGCAGTGCCAGCCACGTTTGGGGTATCCCATTCTTTTTGTTGATCTGAAAACACCAGCTCATATACATAATATTATATTATATATAAATATGTATAACTGTATAACTATATGTGTATATATATATAATAATGATACGAATGATATGGTATAATGGTACCACCAATAAATTGATGGTAATCACTATTACCATTCATAATCCACCCCTTGATTGTTGGATTACCTTGAAATATCTTCAGAGTCAACCCCGGCCTTGACACGCTGATTGCTCAGAAAGTCCGTGACATCTCCCCTGAGGGAAATGGCCTAGGTGGATCTAAGTGGAAACATCGCCATACAAATCTGGTTGGTGGTATACCTACCCCTCTGAAAAAAATATAAGTTCGTCATTTGGGATGATGACATGCCCAATATATGGAAAAATAAAATTCATGTTTGTTTTGGTGGATGGAATTGGCTGCAATCCATGAAAAACACGGACAAAAAAAACCTGTCCCATCTGTCGCCAGTGGGGGCTGTGTGGACCACCAGGTGGTCCTTTGAATGACCTCTTGCCCAGTGACTGGTCGCATAGCGTCACAAATCCAAACCTTAGGTTCTGCACACGCGATGCGGGCACTGGGGTAGATTCAAAGGCAAATGCAAGAATCCAAGAAAACCAGAATATCTTTGGAGGCTATTTGGAGACAGTTGTATCATGGTGTATCCAATTCCATTACTATAATATTGGGATGGGTAGCTTCTGAAAGTTGTTTTTCCATGTTTTTCCGGGGTATCAGACACCAACCCTGTGAATGCTCTCATTGCATGTCACTTCACGCTCAAGGATGTTCCTGTTGTACAGACTTGCACTGCAGAGTTTGCCCACCAACGTGGGAAAGAGCATAACCCGTAAGGCCTTCAGGACCCTAACTCAAACTGCTGGCCCACTGCAGTGTTCCAAATAACCCGGCCCAAACATCAGCCAGCATTTGGAGGGAGGAAGAAAGAGCTGCTGAGAGCTGCTGAGTCATGATCAAACAGATCAAACAGATCAAACAGATGCGATGTTCACCACCGCAGCATTTTTCGAAGGGATCAACTGTGCAACAGTGACCCTGCCCCCTGCCCACTTCTCCGAGGCACTGTGTGGGCTAAAAGCAAGGCCCACAAAGACATGAAGTTCATATTTCCTGGGAATCTGCGAATCAACAACTGGACTGAGAAACATTGAGGATTAATTTAGTTCTGGCAATGATTCTCGATAGTCTTCCCAACATAGCAAAGAGGCAGTCTTGAGGCCGAGAGCAAATGTCTGGAAACAGATTCAGATTCATACTGCAGGATACTGAAGGAATATATCGTGCTACGCATGCTATCAGAAGATCTGGAGGACTCCGATGTAATACAGCTGCGAGTCAGCCTGTTCAGCTGGTTGTAGACATGCTGTGCCAACTCGGAATATGTTGGCCCTCCAGTGACCCCTTCCGATCCGATAAACCACCACATATTTGCTGCACACCAAGATTCAAGTAGACACACCTGACAACTGGCCGGAATGAACCCAGTACAAGGCCGGTGGGATTGTTTTGAGATCTGACCGGCAACAAACAGAGACAACCCAGGCAACCATGGGCAACTTATTCTTGATTGGGAATAGTCCATGTCGTCACGTTGTGGCCACAGGGGAATGTGTTCAGCTCCTCGTGGGGCCATCCAAAAATGATACATGACCGTAAGGACATGTGAAGTTCTTCTCTAAGAAAGTCGTGGAAAATCAATCTACTCCTGGAGAAAATCTATAAATCCTGGGGCAAAGGTACGACGATGTGCTACCTATCTGCAGGCAAGGCACAGAAAGATTGAAATCTATTGTCAGACTGTTGGAATAAGAGTTTCACTTGCCAGTGAAAGGGAGCTGGTTGTTTGAGCCAAAATGGACAGGCGAGCATGGAATATCATTTACATGTATATAGATGTATGAAATGATTATATTATTGATCAGCTTCAAAGTCTGATTCCTGTTGCCCGCAGAGATTTCCCCAGCAACTTATGGACATGGGAAGCTCTGGGCCTTGCTCCCGACTAGCAGGAGTTCAAAATGGGTAGAACCAAGTCTTGGAGGGTCTGATGGTATGTTTGGACAAACAATGGAAACAAAGGGAAAAGCTGGCACAGGCTCAAGTACAGGTCAAGTATAGGTCAAGTAGATCAAGTCAACTGCAAACTTTCATCTTCAAATCTGTTGAAAACATTTCACAATAACTTGACAATCGCAGGTCTCAACAGATCCCAAGTCGTGGCCCAGTCATTGAGGTGACCGGCGGAGTCTCCTCGGCGACGCAACCACGATGCCATGTCATGCCTCCCTTTGTGGAGTTGGTAAGACATGGCTATCCAAAATCCAAAATGATCAAAATAAGTTGGTATCAAACATACAAAGTTTATCCACTTACTGGAAATGATCAAAATACTCTGGTTACGTGGAAGAACATGCGCTCTTCATTTCGCTTGAGAAACGTACGCGATCGGATCATCATTTCGGATCGTTTCACTGCATCTTTCCAGGGAGTTTTATACATCTGCGAATCATTCGTTAAAGAAATTCCATGAAATTCCTAAATTCCTGAGTGCACCTGGGGCCCACTCAAACATTTGAAATCATGAAGGCTCTCGGAGTCACAGCATCATGGCAATTGCAATACCATCATAGATCAAACGCAGCAAATACAGTATGATCGAAACATGCTGATTTCCCATCTCAGATTGGCAATTCGCCCGGTGATATCCGACTCCTGTGCCCCGTCAGGTTCTTTCTGGTCCAAAGAATAACTCCGTCAATCTATTCAACCCATCTTGCGAAGATACTATAAATAAATATAATATATGTAATATGATGTATGTATATGTATGTGTGATAATGTGGTTGTCCCTTCCCAGGCATTTCTTAAGGCATTTTGAAAGACAGAATCTAAGAAGATCAACAAGCCACCCATCAGCCAAAACCCTACAGGGCTAAGTCCCCCTGGCTGTGGACCCCGTGGATTCTGTCATCTCTTCCTGTTGGCAAAAGTCGGCTGCACCCTCAAGTACCTATTGGCCTGGAAGTTCTGTGCAAGGGATCTGTTTCTGTTGTGCATGTGGTGTTTCCTTTTTTTGCAACCTAACATCCGCAAAAGGAAACTCACCAGCCATCAAAGTCCACCAAAGTTAGCACGATGTGACCAAGCCCTGGGGCCCCAAACACCATCTTCAACCCGCGCTCCCTGAACGAGATTCCCCAACAAGGCCGCAAAACCTGGGCAAGAAAGGGCAAGTGGGGCGATCATTTGCCCCACAAATCACGTCAAAACACGTCAAGCTCTTCCCGGTCTTCCCGGTGTTCCCGGTCTTCCCAGGGTCAAGGATGGGTGGAACATGTTGGAAGTTGGAACGACATGGAACGACATGGAACAACTCAGATCATCTCAGATCAAAGTCCGTCCTCAAAAGATAAGTGCTGATGGCTGGCGGATGTTGAGGGATGTTGACTCGAACGACACTTTCGCCTGCCCGACTCAGCTCCCGAGCCAACCAACTTGGAGGAAAGTTCCTGGTGAGGGACAAGAAAGGCATGCAAGTAATTTATGTGTTCTATGATTGTGTTTGCATAATTATGATACATTATGTACATCAGATGTACATCCTTTCCATGGCTTCACCTTTCCCAGACAGGGAAATCCTTCTGCCTGCCTGCCATTGGACATCCCTGAAAACATGGGAAGCTGCTGTCCTGCACCTCATCGTCATCTGTGATGGCCGAAGCCTGGGAAATCCATAAGGGATGATCTTCATCCTATCATAATTGGGATGTGCGATGCGAAGTTTGTGACTTCCGGAAATAGAAAGAAGATGAAAGAAGATGAAAGAAGGAACCCAAACCCATGCCATCTCCATCAATCTCCGACTCCTGCCTGAACCTGTTGCAGCTGCGACGCGTAGTCCTTGTAGAGCTTGCGCCTCCGTCGGCCGTCAGGTGTGGTCAGCCGTGGTCAGCTGCCATCTGCCGAGGGCGGGACCAACCACTGCACTTCCGGAAGTCCAGGTCCTGCCCCAAACTCCGCAAGATCTGGAAATTTCGGGAGCGCCCTTCAGCGCGCCCTTTAGATTCAAAATGACCATTGTGAGGGGAAGGTGAAGATTCAAAATGTCCATTTTGAGATATTTTGAGGGGAAGGTGAATCCACCAAATCAACCAGAACCGTTCATTTTTTTCAAAAAGCGCATCCAGCGGATGATTTTGATGGAGCTGTTTCCCTCCAGCCTCAAGAAACTTGGCCAGGCGTTGCAAGCGATGTTGCCGTTGATCTGCCTCCGCTCTTCTGCTGGTGCTAGCACCATCCCACAAGTATGAGTCTACCGGGGTTAAGTAATGTTAAGTACAGTAATTAAGCATTATATGGAAAGAAAACAAATAAGAATGTTACAAATAGTAATATTCCAGTAATGTTACAAATAAGAATGGACAGAAAACAAATATCTTGAATCCACCAGGACCAGTTTGACTAGAAATGATGCACAGAAAACTAGTGGCGCTGGTCGGAAACCTGTTGCTCCCGTTCGAGGGCTGCAGACAAAAGTACCTGCAGCCATGGCAGCCAACCCTGTGCAGGTGCGTGGACAGGTTTGTGCCATGGTTCCTTGAGCTTCTATGGTACTTTGAACATATCCAGTATATCCTGGAAGTAAAAATCATCAATACCTACATCTGGGTATGGGTCAGAACCCACCCTGGTGAACATAAAAAAATGCTAGTACAGATGTTCATCCTCCAAACATGCATGGCAAAAAATCATAGATTTTGACCGATCACATCATGAGTCTTGCCCTTTGCGTTGCTGCAGGGTGAGATTTCCAGAAACGCAATTCGGAAACTGTACAGGCTCAATGGAAAAAATCTTTGAACATCATCTGCTCTAAACCTAACTTCACATTTAACATCATTTAACTTTCAACTTCCGAATGTGAATTTTGAGACCAGGAAGTCAAGTTCAAGTATTGAAATGCAATTCCCACCGGCTTTGCGGCATCAAAACCTTCACACATGTCCCTAGTCGCCACATGGCCGCACCTCCAATCGCGCCACTTGCTGTTGGGTGTCCAAATCCTACAAGCACAAGGCACCGCGTGTCCAATGCATATCGCGCCATATGAAAAGATATAAAAAGTACGGCAAAGTCCAGGTATGTTTGCCATGTTTGTCATGTTTGCCCATAGCCCTGGGTCCTCTCCAGAATCTTCAGCCTCTGGTTCCTGTCAGCGGTATGGTACTCTATCAAGGTATTCCATGGGAGCATAGGGAACCGCCTCTTGTTGAGCACCTCGTCTGAAAGCAGAGTCCTGCAAATTCTATAGCTGCTATTGCTTGTGCGGCCTGTTCGGGCATAGGTTTACAGATGTATTTTGAAAACATCTCAAAACCAACACAAAACCAACACAACCTCAGCGGTGATACACTCATTCCTGCAGGCATTCCTGGATTCCTGCACCATCTAAATTTCATCTATACATATATATATATATACATATATATTGGTTCAGGCACCTGCCTCTATCAATGTTTTGGCACACGTCCAATGTTGTCCTCAATGTTGTAAGTGATGTTGTGAATTTCTCGTTTTTTTTTCCACGCAAATTTTGATGTTTTAAATTTGGCGGTTTTTTTTCTCACGTAAATTTTGATGTTGTAAATTTGGCGGTTTTTTTTTCTCACGTAAATTTTGATGTTGTAAATTTGGCGTTTTTTTTTTCTCGCGTAAATTTTGATGTTGTAAATTTGTTTTTTTTGGTTCACGTAAATTTTGGTGTTGCAAATTTGGCGTTTTTTTTCTCATGTAAATATTGATGTTGTAAATTTGGCATATGTTTTTCTGATGTAAATTTTGATGTTGTAAATTTGGTGTTTTTTTTCCTCACGTAAATTTTGGTGTTGTAAATTTGGCGTTTTTTCCCGATGTAATTTTTTATACTGTAAATTTGGCATTTTTGATTCATTATGATTATGAAGTTTTGATTCAGTATTCTGATAAGTGATAAGGTAGGTTAAAGTATGTGTTTTTGTCAGCCCACCAGTTGAAAGGTTATTAAGTTATCAATAAGTTATCCAGTTATCCATGTCAATGATGATAAAATTACATGTTTAAAAACTAAGTTCAAGTTAAGTTCAAAAATATAGAAAAATATTTTAAAAAAACATTGTAAATTTCTGGTACATCCGAACGGTTCAGAACGGTTCAGGCGTATCAGTTTCTGATACATCCGAACGGTTCAGAACGGTTCAGGCGTCTCCGAACTATCCCGAACTATCCCGAACTATTCCGAACTAATCCGAACTCAGGCCTCCGATACATCCGAACGGTTCAGAACGGTTCAGGCGTATCAGGTTTTTGCCTTAGATTCTAAGCTTAAAAGTGGGCAATTTTTACAACATAACAAGTTGAAGATGCATGACTTGTAAACAAGTAAAGGTTTTAAGCTATGAGGTTTTAAGTTAATTAGTTAATTACAAATTATAAGAGGAAGAAAAGTTGTAAGACAAGTGATGTCAGTTGCAAGTTGTGAGTTGTAAATTGCCATAGGTCAAGGTACTTCAAGTAAAACTTCGGTGAAGAAAAGCATGTCTGAAAGTAACTTAGGCTGTGACACAAGTCGTGGCAGAATGTTTTCCCAAAGAACGGGGCTGGAGGAAACTTAGGCTAAATTTCACAATCTTCTGAAAAGTATATGTCACACCCAAACCCGTCTAAGGCAGGCAATCTTGTCACGTGAGCGGTCAGTGGTCCTCTGGGATCCATCCTGGGGGCAAGGATGAGGAAAACGAAGTGACACCTGAACCGTTCTGAACCGTTCGGATGTATTTCATATAGTTCGGGATAGTTCGGGATAGTTCGGGACTGTGCCCATGTTAGGCGTTGGCCTCTATAATTTGCCTGTGTGTCACCACACATTTGCCCATAAGTTTTTTTTTCCCCGCCAAACTCCTTTTTGCTGCGCGTCAGTGTTCGTGGGTTAAGGCGGCAGCCGGCTGGGGACAGGGGGATCTTCCCAGCGCGCGTCAGCAAGTAGGGTGGGGAGGGAGGGGGGGGGGCCGTCCATCGCCTCTTCTCCGTGGAGGGGTAGCTCCATGAGGCTGGCGGCGTGAGCCTCGAATTTTACCTGGTTTCAAAACGCATACAACCCACATACATACATACAGACAGACATAGACATGCATGCATGCATACATCCTGTTATATCTTTGCTTTATTGATCGGACCTGCCTTTCTCGCAGGTGAGTCTTGTCTTGTTACCTGCCGTTACCTACCAATTTTACTTGCCACAGCCTACCAGGATCTACCAGGTTTAAGGAAACAAATTAGTTCATCATTTATTTATTCAGCATTATGTATTATGCAACACTTACACGCAGGAAGTGACGATGTGACAACGCAACCATGTACCAATGTGTGACAGTGACCTTTACACAATGGAAGAACCACAGCCACAAGCACGGTTATCACCAAGAACGGAACAACGAGAACAAGAACTGGAAAAACGAAGAAAAAGAAGAAGAAGAAGAAGAGCAACAACAACAACAACAACAACAACAACCACGAGGACGAGGACGAGGACGACGACGACGACGACGACAACGACGACGACGACGACGACGACGACAACGGCAAAACCAACCAATGAAGGGCCAATGAAGGGACAAAAACAAGTTAAACACACCCACCAGATTCAATGCCAGCTGAGTTTCAAAAAACAAACCAAAACCCAAACTGTGAAATCAGGAGTGTGACATTACAAAAAAGAATTGACTCATCTCAACATCAAAAAATCACTGCAATAACGACATGAACAAAAATGGGCGCGCATAGTAAATCATGAATCATGACTCATGACGCAAAAATCACAGGAAACAAAAAATACAACTCACAATGTCAGTCATGACTTGAAGCAAGAAAACTTTGGGGTTGATAACATCAATCATGATATGAACAAGACTAAAAGTGGCGTTTACAAGATCCAAATTTATGTAAGAAAAAAGAATTTGGCTTTTGTACAGCGTCAAAATGTACGTTAGGAAAAAAATCGGCGTTTACAACGTCAAAATTTACGTAAGACAAAAAATCGGCGTTTACAACGTCAAAATTTACGTAAGACAAAAAAAACGGCGTCTACAACGTCAAAATTTACGTAAGACAAAAAAAAACGGCGTTTACAACGTCAAAATTTACGTAAGAAAAAAATGGTGTTTACAACGTCAAAATTTACGTAAGAAAAAAACAATTGGGGTTTACAACGTCACCGACAACGTCAACCAGTCAGCCGAAACACAGAGGGGCAATTATAGAGGAAGGTGCCTGAACCAACATATATATATACATATATATATATACATATATATATATATATATATGTGTGTGTGTGTGCGTGCGTTTCTGCCGCCGATATTTCCATTGTCCCGCCAGTCGTACCTCATTGGTCGGCCCATCAGATAGCCTGAGGTGTCACTTACAGCCTGGTATTGATCAAGTCTCTAGGGATCACAGGGGGGCTGCAGGGACTGTTGACCAGCATGAAACTTATGCCACTCATAGACGCTCTGACGTCAGGTCCCGGACAAAGTTGACTTGTCAAAGCTATGACCTCGCTGAAAGGGCCCCATCAGATCATCCCAACCTTTGGTACCCAATGACCCGTGCTATTCTGGAGCAAGTTCCAAACAGTCTCTTCATCAAAAATACGTCGGCAATGACAGGATGGAGGTATTTCATGGTATTGCCCAAATGTATGAAAGCCTGACCAGGACAGAAACTCTTTAGCAGGACCCATCGTGATCTGGGCTGCTCATGGGCCATGGGTTGTTGAACGGTGTTGATCTGTTTGTTCATCGTGGCTGGTGAATGATGGAGCCCACCATCGCCACACAAAGCGTCACATCTGAGACACCAAACCACTCAAACTGGCCAGCTTCTTTCTCATGAACTTCACCTGCAAGGTGGTCAGCCAACAGAACACAGTCACAGGGAAAGTGCACCTTCAGTGAGTAATAAACTGCAGTTAAGAATTTTCGAGATAATGTTCGAAAAGTTCTTGCCAAAACGTGCTATGCTGAGCTGACACTGGCCTGAAATCCGTTTGTTACATCGCTGTATCTTTGAGCTGGTGCTTACGCCAAGAGCCAAGTGCGGACCATGGTTTATTGTGATCTCAGAACAGATTCCATGCGTTTTCCAGGGGTTGCCCATGGGTGTTTCCAGCATCGGTAGGATGCTGCAAATGTTTTCGAGCCTCCTCCATGAGGCTTTCGACTGTTCCACTGAAGGCCTGCCAGCGGTGGAGATACAGTGGAGATGGCCGGTTGCTGATCATATCCCACCATTTTTATCCATGTTTATCCATGTTTATCCATTTTTATCCATTTTTATCATTTAGCAAATAATAATGTTCAAAAATTATTTCAAATTGGGATCATTGCAGGCGTGTTCGACCAAACGGTTTACCACATTCACTTTGGAAACCACGCAGCTGGGAGGTCCCAGGGTGACCAAAACTCTCTGCCGGTGCCAACGGGACCTCGTTGCGTACCACGCTGCAACGGATGTGCTTTGCCCGCGCAGCAAACTTCAGCCTTGGTGAAAGGGAAGAGAAGGGTAGACCAGAATGGAACCTATTGGGATTGACTCAAGGACCTATTGGGATGTTTTGGATTTGGTGACCTCCATGACCTCCTTAACCAGAAATTTCTGACAGTTGAGGGATTATCATCCCAAGGCGATGGAGGAAAAAAAACAAACTACTAAGGACCAAGGAGGCTTATGAAGGCGACCGTGCCAAACCAAAGTGTAAAAAAGGTACTATGATGTACTATGATGTACTATGATGTACTATGATGTACTATGATGTACTATGATGTACTATGATGTACTATGATGTACTATGATGTACTATGATGTACTATGATGTACTATGATGTACTATGATGTACTATGATGTACTATGATGTACTATGATGTACTATGATGTACTATGATGTACTATGATGTACTATGATGTACTATGATGTACTATGATGTATGATGTACAATGATGTACAATGATGTACTATGATGTACTATGATGTACTATGATGTACTATGATGTACTATGATGTACTATGATGTACTATGATGTACTATGATGTACTATGATGTACATGTACTATGATGTACTATGATGTACTATGATGTACTATGATGTACTATGATGTACTATGATGTACTATGATGTACTATGATGTACTATGATGATGTACTATGATGTACTGATGATGTACTATGATGTACTATGATGTACTATGATGTACTATGATGTACTATGATGTACTATGATGTACTATGATGTACTATGATGTACTATGATGTACTATGATGTACTATGATGTACTATGATGTACTATGATGTACTATGATGTACTATGATGTACTATGATGTACTATGTACTATGATGTACTATGATGTACTATGATGTACTATGATGTACTATGATGTACTATGATGTACTATGATGTACTATGATGTACTATGTACTATGTACTATGATGTACTATGATGTACTATGATGTACTATGATGTACTATGATGTACTATGATGTACTATGATGTACTATGATGTACTATGATGTACTATGATGTACTATGATGTACTATGATGTACTATGATGTACTATGATGTACTATGATGTACTATGATGTACTATGATGTACTATGATGTACTATGATGTACTATGATGTACTATGATGTACTATGATGTACTATGATGGTGTACTATGATGTACTATGATGTACTATGATGTACTATGATGTACTATGATGTACTATGATGTACTATGATGTACTATGATGTACTATGATGTACTATGATGGACTATGATGTACTATGATGTACAATGATGTACAATGATGTACAATGATGTACAATGATGTACTATGATGTACTATGATGTACTATGATGTACTAGGATGTACTAGGATGTACTATGATGTACTATGATGTACTATGATGTACTATGATGTACTATGATGTACTATGATGTAATATGATGTACTATGATGTAATATGATGTACTATGATAACTAGATATGACTACAAATAACTACATATAACTACATATAACTACTTATAACTACGTATAACTACATATAACTACATATAACTAGATATAACTACATACAACTACATATAACTACCTATAACTACCTATAACTACATATAACTACATATAACTACATATATAGCTACATATAACTACATATATAGCTACATATAACTACATATAGCTACATATAACTACATATAACTACATATAACTACATATAACTACATATAACTACATATAACTACAGTATGTCACTACATGTCACTACATGTCACTATGTGGCCCTGTTTTGTCTATGTGCCATGGCACGTGGAGATTGTCTCCTGGACGCAAATTTCTGCGGGCGAGCAGTTGGCCACAATGACCTTGTCACGGCGGTCGTAGGGGCCCAAAGCCCAGCTTACACCACCTGTTCTTTTCCGAAGAAAAGTCCGAAGAAAAGTCACCTACTTGGGTATTTCAAAATAATTTTCCCATTTTTGATCTGGCACAACCAACAGAAACAGAGGTGATATCCTTGTCCATATTCCTTATTGGCATGCGGCACTATGCGGTACGCGCATAACCATCTACAACCACGGCTTAGTATCCAACTCAATTACTGTCGCAGAAAAAAATCTTTGGGAGACCAGTTCCAGAATTGCGAACTTTGTACAATGCTCATCTTTATATGTCTTTAGCTCAAATGAGAACGATGCAAATGTTGAGCACACACACAGCATCGACTTTGCCCAAATGTGACTTGCAGGTCATAAGACTTGACCATCCCCAGATGCCAAAGAATTCCTGACCAATCCGCTGGATATTTGCCATTACCACCGCAATTTACCACATGGGGCCTTTTTTCGCGCAACGTGTCCTCGCCCTTTTGGCGTTTGTTTCGTGCAGCCCACTGCCTGGTGGTTTGAGTGAGCCGCAGTCGACCACGGCAGGCGGAGTCGAATTTCACATGCCAAACCCTTCCTGTTCATGGAACCACTAAAAATATGTGAATAAAGCAGAATAAAGCTATGTCTTCTAAATTGCTATTGCAGTAGTCATCAACAACAACAACAACAAGAAGAACATGTACAGCAACCTAGGTTTGGCCGATTCAGTCGAAGAGTTCTGCACCCTTTTCTTACAAGTCATTGGAGCTGGTCCATTTGCCTCTGGAGTAGCAGCCATGTTTGCCACGATTCGACGACAACTACAGAAAAAAAGAAACCCAACGCAAAGAGACCAAAGAAAACGAAAACCAAAGTGCTTGAAAGAGTTGAATGTGTTTATGTATATCACACTCCGAAAATATGCATATACACATCTAAGAGATTGAAAGAGTATACATACCAGCTACCAATTTATCAGGATCCTATCAGGCTTGGCATGTCTACTAAGCTCCTGGCACACGACTTTCGTGACCTCTGCTCAAGCCCTTCAGAAGCGAGCAGCCAAAAGCTCCGCTCCTCTGAGCGGTCATCTCCAGTATGGCACGCCATAGGGGTTGGCGTAAGCATAGGGGCTCCTGAGAATCGAGACACCACGGTGCACGTATCTGGGTTTCATATGATATCTATTTAAAAATATATTATAGTCTGCATGATTGTAGTCTGCATGATTGGGATATATTTTGGTAATCCACCAGATGCATCCATATGCCCCATTTTCACACGGTAAAATGGAATGCTAATAGGCCACCTGGATCCCAGCGCCGATTTCCCCAAGTGGCGGTGGGGCGTAGGGCGGAATGGAGGCGCCAGGCTGGCCATAGGGCAAACCATAGCCATAACCTGCTGCCATGAGACTTGGAGAACAATTTCATGGCATGGAACATTGTGTCCAGTGACCCTGTGACCGACGTGACCGATTTGTAAACTTCTGAGAACATCGTGTTGTCAATTCAATGGGTTCGAAGCGCAAACGGTGTATGCACCACAAGTTCAATTAAAAATTCCGACAGGTAAAATATTTATGCTGCTTATATCATGATATTGTAGTACATACACATGTTTTTCTTAAAGATGTATGATATACATATACATATACGTATACGTATACATATACATATACATATACACTTACCTATATATATACATGGAAATATATATATAAATATATATACATATTATATATATATACATATTATATATATACATATTATATATATATATGTATATATACGCAATGTATCACCATTTTTTCCTCGCAGCAATCCATACCTGCTCCGAGTGGATTGCCAGGTGTTCCAGCGCCGCCGTAGATTTTGTTCCAATCAATCTTGGACCAATCAGTCCTCGGTTGTAGTCGAGCCCATGGAGGAAACCGATGGAGCTGGTTTTCGTTGGGAGAAAGTCATAGGGTTTGCATGGGATTGGTTGAAAAGAATAAAGAATAAAACAATAAATACACCATAAAATCAATTAAAATCATCGAAGGAAGTTTAGAAGTCAAACTTCCGACAATATGGACAGATGAAAAGCAGAGGTGGTAAGAGTCAAAGAAGAGAAGAGAAGAGCAGCAGAGAGAAGATCAGAGAAGAGAAAGAGCCAGAAGAAAGAAGATGCAGGTGCGCGAAAAGATAGGAAAGTCGCGAAACACTGTGTTTTTCCAATGATTTGAAGCTCCGGAGGGTCGAAAAGTAGGCTCGCTAAAGCGGCGGGTGCGGAGCCAGCTGGCCAGATGAGAGACACACTATGTTCGGACCACTTTTGGAAGTTGCGAAGTCTAAAAAGTGCACGCCGTTGTGGCGCGAAGCACATTTCCAAGTCAAAATGTACAAAACACATCAGGTTTGGGCCACTTTTGGAAGTTGCGATGTCGAAAAAGTGCACGCCATTATGGCGCGAAGCACATTTCGAAATCAAAATGTTAAAAACACCACATGCTCGCGCCACTTTTGGACGTTCAGATGTCGTTTCGCGTGGCAGGCGCAATGGGATTGTGGACCTTGTCAAAAGTGGGCAAAACGTGTGGGTTTTGTAGCATGTCCAAAAACGGTGGCAGGCGTGGGACATTTGAAGAGGACCTGCAAAGATGCATTTTCCGTGGCAGGCGTAGTACAAGAGAATCAGGCTGTTAGGAGGTCCGGGCGCTGATTTCCTGAGAGGGGTCGCATTTTGGAGCCTCAGATATTCAGGTTTGCTGAGATGATTTTGCGTGACAGGTGCAGCACTTCCTATGACCTGGCATCACTTTTTCGTGGCAGGCGCAGTAGTTTAGACAGATGGTCTGAAAAAATCGCAAAACACATTGGTACGAGGCCGTCAGCTCTGGACTCAACTTTCCATTTTTGAAGGAAGTCTCGCAGAATAGCTTCGTTTTCAAGCTTGCAGATAGATAGATAAATAGATAGATTAGATAGATTAGATAGATAGATAGATAGCTAGATAGATAGATAGATAGATAAATAGATAGATAGATAGAAAGATAGATAGATAGATAGGTAGATAGATAGATAGATAGATAGGTAGATAGATAGATAGATAGATACATAGATAGGTAGATAGATAGATAGATAGATAGATAGAGATAGATAGGATAGGATAGGATAGGATAGGATAGGATAGGATAGGATAGGATAGGATAGGATAGATAGATAGATAGATAGGATAGATAGATAGGATAGATAGGACAGATAGGACAGATAGATAGAAAGATAGATAGATAGATAGATAGTATAGATAGATAGAGACAGGATAGATAGATAGGACAGATAGGACAGATAGGACAGATAGGACAGATAGGACAGATAGGACAGATAGGACAGATAGGACAGATAGGATAGATAGGATAGATAGGAAAGATCGATGGATCGATACATAGATGGATAGGTAGATAGATTGGTAGATAGGTAGGTAGATAGGTAGGGAGATAGATAGGATAGATAGGATAGATAGGATAGATCGGATAGATCGGATAGATCGATCGATCGATAGATAGGTAGATAGATAGATAGGTAGATAGATTGGTTGATAGGTAGGTAGATAGGGATAGATAGGATAGATAGGATAGATAGGGTAGATAGGATAGATTCGATAGATAAGATAGATAGGATAAGATAGGATAAGATAGGATAAGATAGGTAAGATAGACAAGATAGACAAGATAGATAGGATAGATAAGATAGATAAGATAGATAGGATGGGATAGGATAAGATAGGATAAGATAGGTAAGATAGACAAGATAGATAGGATAGATTAGATAAGATAGATAAGATAGATAAGATGGATAAGATAGATAAGATAGATAAGATAGATAAGATAGACAAGATAGACAAGATAGACAAGATAGATAAGATAGATAAGATAGATAAGATAGATAGGAAAGATAAGATAGATAAGATAGATAGGAAAGCTAAGATAGATAAGATAGATAAGATAGATAAGATAAGATAAGACAGATAAGACAGATAAGATAAGATTTGATAAGATAGATAGATAAGATAAGATTAGATTAGATAAGATTAGATTAAATAAGATTAGATAAGATAAGATAAGATAGATAGATAGATAGATAGATAGCTAGATAGATAGATAGAAAGATAGATAGATAGATAGGTAGGTAGATAGTCAGAGAAAGAGAAAGAAAGAGAGAGAAAGGGAGGAGACCTCAACCACCTTTCAGTCCATCAGTGGCTTCGCTCTGCCATCCGTGATTCACAACAACCAACCTCTCCTATAGGTTTCCTATTTTTGAAACTTCTGCCACCGCCTTGTGCGGTACTACTCGTACTTGAGGCCGGGGGTGGATGACGAAAGCTAGCGGGGTAGGAGAAAGAAGGAAGGGAAGAGGTGAGTTGCGGAGGGACTGTCATCATCGTGTCGCGGCATTGTTCGTCCCAACGAGGATGCAACAATGATATATGATATATGATATATAACAATGATATATATGGGGGAGGGGGCAGGGGGGGGCCCTTTCGCGGGAAAAATCACGTGATGTCCTTGGGGAGCCCCGGAATACGTGCTAAAGCAAGAAGACTCTAGCGAGCTGACGCTAGCTTTCGTGATAATGACAATAATTGCCAATAATGATAAAATGTAATTGAATAACGATGATGATGATGATGATGAATGATGAATGATGAATGATGAATGATGAATGATGAATGATGAATGATGAATGATGAATGATGATGAATGATGATGGATGATGATGGATGATGATGGATGATGATGGATGATGATGGATGATGATGATGATGATGATGATGATGATGATGATGATGATGATGATGATGATGATGATGATGATGACGAGGATGATGATGATGATGATGATGATGATGATGATGATGACGATGACGATGACGAGGACGATGACGATGACGAGGACGACGATGATGATGATGATGATGATGATGATGATGATGACGAGGACGAGGACGAGGACGATGGAGAGGACGATGGAGAGGACGATGACGATGATGATGACGATGATGATGACGATGATGATGATGATGATGATGATGATGATGGTGATGGTGATGGTGATGGTGATGGTGATGGTGGTGATGGTGGTGATGGTGGTGGTGGTCCCCCTTTCGCATGAAAAATCACGTGATGTCCTTGAGCAGCCCCCCCAATACTTGCTAAAGCAAGAAGACTCCAGCTAGCTGACGCTAGCTTTCGTGATAAATACAGAAATAAATCTGCATCTATCTGCATCGCATCTTCGACGACCTTTCCGGGTCAGCCTCCGGATCAGCCAAGGCTCGTGGCGCCCCAGCCATTGTTTTGAAAGATTTTAGTCCAATCCACTTTGGTCCAATCGAAAGGCTGATTGGAAAGCCCGCCCTGACCGTCACCAAATGAAACACTGTGGCAGTGACACCAGCCTGTGGCAATGTTATTTACTGTAAACCAAAAACATCTGGCACAAAAAATCACTGTGATTGACATCTGAAATATCTGAAATATCAGACATATCTGACATATCTGACATATCAATTGAAGACTCTGGAAGTCAATCGATTCCGAAGGATTCCGAAGGATTCCGAAGGTGAAGATGGAGGACAGTCACATGGACAAACTGATGACATGGCTCGGCACCTCTGGAGGCTTGTTGGTCTGCACCAACTTCGGGATGCCTGACATCGAAACAAAACATGTCTGATATTGAGACATATTGAGACATATTGAGACATATTGAGACAATGAAACATAGATAAACATAGGCAATCACAGTCCAGCTTCCCCTCTCAACCAGCCAATCTTCGTACAGGCTGAGTCACTTTATGTCACTTTCGCTGCCGAGATGCAGGTACCTTTGCTCGAATAGAAGCCCTCAGCACAAAAACACCTGGGCGATGTTTGAAAGCGAGGCTTCACAGCCAAGGGCACCTGATGGCACCTGTGAAGCTGGACATGGGATCACTATGAAATCTATGAACCATCATTGGTCACCATGAAATTCTACAGCTAGACTCTCTTCCAAGAACTGCCAAGGACATTTAAGAAAAACCACTGGAAACATGGAAACATGCCGTCCATCTCAGCATAACCCGTCTGCCAGGCAACTTGTAGCCCTGATTCCGGTCGCAATGAGTCGGTCCACGGGAAGCATCACACGCGAAGAAGCGACAGCTGCCGCCGGTGTCCCGCTCTTGCATCTAGGCTGTGACACAGGGTCCAAAGCAATTCTAAGACGTGTACTGTAACATACGCTTAACATACACGTTCCCATGCATAAGATTCTGCGAGATTTTACCAACTGTGCTGCGAGTCTATGATTCTGCCACTTTAGTTTATTTTTCGTCTCTCCCGAAGATGGGAAATCATTCTTAACCAGCTCTGCTCGCTTGCCCGGAATGGAATACTTCGGTACATCTGGCCAAAGCAAAAGCTCAAAGGGAGGAAATCCTCTGCAACTCTAGATAGTTGTTCAACTACGAGTAACACGGCGGTTCCGCCGTGTTATGTTCCAAAAATCGAGTGCCTTCATTCCACAAACTGCTCCCGCCCAGGTGCCGTGGTGCTGGCCATCTTCCAGCCCTGCACGGGGCTCAACATACCACCGGCTGTTTCATTAATTAAGGGATTGACAACCTGGAAAAATGAATGAAAGTTAAACCGACCCCAATATGATGTGATATGATATTGTTTTACTTCATTCAAAAGTTATATTATGCCAATAGCATTTTAAATTGTATTGATACTTGTGTTTTATCTCGTATTTTATAGTGCATTATATATTACATTGTCATGCATCATCGTATTATGGTATATTATAGTATATTGCATTGTATTAGTTTACATTATGTATAGATTTATATAGTATAATACATTATAATACTATATCATCTATATCCTTGTGTCATGTCTCTAATTAATTACTGTGCCCTGACTCAGACATGACATACATGACCCACCTCAGCGATTTGGCACTTCCCATTTCTGGCACCTCGGGACCAGATTCTCCGATTTCCAAAAGTTGATGAAACCATGATGAAACATCGATCTACATGGATTTTGGATCACTATTTGAGAAACATGTGGATGATCCATTTTTGGATCTACATTCTTGAAATCTCAATCTCTACATTTTTGGATCACTCTCCTTGAGGCTGTAGCCTGCTTTGCAAGGATTCATGGAGAATTTGTTGTTGTTTCTATGCTGTGCCCGTCGACAACACTTCTGCATGGCTGGGGTCATTCTACCAACATCTGTCAGTTGAAATGAAAGGGTTGTGAAAAGGATGTGTATCATCTTCTCAGTTGCAATTTCTGTATCCACGATGATACACATGTGCATTTGATCCTCTTCGCTGATCGTCTGATGTTCCCGTGTGTTGTTTTTTTCGGCAATCTGGGTCACATGTTTTCTCATGTTTTTTCTCACATCTCTGACAAACAATCTGCAGAATCATCTCTGCTGTGGCGCAAAGATTGGGGCCGCATTGGCATTTTCCATCTTTGCAATCCTTGGCTCAGTTTTTCAGCTTCCAGGTGAAAACGGTGAAACCCTGGCCATTGGGGAAAAAACAGCAGAGGTGTCTTGAAGCCAATTAAATATCCCCAAACCAACCACTATAATGACATAACTTCAATGGATCAACATCTATACAAATCATGTATCATTTATCATTTATTTGGCATTTGGCCATTCTTTGGCCATTCTTTAAGGGACCTTTCTGGTCGCCACTTAAATCCCGATTGGCGATTTCGATCTGTCTCGACCCAGCATCAGCTCCCCGCGACTTGGAGCAGCCGAACCAGGAACAGGTGCCCCCGGTGTCCTGATTTCACCACCCCCCAAGATGGCTATAATATGGCTATAATATGGGTCGGTATAATATGGGTATAATATGGGTATATTCCCATATTATGATGTTCTATTGAATATATTGGATTGGATCATCCAGTCTTCATGATGGAATTTCAAGGATTGCATGTCCATGGACCGTCCACAATGATGAAGCTTCTGAGATTGCAATCGAAAGGAACATCCCATTGGTCCCATGTCTCTTTAAGTTGCAACGGCCGATTTTCTGAAAGTCTGTTGGCCATGACGGTGACGTCCCGACGATTCGTCACTGGCATTTCACCGAAATTCGGCGCCTTGTTGCAGTCAAAGAAAGAGGTCGACCGCTTGGAGAACTTGCTCCTTAGATCGATAAGTCACTGAATCCTCAGTTGTTGTTAATGAGAATTAATGACTGGTAATAGCAATTAATAACTATTGTTACTGTGCTCCATTATTGTTCTTGCCCAATAGTTGAAATCCCAAGGTGTCGTTTTCAACGCCGGTTTTCCTGAGTCTTGAAAAGCCAAAGGCTAGCACGGCTGAAAAAACAGTTCCTGATCACCAAAACCATCCATCCATCCCACACCCATGTCACCACCCATGTCACCACCCATGTCATCACCCATGTCACCATATCATCTCCGAGCTTCTCAGTTCTCTCCACGCGGATCGCTTCGGCCTTCATGCTGTGATCCACTGTGCGATCCGCGGCATCGCGATCCGCGGCATCGGCCACCTGGACAGCGGTTTCACAGAACGTGGCTGCGGTACACAGCGCGGTACACCTTTAAGGACCTTTGGTCATTGCCCAGCCTCACAGTAGTTGGGATGACATTCCCAACTGAATGGAAAAATAGAAAATGTTCCAAACCACCAACCAGTTACAGTTTTACAGGGCTTTGTCCTTCCCAAACTACCTATGAGATTGCACTGAAAAACCAGGGTTCTGACAGCAAAAGGCCAAGCCAAAATTCTATGCAGGCACACGCCATTAGTACAGCAGAATGTATTCAACAGATGTCACATCTTTTCACCCATGTAGTCACTCCACCACCATGCCATGCCAGCGAAGACGCAGCGTTCACAGCGGACACCTGCGCCACACTCTTGCTGGCGTGATGTTGAAGTGCCTAGGAGCCGACTTGATGATGAGGGCGTGAGCCAACCAAACCAACGACTAGAATCTAGAAGGTCCAACCAAACCAACGATACTTCTTTACTTTGCAATCAGTCTGTGGTTTGTCTAGATATTGAAACACTGCAACTACAAGACCTACGTGTAACTTCCTGCAAACCACAAGATTCCATGAGCATGTACAGTAAAGTGCGACTGGAGTTGCAAGTACAGAAACAAGTACATTGTCAGACAATGGATTGTGGCTTCCGTCACACCTGTCACATGATGTTGGTTTTCCATGGTTTCCGCTGTTGGTTCTACCCACCATTTCAGGGGTTCATGGGGTTCCTGCAGCGCGCACCTGCAGTGCACAACTTTCACTGGCATCGCAATGGTCGTCAGTGCTCAAGGGCAGCTCTGACCTCAGGATGAAAACTGCCGGGTACGAGGTTTTTGACCCATCACCCAGTATAACAACATTTAAACATACATAAACTCTATAGAGTGATCCCTATAGTCTAACAAAGAGTGGAATATAGTGGAATGAAATCCTGAATTCCAGTAGACCTTCAGGGCAAGTTTTAGAATGACAAGCATTAAACAATATTAAACATGTTCAAATGGTACAACTGTAGTACAACTTAATATGATCATAGTATGATCTAAGTATCATCGCAAGAAGATTTGGAGGGGAACTCCCCCAAAAAAATCTTTCGCTGAGCAACTCATCGCCAAGTGCCAGGATCAGAAGCGGGGCGAAGCAGCGGAGAAGCATGGCCTTCAGGCGAAGCAGTGCCGACATGTTAGGTCTGATACACTGATTCTTGTGATTCAAGTTGTGATCATCTATGATTTTATGATCCAGTTCTGAAACTTCCAAAAGCCCAAGACTTGAGTTTTTGAGCTCGATTTAAAATATTCAAACCAGTGCCAAGCTAGCCAAACTAAGTGCAAGGACACTCTGTGTGTAGAGGAACTCAAGAATACACCGTTTGAACGTTACAAGGACACAGGATAAACTCAGAGGTCACATCCTCAAGACAGGAATCGTTGTCCGACATGCAACTTGTTGCTCTCTTGATCCTGTTGTTCTGGGTTACAGTCAGCTTGAAAGGTGCCCGAACCAGCTGTGTCACTGCTGATCGCAAGAGAATCCTAGACTTTTTTTTCAGTATTCCAAAAGCCTTTTGTGACACTGAAGCTCACTGAAGCTACACTCTACACTGAGGCTACATGCCATATCTGCCATGGTAGCAGCCATGGTAGCAGTTTTATCAACTGCATCCAAGTGGCGCCTTGGCGACTGCGACGTGACGTGCTGAGCCAAAAATTTCGGCCGCGGTGGATCGATCGCAAATTCAAAGGATTCAAGGAATCCAATAGCTATAGGCTATAGATGACTATAGATGGCTATAGGCTATGCATGTGAAAAAAGTAGAGTATCTCTCAATTGACATCATTTCTGCTTACATCCAGCGCATTGCAGGACACCCATTGATTAGCAAACAAACGGTGGTCACATCTCACATCGTCTCCCGGCGGTCTCCAAATTTGTGGTCCCCGAACTGTCTTGGAATTTCCACCCAATGAATCTCGAAGGAGGAATGTCCTGGCCGGTTGAGAGCAGAGGCCAGGATTGCCCCATCCCAGGCAGTGCCCAACCCCGCCAGTTTGGTTTCCATCCATAGAGGCACCAACCTCCACCAAGCCCCACTATGAACGGCTGATGGTCGTTATATCTTGGACCGGCGCAAGATGTCAGGGTTACAACTTGCTGTCGCGATAGTGAACGTAGTTGTTTCCTCAGCGTCTGCGAACGGGTACCCAGTGTACGTCTCAAAAGGCCATCATACGAAGTCACTACACCTGTATTCCCCATATCACCGGGTAGCACTAGGAATCTCCATTGGAAGCAGGAACTCAAAAAAAATGAGCCATATTTTGAGATGTTGAATGATGAATATACTAAATGATTCTCATAATATGTATATATATATACACTATATATGTTGATTCTCTGCCATACCAAACCTGGTTCTGTTGGTTATTGTCACCACCAGTGATAATACCTGCCACGGAGTCCCCACGGCGCTCTCCACGCCGCTCGCGACGCAACCTGCCGGCCAAGATTGCACCATTCGGAACATGAATGTGGTGCCTTGATCTGACCTGATGGCTAGAGTATAAAGCTGCACAAACAGCAAATCATCATCGTCGTCGTCGTCGTCGTCGTCGTCCAAACCCATGTGGTTGCCATGGAAACAAATGCGTTTCAACTGTCCAAAGCTATGCTATAGATGAGATTGGGATGATGCGTGGACATCAAGACAAATTGGATCCTGAAATATAGTATGTCCAAGCTATCATTGTTCAGTAACATACATGTGTAATATATACTGTATGTATATATATATATACCTCTGTAATTACTCCAAAAATGCATCTATGCGATTCTAAGTCTATATCAATAGGTACATCTGTGACAATCAAGCATCCTTCTTTTTGGTGCTCCACATCTGCAGAGATTCTGGAAGCACATCATGGTCACGGGGTCACTGGGTTCCGGCTTCGCGCGGCCCGCGCTTCGCGCCTTTCTTCCCTGGAAAGTGCCATGATGACGTTGGTCAAGGCACTCAGACCTGGGTCACATGGTCACAGCACACGGGAACAACGACCCTGTTGACATGCAAGGACTGAAAGCCGCATCGACTAGGTCTCACAGTAAGGAGGAAAGTATAGGAAAGTAATGAGGAAAATCTAACCCAAAAAATATCAAACATCCAGCTTGAATAGTTAGTTGTATGACTCATTATGACCAAATGGCGCTGTTCAACCTAAAACAAACTATAGTCACTAGTCAATGGAACCTACCTTCCCTCAAGGGAACAGTCGACAAATGATAGTATTGGTACCCACTTAAGCAAATCGATCTTTTCAGATGCGGACGGAAAAATACTTCAAACCAGAAACCAAATGTGATGAGTATGTAATCACTCCCCCCTCACGAAGTGTCCTTTGATTTGCTAAATCGATAAATGAAAAATACTATAGTAGCCAGTATGTCAGCAACATCCATTATCTTTTTGGATGATTTTTTCATGGTCAATGTGGACTATCCAATAACACCAGGTTCTGAGCCTCCGCACTCTTATTGATGGCCCCCGCCTCCTTCACACGCAAGCTTTCCTGGCGACCATGTGCTGTGATGATGGTTGCGTACAATGTACTTGGTACATCTTGGTAGTGTGGTCAAAAGAATGTCAAAAGTCTCCTCTGCGTGGATTTTTGCTTCGCCTGATTGTAACACCCCTAGGATTCCCTGCTTTTGCATTCCTTGCGTTTCGTCTCTATCAGTTGGCACCACGCACTAGGATTGAACCACCAGGCGTTCCGTTCACCTTCCAGGTGCCAGGCCGGCAGAATCTGCCGGCGAGTAAATATCGTAGATTTATAGATTTCACTCTTGTTTTTGTTCTTGACCTTTCAGGGAGTTGGGAGTTGGGAACCCTGTATATCCCTGTATTCTGTGTACACTTTGACCTTTAAAGTAAGAGGAAAGAGAAGAAAAGTGAGATGCAAACACTGATCATAATAACATATACAGTATACAACATGTACTAAATTCAAGATCCCAACGTATGTGGGTCATGGAAAAGACTGTGCAAGACTAGGAAAGCAGCCATTTCTTAGGCTTTAGCGACCCCCAGCACCCATACTTTCGTCATTTCGGATCTGGCCTTGGTGTCAGCATATTGCCCCAGGCTGCTCCGTGGATCGCCGGCATGCTGGCAGTGGCTGCAAACTATCGCCCCCAATTTTTTGTGGCTTTTTCATGACAAAACCATAGGAAATTAATGGAAATTACATCAGATGAAGATGTCTAGATCGGTCTATAGATATAGGACATATAGGGGTTTCCATCAATGGGGGTACCCCCTGCCCGCTGGAGAGTTTTCCCGCTCCCAGGTGCCCCCCTTACCCCGAAACCGGTGGCCTGCTGACGTTCGGAGCCAGCCAGGTCAACCAGCTTGAGGCTGGCGACCTCAAACTCACTAAAGACGCGTTATAAGACCGTACCTCATGTCATATCATATATGTCAAACAATGGGTGTATATATAATTATATCTAAATTATATTAATAATATATATTACATAATATATATATATATATATATTTATTTATTTATTTATATACATGAGCTCATACATGATATATCATGATATACATGTAACTGCCGCCGCTCCATTTTGACTGCAAGTGATTTGAATAACGCACTCCACGCTCCACGCTCTGTTCGAGTTGACAAGCTTGGGGCATCCTCATCCTTGTAGTCAACAGAAAATTATCCGGGCAAACTTCTGTATGGGGGCGTGAACCACCTACAGTTTATGAATTGTCAAGCCCTTCTGATCCTCAATCAGAAGGGGAGGAAAATACTGGGTTGAAAAAATGTGGTGCATGAACTCACGAAAAGTGTGCGTAGTCAAGTTCGAAAGTCGAAAAATGAAATGTCGAAAAGCTGACTTTGCACAAAGTAATGTACGAAAAATTGAAAAAGCGGAAGGTCGAAAAGTATAGTATGGACTTTGTACAATGTTCATCAAATGCAAGCACCCCATGTACCCAGCTTAGCAAAGGCGAAATCACCGCTGAACCGGCTAGCAACTATAGATAACTATAGTACTGCACAGTCCATGCGCTTTCGTGCAAAATCCACCGAACTGCCTGGCACAGTTCGGGGGAGCACCACCTGCTGAACCGGCTAGCAACTAGGACTGCACAGATCCCCTTGTGGTGCACCCAGGTGGGGTAGGACCCCTGAGAAATACAATGAAATCATAGGTGCCCAGGCTACTGAACCCAAATTGCAAAAATGAAATCTGGGGGGTTCAACCGCACATGTTGCGCAAAGAGAAAATCATCAGTCATCCAACTGAGGGATTTGCAAAAATAAAATCAAGAGGTTCCAGAAATAAAATTAATAAGATCCAGAGGGGCCCAACCTAAAGCTACTCCACCAGCTGCTTTTTGGACAGCACTTTTCATGACCCATGTCTGAAAAATGAAATCATAGGGATCTGACTTACTCAAAACTCATGATAGACACCTGTTGAAAAATATTCTTAAAAATAGTTCAGGGCCAAGCCCATTGATTTAATTTTTGAGCACCATACAGGGATCTGCACAGTCCATGCGCTTTCGTGCAAAACCCACCGAACTGCCTAGCACAGTTCGGGGGATCATTGAGCAATTCCTGCCATTTCCATTCCATTTCCAGACTTCACCAAAGGCTAAGGCTCACTCTGCGTGATCAACATCGCAATGAATCGATCATGTGAACCTTGAAGCTTTGGATCAGGCAAACGAAAACAAGACAACATCAGTATCACAGGGACGCTCTGCCTTTTGGGTCGACATCAGGTGACCGAAATGAGCGAAATCATGTCAAGTATTATGTCAAGTATATAAATATCATATCATGAAATATTTAAATGATTCAAATGTTACAAAGCTATCAGAACTTACCTTTTGAGGCAAGATGCCGCAGGTGTTGAACTCCCTCGCAACTGCCAAAGCAGTCCGACCCATGGAAGTCTTCTTGTTTGGATCTGCGCGGGAGGCAATCATGAAGTCCATTGCATCATCATCACCGAAATATGCAGCGACATGCACAGGGTAGACCTCTTCCATGCCGAAAATGCTGCTTTGAAGCTTTTCGCTGAGACGATCTCGTTTCATGAAGCTCAGCATCCTCATCTCCTTTCAGTGCAGAATGTTCTCACAACATGCTATGTTTATTAATGTTTATTAGACCTATTGCATCTGATGTTCTATGTTTTTACATCTTTCAAAACGGTTTCCAGAAGTTTCAACACCCAATCGACAAAAGTTAACATACATTGACAAACTGCCAAGTTCACCTCTCCTCGATCACGACATTGGCAGTTCGCCTGGGGCGTTTTGCATTTGGATGAAATCGGCTTCCAGCTGTCTGCCATTGCCGAATCCGTGCCATACAAAGCCCGCGGAGAATTTTCATCCATCTCGTCATCAGGCAACAGAGAATCTGCGGCAACGGCTTCCGGTTTCAGGGTTGCTGATCTAAGGTTCAACGCAATACCCATGGTGCTAGTTGTGCCACAAGATACGGACTTGATCTAAGTCGCTGGAGCAGGAACGGCTCAGAATCAGAAATCAAAGGTGACTGTTTCTCAGCATTTTGCAGTTTAATAATGATATAAACAATTTTAACATTATATATATAAACTCTGGCAACACTACAAACGGAAGTGCAAAACTGCACGACATCATCAACAAAATCGTCTTGAAAGAGTGAGAACATATATATATGTATAATATATATATATATAATTATATATATATTATATATATATATATATTATATATATATATGTTTAGAAATGTCTGCACCATTTTGCATCAAACATGAGAATTCACAGAATTTTGACTCCAAGATCACTGGAGATTGCCTTCTCCCACCCTTCTCCCCTTGTCCCTTCCAGGTATCCGAACTCGAGTTGATGTCACACCAGCTCGCTTTTCATGTGCCTGTGACGTGAAGATACGTGAAGTGGAGTCAACGAATTGATCCTTATGATCGGCGAAGACTTCCAGGATACCTCCATCTAAAAAATGGAATTTCGAAAGGGACTTGCTTCGAAAGTGACAAGATTCAGTGTGGGACTCCATAGTTTGAAACCACCAACCGGATCCAACCGATAGATGATTGGAAACCTTGCGTCACACCCATGCTAGGGAGAATGCCGGCTGCACATGGGAGTGCAAAAAACGAGATACAAGAACTCCGTGTCTCTTTTCATGTCTCCCAAAACGTTATCGTCGTGTGTTTTCTTCTTATTGTTTTGTCGAGATCGAGAAATGGGGCTAGAATGGGCTAGAGCTAATGTAATTATTCATTTCATTGTGGGGGGCAGGGGCATGGTTATTCAATACCTGCGATTCCCCATAACGATGGGAGAAGAACCCCGATGAGGTACGTGGCATGAAGAGTTGCGATGTCAGCAGCCCTGAGCCGCTGCGCAGTGAATACGCGTACTTTTCTTTGCAGGCTAAGCAGTGAAAACAACAGCAGATTCTGCCCGAAGCTGCAGTTACCCTTGAGGTGAAAGATAGAGTCAGATAGAGGAAACTGTTGGTTGGTGATGACATTAATGACAATATATGACAATAGTATGCAGATGAGAACGGCCAGAACAGTCTGACATCGAAGGCAAGTGCAATCAACATCAATCAACAAGGCCAGGGTTGTCATGGTAATGATATTGTCCAATACTGGCACTAAGATATATCTAAAAGATATAAGATTTATATAGATTTATAGTAGACATATGATATAATTGTTTCAAGATGTTTCAAGACAACGCCTGAAACAGGACCAGTTTGTTTCACATCAAGGGACGAAACCCCTCTTGAAGGACGGCACTTAAAATACGGGAGGTCGTTCCATCTGCGGGCAGAACATCTTGGAACCCATTTTTCGCAACAAAACATGTTAGCAGCCATGATTCATCAAAAGACAAGCAAACATCAATAGACAACAACCCATGAATCCTGGAAGGCTATCTGCAATGATTCAGTGATATTCTCAGATAGAAAAACAGTTGCAATCATCGGAAGTATGGTTGATTTGGCATGTCATCTTACAGAGAAAGTATGACCTTCGGCACTTGTCAAATCTGCTACCTCCATTTGGGTTCCGATCGACCTTCATCTAGTTGTGAACTGGCAAGCCATTGTGCCACTTCAGATACACTTCCATGTTGTCCTTGATCCGTGATATTGGTGGTGTAAAGAAATGCTTCAACATGTTTCCGATCTACCTATCCAGCTTTTCTCAAAGCATTTCAATAGACTATTATCCTATGAATCCTATACTATCCATGACTATCCTATGAATCCTGGAAGACTATCTCTTATTATCTCTTTTCGAGTCCAAATCTCTCGAGATCTACCTTCGGATCCAACTCGGGGCCCCGGAAAATCTCTCGAGGGATCCCACCTCCTGCAGGATGCCGTAGCACCACACACCAAACGCCACGGAATTTCTGAAGCTGAGGCTTCATAATCTTCATATCGAAATGCCTGAACGAAACATCAGCGCGCGTCACAGCGATGTGTCTCTGACCATGAGCAGTGTGCCACAAGGTTGGTCACAAAGCCGAGACGACTTCCAGCCACAAAGGTGGAGTGAGTAGGCTAGTCTGGCTTGGTCAAGCTTCTGAAAGTGAAGGGTTGATTAGTGTTCCTGCTTAAAAACACAGTGCGGTGCTCGGAACAGTTGAAATATGTTGAAATGAGTAGCTGGCTGCTCTTTTGCAAAGAGTACATTGTCTCTTTCTATGGTATTCTTGTGACTGTGGCTAGTCTATTAGGCAGCCTGAATTTTCCAAGGGAATGGCGTGGATGAATCACTGAACGGTCACAAACACCACAACCCCCTTGAGCCACAGTGCATCAATCCAAGAACGTACCAGGAGCAGAAGCGCCTTCGATGAGGGGCCATGCTTAACATATGCAATGCGTTTGTAAGGCCTATCCGAATCCCCCTGACCTGTGGCTCAGGCCGATTTGGATCGGGTACCAACGTCCACACAAAAGATAGTGTTTGTTCCAAGATGGTCTCAACGTTGGTCAAGCTCAATTTTGGTTGGCGAAACCTCCAAATCAAAAAAAAACAAAACATTTTTTGCGATACCCTCTGGTAATTTAACATAGCTATGGAAAATCACCATTTTTAATGGGAAAATCCACTATTTCGACTGGGCCATTTTCAATAGCTTTTTGTATGTTTTACCAGGCCGGGTAGTTCTTTCTCGTCACTTCCTTCCCGCTCACTGTAAAACACAGTAAGAAGCCCCTCACCTCCACATAGAGTGTGAAGACCTCGGCCGATTCATCCAGGCTCTGCCCAACCCCATTTGGAACGGTTTCCATAAATGGGAGCTATCCCAATAGCTGGATGATTTATAAAATGGAAAGTTTATCTATAAAATATCTATAAATATCATAAAAATTCATAATAACTAGGGCTACCCCCATTTCAGGAAACCTCCAGCAATGGGAGGTTTCGGATCTTCAGCCTGGGCTCCCACTGCATGAGATCTCGAACTCTTCTCGTTCATATGGGTGGAACCTTATAGCGACTTGGAGATCAACTTCTCGTCCATCATAAAATGATCCAAAATTGGATGAAATTTGTGCCAGGATGGTTGGAAAAACTTCACTTCATCGATTCCATGTCAAATAAAAAGTCATATTATGTCATATTATGTCATATTTGTCATATTATGTCATATTATGTCATATTATGTCATATTATGTCATATGCCACCCCTTCTTGAAGATCCAAGTATACCTTCTAGCTTCTTAAGGTTGACGGTCACGGGGATTGATTTCACTTCCGATTCCGAGTCCATCTTGGGGCTGGCAGGAAAATCCTGTGGTCCATGTGTGAATGATCTGCAGCCATCATGAAGAAAGAACGTTTTGAGTGACACCTCCCTTTGCAATAACATAACTACATGGTCTTTCTATGGCTGTACACGTTTAACCGATTTTACATATACATGTCTGCACGCTTGAGCACTGGTAAACCCAATAATGAACCCCAAAATCACCATAGATTGGTGCTATAAACCATCCCCAAAGGGTAGTTGTTCATGGCATCGGGTTGCCCGCATTAGTCCATCTATACCTTGTGAAACCCTGTGAAACCAGCTGTATCCACATTGGGATCCGCACCCACTTGGCGCTGTCGCAGGCCACGCCACAACACCTGCCGTGCTCGTGAAGCCACGACTGGCCAAGTGGGGTACCTGTACATCACAGTGGTCTTTAGATGTCTGTAGTAACACTGTAGTACATGTACTTACCAAGTCACTCAATTCATCTCAATTCTGGGTGGGATAATGATTTTTGGATGATTTTGAATGATTTTGAGCCATTGACTTATTATATCTTCTGGCCAGGGAACCGAATGGAACCGAACAGCACTTGCACGCAACGCGTGCAACGCCACGGACGTGGATGAGTAAACGATCCCCTCACGTTTCAGCCCCAGGACGCAAATGGGAGCAACATGTCCGTCACCGCTCCAGAATGTCAGAAATCGTACACATGTATCATGTTGTATATATCTATATCTATATAATTCTATATATATATATGTATACATACCCAAAAATCAATCTTCCAATTATTGGACCAATACAATTCATCTTGATTCAACATAATTCACCAAAATTCATCTTAATTCATCATACCAATCATTTCCAGTTAGAATGAAAGGCTTCTTTTCGGTCAACGGTTGCGCGACGGCACCTGAAAGGCTTCCGCCAAGCTGCTGACAGCAACCTCACTGAGGCGTTCCACGTAGACACCACGAGTGAGATCCTGCGCGGATCTAATGATGATGCCCAAAAGAATCACAAATGGAGGTTCCTAAAATGGGGGTACCCCAATATGGGTTAATAATGGAAAATCATATCACCATGGATGAATATATGGGAGAAATCAAATGAATATGAAAATTATGAAAATAACATAAACAAACGAAACAAGATATTCAAGCTTCACATTCCCAATTATGGAATTTATGGATTTGTCCGTCTACGAAAGGATTTCGCTGCGTCCAAGAGTTTTTTTCTTGTTCGCATCTTCACCTTTGGAGGAAGCCACATCTCTGTTCGCTGTTTTTTCCCAAAGAAATTGGCAAAAAAGAAAGTCAAAGCCATAAACCATTGCAATTACAAGATATCACAAGTAGACGTCATGTTCTTCAAGCTCTCGCACATTTTTTCAAAAGACAGGGTAGCGCCAAGTCCCACACACCTCGACAGCGTCAGGGGTCCTCTCTCACTTGAAGGTTGGCGTTCTGCGGCTCCTATAGCTGTGGCGTTAGCAATACCTTGATATCAATCCTCCCACGGTGACAGGGCTCCGCACCAGAAGATCCGTGATCTGCTCCTGCCAAAAAAAAGGATGGGAAAGAAAAGAAAACAATCATTGAGCATTTGGGATTCCATTGCAGGGCTACTTGTTTAAGTTAATCAAGCACAATGTAATACAGTTCATGGGCATCATTGAAATTCAAGAGGAACTTTTCAGATCTAAAGATGAAAGATGGGAGACCTTGCGATTCTGCTGTGGCATCTTTCCTCAACAAATATTATTTTGGTCAGCACAGAAGCATCGCTGGTTTCACCAACAGAAACTGAGAGAGGCGCGGTCATGGCTACTACTTGTGAAGGGTCTGCCGAAATTTGCAGCAACGTCTGCCGAAACAAATCGGAGATCCGGACAAGTGGGAAACCCTCCAGCCCTGGATTCTCAGCAGGATCGCTATCATTTCCGTCCTTGTAGATCTCCAGAAAGGAGCACCTACCTGAGTTTGAAACCGCCATGACAGTGCCAGGATGGTACTTGTTTCCTTCACCAGGTATCTAAGTGCAACGAGCAAAATTTCAAACGAATGACCCAAAGAATTCCACTTGGATTAGTAGATTTGAATATAGCTGCTATTAAACCAAGAATAAAAGAAAGAAAAAACATGAAACATCAAGTATTGTAACGATTGTAATATGTTTACACTATAGACTATTAGACTATATGGTTCAAGTCAAAATCCTTTGCATCTCAGTAGTTGCTATGATCGGTTGCCGCTTTTTTTTGGGGGGCCCGTATCGCTTTACAGTGCTGTCCGGCCGCAGCGATGTTCACTGGAGCTTCCATCGGCTCCACGTCGGGCCACCTTCGGCGAAAGTTCTACGCGGCATGACTAACCATTGAATAATAGTAAGGTGATGTAAGGTACAATCAGGAGTGTAGTTTATAGGCAGCTAGCATCTTGATGTCACCCAGTTGTAAGTCCTAATTGTCAGTTATTATATAGGTATAGTTATGTTCAATATAGTTGTGACAAGTATAGTATAGTAGTACAGTATAGTTGTAAGTAGCTATAAATTTGAGTGTTTTCTGAGTGATGACAGTGATGGCCCTAGTAAAAACATCATTACTGTTCGGGATCATCAGCCCCAATTAATCAGCCATTGAAGAAAGCGGCAAACTGCTCGGATTCAGTGCTTCCACCGTGATAAACCATGGTAAACCTGGTTCCAGTCATGATGAATCTATTGTGGGCAGTCGGAAAATTGGTGTTCACTCCTTTGCAAGGCTCACCTGAATTCAGCTTTGCATCAATGGACTGACAGCGATCATCAGCGATCCCATCCACTTTCAGCTCGCTTCGGCTCCTCGGCGAAAATAAAGTCCAGCATGCGACAAAGGATGCCGCGACGTTCATCGAACCTGTGGTCAGGATGCCATGAATCTAGAGCGCACAATGTGGTCAAGTGACAACAGATGGAATTTGAAATATGCTCTTCCAAAGGGCACCATAGGGCACCTGTGCTTGAAACTTTGGAACATGAATTTCCGATGGCCTCCCTGAAAGTTTGGCACGAAAAAAAACAGGTCAGACGGTCAGATTGGGCCAAGGAACTGCATTGATTGCACCGAGTTGATGGGTCCGCACCTGGGGATTCGATCGATTCTGTGAAAACCATCACTTGTCGATCCGTTAGTCGATCACAGTAGGTCACGTTAGTCGATCACAGTAGGTCACCGATGGAATAGACAGTTGGGGATTAGACCAGATCTGAGATCTTCTGAGTTGATCGAAACTCCGTGACTTCGCTGTGGCATGCTGTGGCTTGTTTGGACAAGCTTTTCCAGGATGTATGGAGGAAAAAATAAATAAAAATAATGTCATAAACCAAACTGCTTGCACACTTGCAAAGTTCCATCATTCGAGTTCCTCAGAAAACTGATAAGTCTGATTCAGTCTGATAGGTCAAACCTAGCCTTCCAGTTGCATTGAAAATGTTGGCAGTGGGATTTTATATAATATGGGGGTTTCCTAAAATGGGGGTACCCCTAGTTATCATCCATTTCTAGATCGGATTTTCCCTTATAAACCATCAAAATCCCATTAAACCTTATGAAACCAGATATTTTGGATTGTGGTTTACTAATCCCATTATATCATATTATATCCCATTATATTAAACCATTCATAAATTCATAAAAATCATGAAGAATCCGTCACACACCTGAGGAGCCTGACATGGTGTGAGTCTTCCCGGCCCCGGTTTGGCCATAGACGTAGACGCTCCTGGTGGTTTCATATGTGGTTCAATGCCATTGGCACCATCCATGACTGGGAATGGTAACGATACCACCTATATATTTATGGTCAAATTGGGGATCGTTTTATGATTGTTTTACCAACATCAGAAATTCATCAAACATCATCGAACTAAACATTTCCCAACCTTTCTCAAACCAGCAAGGCAGCGGCCAGTCACGACCTGACTGACTCTGGGGTTCCCTGGGTTCCCTGACCCGTTGTAGCCGGCCAAACAGCTAGAGCCCACCTGGACATCGCTGGACATTGCAAGCGTCGTCAGTTGACTCAGATTTGCGACGTCTCTGGGCTGCCCGGCAGCTCGCCCAACACTTTCGAAGACCTCCTGGCAAAGGATGGCAAAGGTGTGAACCCATCGCGAATCCAGGTGCAACAAGCTGCGATTTGCATCATTTTACATGGACCAGCTGCGATTTTGGGGTTCAAAAAGTAACCAGGATTTTGAACCACGGCAATATTCACTTCAGCCAGCAATATTCACTTCAACCACCGCCCTTCACCCCCCACACAAGTCCAGTATTATCATTGTGGGCAGATCACGATTGCATACGTTTCAACCAGAAGAAGCTGCAAATTCTTGGGCTAAATCCTAAGATTTCTGATAGAAGTCATAGAAGTATGGTAGAAATATGTGATTTCCAACAGCTTAGGCTACAATCCCAACCCCCAAAAAAATCCCAGCCCGGACCCCCACCTGTTGCGTGGAGGTCTCTCCGAGGACCCCATCGAAGGTGAAGGAACGTGGCGGATCCGACTTCACCACCACCGATGGACCATCCACAAAGATCACCTGATTTTTTTCGGAACTCAAATGCTGCTGAATGATGTTTGGTAATTATATGTAATATGATATATGATATATGGTAATGATATATGCCGATCAAAGCATCCACTTTTGGACTTTTGGAAATGTTCAAATGATGTTTCATGATCTTCCTGATATTAGGCCTGTTAAAACCGTATATGCAATATATCATAAGTGGAATCCGCTTCGGTGAGTTTCAAACTCCACGTGTCTTGGTGGTTTTGCATGGCATGGTGATGCTGGTCCTTCGACCCTCGAATGTCAATGGCCCAACGATTGGGACTGGAAGAGCAAACGACCACGGCCGGAGTTTTTTCTTGGGCCAACATGGGCCAACAAGTTTCTCAGAGGATCTTCCCTGTTCCTCTTCCTCTGCAGTTTAATACAATTTGGTTGTATATGGAGGTTTCCTGAAATGGTGGTACCCCTAGTTATCATCCATTTCTAGATCGGAGGTTCCATTAAATTATAAACCATCTATTTTGGGGTACCCCCATGACTATGGAAACCCCCATATGCTCCCCACGTAAAATCTACACCCTGCCTGTGGACTTGCAATGGCCAACTCCCTCTCTGTGGCTGGTCGCACCCGCAAGTAGACACGCACCTCACAGCTGGCACCCCTTGACTTGGGAAGCCTTGACCCGCGTCCAAGATCTGTGAGGATTGTGAGGATCAGAGGCTGACTTTTTGTAAATGGAATGGGTACAGTATGGTCTGTGTATATCTGTATATTATATACTTTTATATACTTGATATTACCTGTTCATCCTCTGGCCCCGGAAGCAGAATGAATTTCACCGGAGACCATCCGAATCTAACATATCTAACTTATTCTATCTTATTCTTTCACGGAATCCACACAGGCTTAAAGCCCAGCTAGTTCGAAAAAGTACTTGATGGCATTCACCTAACGGGGAACGATGGTTCAAGGAACATGCGCCATCTTGGGATGCACGAAGGATTCAATTTCATCCCAGGTGGCCGCAGGAAATGGCCAAGATATGCCAAGATCATCCAAGATCCAAGGTGCACTCTCGCCATCATCGTGAGTCTCTTCCTGGCACATCGGATAGTGAAACCATCAACGCCAGGTCTACGGAGCCCCACCTTGGTGGGTAGACTCTGCATGCTTCCCTCCAAGCCCGAATCCTCGGTGGACTCTTGGTGCCATGGCCATATGGCCATGGGTCCCGGGTCTACACTGAGCATGGCACCATTCTGGAAGCCATGGCGCCAGGCCGTTCAGCAATGGAAAGGTGACTCTGTTCAGCAATGGAAAGGGAAATAAAAACATAAACAGATTTCAGATGGTTTCCTGCCGGCCAATTGGGCAATTTAATGCAATTTATGTATATCCGGCTAGTGGCTAAGATAGATGGCAGATCTTCCTTCTCGCAGAGGGCGCGTTCATCTCAATTGCATGCCATCTTGAGTGCATGCTCTTCCGGTGAAAAGAAAGGGGTAGTTGAATCCCAACACTGTCAAGAGTCAAAACAGCTCTTGAGCACTCTTGGCCAGACATGGCAAATAGATTTTGTGCCTTGGGCCACGAAGCATCAGCATCTGGGCCAGGGAGATATCCAAGAACAGTGTGAATATCTGTGAACATGATTGAACATGTGTGAACTGTCAACTTGTGAGGGCCTTGGGATCCTCCAGGATTATAAATTATAGACGACTGTAGTCAGTCTTTGTTGTGTTCAGCCTCTTAACCAGCTGCAAAATCATCACCATGCTTGGCCATGCAATCCATCATGCCGCTGATTCACCAGCTCAAAAGTAAGAGCAGTGTGTTCGCCTGGACCGATGGTGTTCACTATCCTGTTTCAATGATCGGTCGGATTCAGCCATGGATGGGTCATGTTGGAGCCGCCCAAAGCCATGGCACGTGTCCACTTTTTCACAATTTGGACGATCCCAACTTGGCGAAGTGGATGGCAAGCTGCGCACCAACCTAGGCAAATCCCACCAACCATGGATCATGGCACAGCTTGGCACAGCTTGGCGTTTCGTGGCCTCCGCGTTGTGCTTGATCAAGGCAATGTTGGTACGAAGTGACCTGGGTGGAAGGCCCATGAAGCACCTCACATACTCGATGCCTATAAGGATGATTAAGGATGGATAGTGAATAGTGATCATTTGCAGTCTAAAATCATCCTAAGGGATTCCCATGCTCTTTTTTCCTCAAGTGCAATCCAGAAACTTCAAAAAGATTCGAACATTCCTGTGATATTCCTATGATATGAAGCATCAGTGATTCAAGAAGCATCTGGAGAGTCCCCGAACATGCTGGAGCATTGGCTGGTCGGGAGCTCTATTGGAGGGCCAGTTTGATTCGTACAACCATCTTGATCAATATATGTTGTTAGGGGAAATAAACAAACATCAATCATCTTTAGGCGAAATAAACACAAAATCAAAGTCTATTAATGTCTGTTACATTTTCATAGTTTCGCCGTTGTCCATAGCTCCCACCATCGGCCAAGAGGCTCCCCCCCGGTCAGCTCGTTGATGCGTTTGAGCAAGAAAGGCGTCACCTGACTCCGATGGCCCTAAGGGGCAAGTGATGAAACAATTACAGTAATGAAACTAGTTGGTGGTTGAGCCACATGTCCCAAGAAATTTGGACCTCAACCGAGTGGACCGAGTATCATCCTTGAAAGTCGCTTGGGATGTGTCATCATTTGAAACCACCATCCATTTGCTTGCATTCAAAAAAACGAAGCCTCTGCATTCCTTTGAAACAGCTTTATGGCTGTTGCTGAGGGACTACCAATTTTTCGTGATATAATCTGTTTGTTCATCGGGGTATGAAATGCAGTTCCAACGCAGTTCCAACCGTTTTAGGGAATCATTTGAGAGATCCCCCATGATGTCTTCGTCGCCTCACCTCATTTCCCTTGATGCCCTGCTGCATGCTCTCATCCACTGCCTGCCTGGGAGAGTTGTCATCGGTTGTCACGATTTGTTTGTAGAAGTCGATCTGCTGAGAAGAAAACGCAGCATAGCAAATTGAAGTTGACTTTACTTCACTTCAATGTGATATAAGCTTTCCTTTAGCTATTTAAAACAGGCCTCTCCTGAAGTTGTCCCCTGCTTGCGTTGCCTTGACCAAAAACCTCTGTGTGTAAAGAACCCATGTCCAATCTGCAGAATCTGCAACTACTTTGTCTAGGCCGGATCTTTGGCGGCACCGTGTAGCATCTTCCACCAATTGCCCCTCTGCTGCCAAATGCTCTGGCACTGGCACGCCAAGAACCATCCCCTTGGTGTGCGGAAGTGAGATATAGTGAGATCAACCATGATCAACCCACATTGTCACATGGAAGTCCTTTTGGCAAAGGGAACAAAAGCATTCCTCCAACAGTCGCATGCCATGGACTCTGTGTGCGGAATTCTAGTCCACAAAGTACTAGACCAAGTCTTAGCTGAAACAAATGTCTCAGAAGCCTCCATTGGGCCTCCATTGTATTCCATTGTTTAAAGAGCCTAACAGCTTTAACCAGCGTTTAGCAGTTTAACAGACTCAAACCAAACTGCCAAACTTTCCCATTTTTGGTCCAAAAACGGTCTCCGAAAGCTCCAGGAATTCCCACAGAGTTCAACTGGATCTGTAGCTGCTGCTGTAACAGCTCAGCGGCCTGGGACAATTCCGTAGTGTGTTTGTACAGCTGCGGACATCAGCTACTATTCTTGAAGTCAACGTCGCCAAACCGATCTTTGCCATTACTGTAGCGTTCAACTCAGCAGTGTGAAAAAATGCAAAAACATGTTCTAAACCGAGCCACTGAGCATTGATCATTTCGGGTGAGTTCAGGCTGGCTTGGAAGTTATCCATGGAAGTTGGCCATGGAACTTTCTGCCATAACTGGCTTCCTATTTCGACAGGGATCCGATCTGCAGATTTCTGGTGAAAATGATGTTGGAGTGAAGACAGTGAAGCACTACCACTTGCAAAGCGCAATCACCTTCCAAGTAGTTTTGTTCTTGATGTTCTTGTCGGTTTTTTAATGCGTACCAGTTCCCTTTTTGTATACTGTAGAGAAACACAAAAGAAACCCTTCTGCCTTTCTGAATTCCTGGCGAAAGTAATCTATCGGTGGCCTCCGCTGGGCCATCTACACCTAGGGAAAGCTACGCAGCTACGCCAGGTTCGACGTTCGACATGCGAAATAAAAAGGGAAAAGTTTACACAGTTCAGCTGAAATACTGAAATTCTACACTGGTGGAGATTGAAGCAAGCAAACTGTTTTTTGCTCGGATGAATCAAGTTGAAGATCGAAATCTGATCTTCTCTGATATATTCGTCCAAGGACAAGTCAGATTTTGCCATAATTTTGATGTTCCAAATATATCCAAATATCTGAGTGACAAGAGAACTGCATGTGGCTTGGCCACACATTCAACAGGTTCAAGGCATCTTGGATTCTTGGATTATCATCAATAAATGCAGTTGGAAGTCCCATGGATAGCGCAACCCCCTGCCGCCATATCATGACCAACAGCTTCGCCTCGGAAATTCCATCGACAGGTTGTGAGATTTTTGAGTACCCCGACGGCAAGAGGTTGGCAAACCGCTCCTTGGCCTCAGGAAGCATCCAGGATCTGAGGGTCGAAAAATCGTCAGATCGCTCGGAAAATTGCGATTACTGCCTGTGCTTGATCCTGACCAATCAACTCAATGAAGTTAGTTGATGGTTTTTGTGTCCACTTTGCTGAAGGTGGGTCATTTTTTTGGAACATCTTCCACCTATTCTCACCTCACCATCCCACAAATCACTCACTACTGGCCTTCCTCATCCTTCCTCCAGGTCCCCACGCGTAAAAAAGGCTGGGAAATCATCCGTTCCATAGCCACAAACCTTCGCGGTGGCGGTGGCGGTGGTGGTGGTGGTGGATGTCAAATCCTCTGCTTCGTCAAGGTAACTCATGGCAAAATGATAGTGCAATGGCCCCTATGGCCAACACGATCCCTAGCACAAGGGAAACAACGAGGGGCTACCACCTAGCCCTGCATGCAGTCGCAGCTGCACATGTTTTGCCTTGGCTCTTGAGCCCACCCTGCGGGCAGTAAAGGTAAAAGACATTGCAAGTTCACACTGACATCTGTGCTTGCATCCCCCCTGAACTTGTTATGTCAGGGGCTCGAAAGCAGATCGATCTTCCATCTCATCCCAGGGCAGATTACAGTCCGCTGCCAATTTCTTTACAAGGTAGATGAAATGGTTATGATGATCATTCAGCTCCTTCAGCATCTCGCGCTTGCCGATTTTACGGCCTGAGGTGAATTTGTCGTCGTGCACCAGTCGCCAGTGATGTCGTTGCTGGTAGAACTGGAGCAGGACCTTCATAGCACCATGCTTGGTCAAGGCGTCGGCCAGTTGTGCCAATCCGTTGACCCATCGGAACACAGTGCCTACCCTATAGGCTTGATTCACCGCCAGCACAAGTTCGTATCCGCTTCGGCTGTCTCTCAAACCATGGAGTGAACTCAAATTCCGGGTCGCGGCATCGTAGATCCCACGGGAATCCATCACCAGCGCTCCCTTCACATTCTTCACATGTTCTGGTAGTAGACCTCGTTCAGGAACTGAACCTTGAATCTCAGCCACCAGCGCACGTAAAAGAAAATTTTGATCTTCTCCAATCGTCACAGCTTGCACTTCAGATCCGTTGGATCCCAAACATTGGCGGGGTGCCTTTCCAGACTTCCACTGCAGTATGGAGAATTGACGTTCACGTCCTTCAAGAACATCTGCAGGGGCCAGGGCGCTAATCACACCAACCGTGCTTGCTCGGTCAGGTCGGTTGTGCTGTGAGGCGTCAGTCCAGGTGATGACTGCCAGCGCACATGGTTCCCAAGTTGGAAAAATAAGCCCTTGGCTTGCATCCCTCCGCATCTCTCGGACTAGTTTGTTAGCCCGATACAAAGTGCTAACTGTGCCCTTGCCAATCTCGGACAGCAACAGGCTCACTTCTGCTAAATAGTGTGGAGCTGTCTGTGTTGCTCTCCAACTCATAGTTCCCAGCACTCCTCTCAGCGCTGAAACTTCTGAAGGAAGTAGATCGGCTTGTTGGGGTCGATTTGGATCAATAGGCATCTCCTCGACCCATCTGTTCACGTACTCCTCCTGGTCAATCTCGATGGAGTAGTCCTCACGCTGTCGAATTCGGCAGCCAGCGAATTGAAACTCGGAAGTCTCCCATTTGCCCCATCGAAAAGATTCTTGAAGCTTCTTCTCGGCCTCCAGGAAAAAGGTTGATGAAGGATCGCCAGAAATGAGGAAATCATCCACGTGAATACCTGCCAAGCCAACGAGCTTGTTGTCAGGGTCGTAGAGTGCAAAGATACATCGATCTCCTTGCAGTTGCCTCCATGAGTGCTCCTTGAGGGTTCGGACACATCGTTCGTACCATTTTCGTGGAGCATGTACCAAACCATAGAAAGCTTGCATCACCCTCAATGGAATGATGGTGCCAGGCGCAGCTCCATATGCTGTAGAAAGTTCAGCAGGGGCCCAAACGTTCAGCTCCTCAGACTCCAGTGAAGAGTCGGTCTGAAGAAAGGCCGATGTCACATCGCCAGACTTGATGATGAACTTCATCGCCGCTGACATAGCCAGTAGGCAGTTTCTGCCGCCCTTTGACATAGTCGGTGACGAAGTCGCCACCTCGGTGATGTTGTGGGCCTGGAAGCCTAAAACCACCAAACGCGCCTTTGCATCTCCAGAGCTCTTGCGCGTCAGGACCCATCTCATGCTCATCACCCTGCCAGCGTCCAACTTCTTCAGCTCATCAGGCGTCAAGTTGCGCAATGCTTTGCTGACAATGACATTGCTGATCTCCTTCGCCTCGGCAAGGTCGAACTCTTTCTTTTCATCCAAAGTCATCTTCTTCCAATCCAGCTCTTTGCCCTTGTCCTGCATCTTCTTCGACAACCAAACCTGTCCATGTTTCTTGGACTTGTGTTTGACGAGCCAGTTCAAGTCGGCCTCGGTCGTGTCGATGTCGATGCAGATGAAGGTTTCCTGAGGGGCTTGTTGAGCAGGTTCGGCATTTGGAAGTTCTCCATCTCGAATCAACTCTTCTGATTCAGCTTCAGAGGTCGTAGAGCTCGAAGGTGCTTTCTCGTCCTCACTCTCAGACGATTCGGTCTCTTCTGCAACCACGGCATGTCTGCCATCATAGTTGTCATAGAGGAACTTGTTCCCCCCTGAGTCTTCGTGGTGTCCAAGGTGTCCACCAGGCAGCACGCATTCTGGTACTACACATAGATTGGACCCAGATGATCCAGAGCTTGCAGGAACTCGTTCAGGCAGTCCATCAAGGCGGTTCAGTCCTCCTTGTTGAAGTACCTTGCTCAAAGGTGGTGAGGGTTCAGAGACAGAAGTTCCACCATGCGGTTGATCTTGTTCAGCTTCTCCAGGTTGTTCAACTTCTGCAGAACCATCAGCTTGTCCAGGAGGAAGTCGAGGTAGGTCTTCTACAGCCTTTCGTTTTGGCTTCGAAGGGACTCCTCTCCTCACTTTGGCAGGTCGCACAATGATCTCCTTGAGCTCGAAGTGCGTCTCGCCAGTCCATCGATCCTGCAAAGTCTTTGAATCCTCAATTGTGTCCTTGATCTGGACGGTATCGCCAGTCGGCACAAGCTTGGCGTGGGTCACTCGGGTGCCACGCAGCTCATCCATAGAAACAGGGCATACGGTCACCTTCTGCGGGTTGAAGAGAGCCAGTCGTGGTAGAACATGGTGTCGAATCAAAATTCGTTTTCCATCTCTTTCAACCAAAGACCATGAGTCTGTTGTTGCTCCAGGTGTAGAAGGTGCTTGTAGGACAGTTGTGGGAGACAGGTCTTGTTGTTGCTGTCGTTCACTGGGCGTATCACCAGTAACATCCATGTAGTACCGCCCTTGAAACGATTGCAGCAAAGAACCAATGGAAATGGGGGTGCGATAGATCGCAGTGCCTTCCAGTTGGGCTTTCAAACGTTCAGGTTGTGTTGTTGGTCTCACCTGTCCAAGCTTTGCTCGAATGAGCGTTGCACCAGAAGCCAACCAAAGTGTGGAGTTCTCCTGCACGATCACTCTCAAAGGGCCTACCCAATGACCTTTGACCTTTCCAGGGCGTACTTTTTGTCGCCAGAGCATCACAAGGCCACCAGGGTTGTACTTGTGGTTCACAGGGCGTCCAACAGCATGGGAGAGACGGCTGAAGCGCTCAGCAGCTCGCTCTTTTTCATGAGCCAGCTTGGCACGTTCACGAGCCTTTGCAAGTCCACCAAAAGCTTTGTGAGGGGAAATTCCCGGCATCAGCTTCTCATCATCCAAAATGCCACCGCCACTGCCGAAGACCCATTGATGTGCACTGAAACCAGAGGCTCCAACATGGCTGTTCATAGCCGCTGCCGCCAGAGTGAAAAGCACTGGAACTGGCAAATCATTCCCTTCTCGCATCAAGCGTTCCACAGTCCGCTTGGCAATTCCAATGGCAGCTTCCTCCTGTCCCATCAGCCAATGAGCTTCTGCAGGGGCAATCGTCAAACCAATGCCACTGCGGTTGACAAAGTCCATCATCTCTTGGCTGGTATAGTAACGCGCAGCATCTGCAACAACCCAACGTGGTGCTGGATATGTTGAGAGCCATACAGTCAACGCCTCAATCACATCAGAGGTCTTGGGCTCCCAAGCTCCTTTGTACGATGCCAAGTGTTTGATCATCGTCAGTCCACTCGCCCGGTCACGGAAGAGAATGAACTTGTGCTTGGGCTTGGCGTCCTCTTTCTTCTGCTTGTCGTCGGTATTGGGCTCTTCAAACTCGAAGACGTCAGTTCCCAGGAACTCGTAGATGCAAGGCTCCTCGGCGCTCATTGAGGCCGGAGGATGAGGTCGAGGTCGTTGAGCTTCTGTGCATTCGGGACACTGGAGGTTCTGGGCGACTTCAATAGCCCAGCCAGGTGCTCCCTTGGCTTTCAGCAATTGCACCAAACTTGACATTCCAGGATGGCCGGCCGCACGATGAACTCGAAGCATGGTCTTCTTGACCTCCTCAAGCTTCTTGCCAGTCGGTGCGGTCTCCAAGGAGAGTTTTCTCCGAGACAGGGCCATCACTTCCGGTGTTGGTGTCCTTGATGTAGACGATGAAGACCATGTAGACAAAGTCCTGGATGAAGTGTCCAAAGGCTTGATGTCAATCTCCAGAAGGTGCTTCTCCGCCATCTTCTCCAAGGAGTAGACGTCATGGTTCCAAGAGTGTTCGAAAGCCTTCAGGATTGACTTGCACATCAGAGACGGGTAATAAGCACTGGCAGTTGCTGCATGGCCTCTGCATTCAATGTGCTCATGACACCCATCACAACGTTTGCACAACGTCATCCATAGCTCTCTGCTCGTCGTCAGCACCAGCCATCGTTTCAGTATTGGCAGATTCTTGAAACGAAGTCCATAACAGCAACCGTCGAATCTGCACCAATATATGTTGCGGCCGTGCTGGACGATCTTCTTCTGGAGCTTCTTGATTGCCTTTGAATTCCAACCAGCATGCGCTCCAGCTGGCCATTCCCAGGCAAGGTCATTGCCATTCTGCAGCGTCGTGTCCAGGGAGTCCACGATCTCATCACATCGTCGTAGATCTTGTCCACGTCGCTTCATGAAAGCATCCCACTGTTTCGGTGTCCTCGGGGTCAAGTTCTGCAGAGAGGTCAATCTCGTGCATGCCATTGAAACCCAAACCAGCTTCGGATTGAGCTCCTCGATCTTCTCCCCGAGGTAGGCTGTGCCACGGCGGGTGTCCAAGTCAAAGCCGTTGCGGTAGTTTGCTCGCAAGCATTTGTAGCCAGCATCCTCAAACGTAGTGGTCAGCTCGGAGGTTGGTGAGCAGGCTACCTCCAAGACGTCGATCTGGCTTGTCATCATGCTGAAGAGCTCCTTCACAGGATGCATCAAAACTGTGGTCAGAGCTGCAGCTTTTGCCAAACGCCGTGCCAAAACAGGGCGTACCATCTTCTTCGTCACATTCACTGTGGAAGAAAGGTTGTAGATGTCCTCCACAGAGCTCGAGCCATTCCATTCAGTCTCAGGCATGCCAAAGTCAAGGGTTGAATTCTTGTTGAGCTTCCGCTCTCTGTCATCCGTAGTGCTCTGCCGCGTGGTTGACGTAGTGCAGGTCATAGGCGTAGTGAGGTTGTCCGTGTTGTCATAGTGCATGTTGTAGCCACCATCCATTTGCTGGGACTGATCTCCCAGCCGCATCTTCTTCTTCAAAGCCCCAAGCGCGTTCCAAAGTGCGCTCAACCGCGCGTCTCCTCCTCCGAAGAGTCCTGAATCTCCACCGTCTCTGGGACTGTTGCATGAGGACCCACTGCTTCCCAGCTTGCCGGAGACGACTGTGCCTCTTCCACATGTTGGTGCTCCAGCTCCTTCTTCATCTTGAAGCCCGGTGCCATCTTCGGTGCCGCTGTAGAGCTCCTTTGAGGCGTTGGACTTCGGGTCGGTGTAGTGGATCTCTGTCTTGGAGTCTCCAGAGGCTGCACAGGTGTCGTCGGTGCCATAGATCCCGACGTCATTGCTCCCGGAGGTGTCTCCGCGGTTGATGCCTGTGCTCCCATCAGCCACTTGCCCAACTTCTCGTTGGCCTTGATCTCCACCGTGGTGCGCCCAGCTCCTCCACTCTAAACTAGTCCGACCACGAACTTCCATCAACTTCCCATTGAAGATCTTCTCGTTCATGTTGTCGATGGAGTAGATCATCTTCAGCTCCTCCTGCGCAGCAGCCACATGTTGAGGATCGGCACCAATTGCACGTGATTCCCCAGTGTAGCCGCTCTTGGCCGTGTAGGAGAGGCGTAGTCCGCATCTTCTGCATGCATGCCAGTTGGCATACTTGTTCTTCCGTTGAGGTCCAGGTAGATGCATGCTCATGCACGGCCAGCCCTCGTGTCGAGGATCCATTGGTGTCGAAGGAGCGCATGGCTTGAGGGTTGAGCTCATCGTCCGAGGGGCTGAGACTGGAACGTAGCGCTTGAAGTCGCTGAGCCAGACTGCTGAGGCGGTCACTCAATGGCGGCGTCCCATCTGAAACACCTGACATCACCATCATCACCAAACCATCGTTTCCATTTTCACCACCATCATGGTCATGTCCATGTTGTGCATGTGATGTCTCACGAGCAACCCAGTTCCCTGATGTTTCATCAAAGACTTCAACCAGTTGGTCCTCAGCGGGCGGCTCACTGTTTTCTGCATGGCTCGGAGAGTGCACGCGAGTCATACTGCGTGAGCCATCTTCTCCAGCAGGAAAAGGTCTGCGGGTCACCGCAGAGGAAGTTGGTGAGTAACCATTGTCACTCTCCTCAACCTTTATCTCGGGCTCGACATGCTCATGGCCAAAACGGCCTTCCATTGTCTCATGAACTGCTGTTCTTAGCAGCTCTGGTTCATCTTCCATCACGGCGTCCAAGTTCAGGGCGTGGTCCATGGTGTTGAAGTTGTTGGCGTCACCAGGAGAAGCAGTCTCTGCATGCTGCCTCTTGATGCCAGTCGATCTACCACCATGTTGCCTTCCACCAGGGCCACCATCGTGAGGTGAATGTTCATCTCCATCTTGTCCATCTCGATCATCACCAGGTCCTCGGCCAGGAGCATCTCGAAGACGTAGAGCAGCATGTAGACCAATCGAAGGTGAAGTCAAAGACAATGCCAAATGACCACTTCGAAGGCTCGTCAGCTTGCTTGCCCTCCAAGTTCCATGTCGATCTCGGTGCGCCATGTACTCACCTTTGTAGGAGATCATAGCTTGCCTTTCTCGCAGGTCTCGAGCTCCAAGCAACATTGGTGTCGCTTCTGCGGTGCCGTCCAAGAGGTAGAAGGAAACTTCTCCCAGTGCTGGAGTGTTGAGGGTCATCTTGGAAACGGCTTGTTGGCTATGACCGTTCCCAAAACGGAACGTAGGACGATCTCTCAGGCAGATCTTGTAGGTCAAGTTGTCCTCGTCCAAAAGCCTTGCAGCGCTATTGACACCTGCCACAGACTCAGTCGCACCTGTGTCCAAAACGACCTTGGTGGTGCCAATGGTCTGGAGCTCACGGCAGTCCTCAGTTGAAAGGACGTTGATCTCACCAGTGGGCACATAGAAGGCGTACTCGTCATACGCAGTGAAGTAGGCCCGACCTTTGGAGCTTGATGGAGAGCCTTTTGAAGACGCTCCAGGTGATCCTTGGTTTCTGGACCATCTGTCAGGGCAAAACTTGTATGAATGGCCAGGACGACCACATGTCAGGCAAGGTCCATAGCTAGTCTTCGACTTGCCTTTTCCAAACCCTTTGAACATCTTGCCCTTGCCTTTGCCTTTGCCCTTCATCGAAGGCTTGCCCTTGGAGTTGGCTGCATCATAGTAGCCACGTGCCGCACGGGTCTGTGCGACTGCTTTTCTCGCCTCCTGCAACGTTTTCTGTGCTTCAGCGGCAATGGTGTATGCCTCTGACAAACGGGTCTCTTCTTGAGACTCTGTGGTTCCAACTGCTTCCGCCGCATTCTCTTCCATGGGTGTTGCCGAAGTCATAGGAGAGGAAGTAGGTGATGTTTCATAGTCCCATTGGTCCCAAGCTGACCAATCATCTTCATTCCATCCATCTCCATAGTCTGCCCAGTAGACGTCTTCTGACGTCGGCCATTCATCCCATTCACCTTCCCAATCATCATTCCATTCATCCACATACCATGCCGCCTTTCTCACACGCCCATCATCGGCTGTCTCACCCTCAGCAAAGAGAGTGCGTAGGGCTCGACGGATGGCGTAGTACTGGGTGCTGTTCTTTGTCAAGGTCAGCACATGTTGTTTCTCTGCCGTCGAAAGCTTTGCAGCCTTGAGCAACCTGTAGCCACGCATCTCGTCCTCGAAGAAGCCACCAGACGTAGAGCTCGAAGAGGGTGAAGTCGAAGAAGTCGGCATAGTCGGAGAAGTCATAGAGGTCGGCATAGTTCCCGAAGGTGTAGAGGTCGGCATAGCAGGCCCAGCCGTAGGTGATTGGCTCGGTGACTCACTCATCGGCGGCGGTTCAGTTGCAGGTCGTGGAACTGCACCAGGTTCACGTTCTTGTCGTGCACGTTGTAGTGACTGTTGTAGTTCTACAAACAGCTCTTCCTCACGAACCAGCAACTGAGCTATTGACTCCTGTGGGCTCCTCCGCATGCTTGTCCATCGTTCCAACCTTTGGAAGGAGTCAGGTACAGGTAATCGTTGGAGAGGAGACTTCCGCAGGACGTCCAACAGCTTTTGTAGTCCTTCACTTGACCCAAACTCTGTTGGATCCAAATGACGAACCACTGACTTGGCTGACCCACTGAGCTTTTGCCATATCTTCGGAGCTGCCAGTTTTCTTTCTGTGTCCTTCAGCGATGCCTCGAACCATTTGCAGCTCGTCACGAAGCTTTCAAAGCTCGATGGGTCGCCGTCCCATGTCGGGACCTCATCACTTCCACCAGCAGGCATGTAGTCCTGGATCTTCACCAGGTAGGAGCTCCGCCTACCATGCAATGGCCCCTATGGCCAACACGATCCCTAGCACAAGGGAAACAACGAGGGGCTACCACCTAGCCCTGCACGCAGTCGCAGCTGCACATGTTTTGCCTTGGCTCTTGAGCCCACCCTGCGGGCAGTAAAGGTAAAAGACATTGCAAGTTCACACTGACATCTGTGCTTGCAGATAGGAATTCATGAAATGTTCAAGGACAAGCAGTGTTCATTCTCGGGGATGTGCCTCCCACGTAGTCTCACGTACACTCTACCATTGTTGCATGGGTGTCGCCTGCATCCCCCTTTCACAAATGGAATCAACCTTGCAAGGCAGTCAGATCTACCCCTCACTCGGGGAAGCCAATGGACCGGGCCAGCCGACACAAACACCTTGCCTCGGTGGGGCAGCCCAACTGTTGGAGGACAACATCTTGCGGGGAATGTTCAATTTGCTTGGCGGCAATTCTGTAATTCTCATATTGTTTCAGCATTCTAAGTGTTTTTTTGTCAGGAAACTTAGACTTTTTCCCCGCCAGTGTCATCCCTCTTGTGGGTTCAGCTAGTGCAAAGGACTAGCTTGTGGCATAGATTGGAATAGGAGGACATCGTGAAAGCGTAAGCAGTGCATCTATCCTTAGGCTCATTGCTCTCATTGGTGTCTGTGTGCCAAAAGAAGTCCTCCAACTCATGCTGCCCTGCGTTATATCTGGAGGATGTGCCCTGCAGCCAGGAACCCAGACGTCTCCAAAAATTCCAAGGTCCTGCGACTGGCGGAGCAAAATTTCAAGGTCTCTGTCCCCAGCTTCCAGAACGTTTACAGTTTTGATCCAAAAATAACACACCCAAAGCATCCAAATATATCCAAATCATCCCAAACCTGTCGGGCTATTACTGAATATACACATTATACACCACCATAGGACCATAGTAGATGCTTTCGCACCATGTTGGTCGTCCAAACCCAAAGGCTCTCCAGGAACTGCCTGGGCAAATCCAAAATGCTCTTGGCGCCGGCGCACACCACGCAGACCGGCGTGCGCCTTGGTGACGCTGACTGGCTGACTGGGATGGACTGGTGACTGTCCCTTGGTCTGTTGATGGTTTCGCATACGTTGGGTAGGATCTAGTGCTAAACAATATGATATTCTTTCGATTATAGTCATTCAATTCGCGATAAATACACACAGAGAATCATTGAGAATCATACATATACGGTGATTCCATGTGATTCCTACATAAAAATCATTGACTCAGTGGTCCATAAATCAGAAAAAAAAAATCTCTGGAGTCCTCAGGAGGCCACCCCAATTCTGTGAGATCTGCAGAGACCTCAGTCTGACACTGCTGGGAAAACCTGCTGGAAATTTCTAGGATGGGAATCTCCCTGGGGGTTCCTGTAAATGTTCCTGAAAAAATTCTGGGAACTATAGAATCTATAGACAAATGAATGACACCTGTTGACTCTTTCAAGATCCAATGATTAATGCAGTAAATGACTGAAACGTATGAAGTCAAGATATGGCTTTTCAGTTGATTTTTAATCCACTTGTTTGAACGTTCTATGTCTAGTTCAACTTGACTACACCAAGGATTCACGAGGAATATTCTGATGCCAAACATGCCACACCTGCATCTAGCCCCAGACCTGAAAGCCTACACTTTTCCCTGAAATCGCAGAACTTAGCCTAGAATCTGCTGTAAGTAGCTGCTTGTAAGAATCTTATACACCTGTTGAAAAATTTTGAAATACTGTGGATGGAAGAAATCCTGCACCAGTTGATAGGTGGTAAACATCCCATTATTTATAGGTTTTCAACCATCCTTTTGGTGGTTTATCGGATTTCGCAACCATCCACAGTATTACCATATGATATGCCAATAGCTCACCAATTCTTATATTATCATTATTATTATTGTTATTTATTACATTTTATTACATTTATTACTATTATCATGTTTGTTATTATTAGATATTATTAGCAAAATCCAGTTAAAATCCAACACCTCCAGGAAAATGCTTCCAGGCCACATCCCAAGCATCCCCTCGATGAACGCCACCGATGCCACCAGTGACGAAGATGGGAATCTTCGCCTCGAAGATGTTGGCCGCTGGTTTTTCCGGTGGTTATCTACAGAGCATGTATATATATATATATATAATATCTATATAAGATGTATGTATGTATGTATGTATGTATGTATGTATGTGAATCGGACGTTCCCTTAAATATGTCCGTATGTTTGTTGTTGAGCGATCTGTTTCGCGTTTCACAATGGTCAACCGGAGGCAGGCTTCAGCATGGCTCACTTTTGCTTGGAGCTGTGCAGTAAGGGGTCTTGAGCCAAAAGGACCATCGGTTTTGTGGTCCCCTGGCAAGTGGAAAGATGGCTATGTATATGGGGGTTATGGAGTGAACTCTTACTGTACCCCCATTCGCACCCCCCACGCATGACTGATTTCATCAGTCACGCGCAGGAGAGCCGTCTTAAAGTCCCTTCAACTGCATTTACATTGATTGAATTGTGGAGAGTCGAAAGTTTGCCGCGGCTTGCTAAAAGTGGACGGACGGATGGATGTATGTATGTATGGATTGATGTATGTATGTATGTATGTATGTATGTATGTATGTATGTATGCATGGATGGATGGATGTATGTATGTATGGATGGATGTATGTATGTATGTATGGATGTATGTATGTATGTATGGATGGATGTATGTATGTATGTATGGATGGATGTATGTATATATGTATGGATGGATGGATGTATGTATGTATGGATGTATGTATGTATGTATGTATGGATGTATGTATGTATGTATGTATGGATGTATGTATGTATGGATGTATGTATGGACGTATGGATGGATGGATGGATGGATGTATGCATGGATGGATGTCTGTATGGATGTATGTATGTATGTATGGATGGATGGATGGATGGAATGATGGATGGATGGA